TTCACGTTTGTTGCGGGTAGCGACGCAGCAAGCAGCTCGTTCAACAGCGGGGGACGCAGCCAGCCGCACGCGGGAGGGTCAACCAGTGGGATTAGTATTAATGGGAGAAGCAGGTCTGCTAGCAGACCGGCAGAGGTGAGGTTCGAACACGGCTCTACACCGCCTCGCCAGAGCTCACGGGCCGGCCCCGTAAGCAACAACGTCGAACTCATGGACACAGGCGCGGATGGACCTGGTGCAGCCTCCCAGGAGCAGGCGATCGAGATCGTGAACGAGCAAGTGCTGCCGGATCCCGAGACACCTGCCCCTGCCCCCAGGGGGCGTCGCCCTCGCGGCAAGAGGTCAGACAGCACCTCATCTACAGGCACTCGCCGGAGTGCCAGAAAGCAAGCCGAGCGTGCAATCCAACTTGTCAACACCCGTATCACCACCGAAGAGGCAACTCCGCCTCCAAAACGCCAGCAAAGCCGTCCCTCCTACCGGGAACGATCGACATCCGAATCCACCCTCACAACAGTCGCCCTACCCGACACTCCTGACCCGATCTCCGAGCCGGCTGAAGAGCGACAGATAAACATGCGAGCCCGATCTCGCTCACAATCACGGAAGCGCACCAGAGATCAGCAATCTAAATGATTGAACCCCTCCAGATACTTCAATATAACGCGAATCGATCAAAGGATATAGTGATGGCACCATTCCTGCGGGACCCTGAGGTCCTGAAGGCGGACCTAATCTGCATTCAAGAACCGTGGAGGAACCCATACCAGGATACGACACACCACCCGGCAAATAGGACACACCAGTTGCTCTACCCCGTGGAGTTCGGGGAGCAGCGGACCCGTGTCTGCATGTATATATCAAGGAGTATCAATCCTAATACATGGAAGCACACTGCACATTCGCCGGATGTGCAAGAGCTGGAACTAACTGATGCGGACGGCCGAACTGTCCGCGTTTTTAATATATATAATCAACACAGGGAGGTCGGGACCGCTACTCTCGACCTCCTTAATTCCCTAACTAACCTTACGAACCATACTGACCGTACTAACCCCCACTTCCTTCTGCTCGGAGATTTCAACCTGCATCACCCTGTATGGGGCGGTGAAGGAGCCGAACGAGACCAGGAAGGGGACCAGCTGCTTGAATTAATGGATAAGAAGCACTTGGACCTCTGGCTAGAGCCAGGCGTCACCACATGGGAAAGCAGAGGCAGCAGATCGACAATCGACCTGGTTATCGGCTCGCAGGACCTTACACCCCGGCTCGTGTCCTGCACGGTGGATATCGACATCCATGCGGACTCCGACCACCTCCCTATTCACACTCTGCTCGATATCCATACGGCTACCCCCGAGGCGCAGCGACGCCGCAACTGGAAGGCGTGCAACGTCAAGGACTTGCAGGCCTTTGTGGACCTCAACCTGAACAACAAAGCCTTCGTACTAGAGACGAAGCAGCAGATCGAACTCGGAATGGACTACCTCACGGAGACAGTCCGTCAAGGAATCGCTACGTCCACACCGTGGGCAAAGCCCAGCCGGTGGGCGAACCCCTGTTTCACTCCGGAATGCCGCGAGATGGTTAAGATCACTCGCAAGTTTCGACGCGAATACACACAAGCTAAAGGGAATCAACACGAATCCGCAGATGTCTGCATACACGACGCAGCCTCCGTGGCTTGGGCCAAGTATGCAAAAGTGCGGAACCGCAAAAGAAAGGTCGTGGCGCGAGCCCTGCGGCAGGGTCACCGAACCTGGGTCCGCAAAGCCTCTGACGCAGGCCCTCGAGACATGTAGCGCGTGGCCAAGTGGTGCAGGAACAGGGAGGCCCGCGGAGGGCTTATACCCACGCTGAACACAGAAGACGGGCCCGCAGAGACCGCAGAACAGAAAGTCGAGGCATTTCGGAGGGTGTTCTTTCCCTTACCACCCCCTGCAGATCTCTCCAATATTAATACGACTCAACTACCTCAGCAAATCGACTTCCCGGTCCTCCAGCAACATGAGGTGCTCAAGTGCATTCGGCGAGCACCTCCGGACAAAGCACCTGGACCGGACGGGATCCCTAACAAAGTGTGGCATTGGCTTGGGGAGGTGACCTCCTTCGTGGACGTGCTAACAAGGATCTTCAACGCCTGACTGAAGGTGGGCCACAACCCGGAGTATTTTCAGCAATCTACAACAGTCGTGCTGCGGAAGGCGGCACCTAGGGACTATCGTATTCCCAAATCCTACCGTCCTATCGCCCTCCTGAACACTCTAGGTAAGGTCCTTGAAGCAGCAGTAGCAACCAGAATCGCCTACGCCTTAGAGGAGCATAAATTACTCCCCAGGGCCATCTAGGCGGTCGAAAAGGTATCTCAGTCGACCACCTCATTCAGCTGCTCCTCGACAACATCTTTGAAGCGTGGGGGAGCGAGAAGAAGGTAAGCATGCTCCTCTTGGATGTAGCAGGCGCCTTTGACAACGTCTCCCACATCCGACTGCTTCACAACCTGCGCACGGTACGACTTTGTTTCTTCGCGAATTGGCTCGAATCGTTCCTCTCGAATCGGCAGACGCGCATCCAGTTGCCCGGCTATGTCAGCAATCCTATCCCTACGTCGACAGGGATCCCACAGGGCTCCCCTATCTCCCCTATTCTCTTTCAACACCCTCCTAATCAAGGCACTAGACGTGTCAGGAATCGAGACACTGCGAATGCGGCCGCTGCTGAGCGGAGGCAGCAGGACAGTGCCATTCGGGTGGATCGACGATGCCTGCGTCTTAGCAATCTCAAGCAGCTACGCAGAGAATCAGCGTCTGCTCGAGAGGGCGCTGGACAAGGCAGCAGTTTGGTCTAAACAACACTCGTCAAAATTTGCACCCGATAAATTCGAGCTTATATACTTCGTGAATCCCCCACACCCTGGTAGCAGTCAGGAACGCGACAACAACAGAAATGGACCGTATAACTACGTGGCGCCACAGGAAGAGGATCCAGACACGCGCAGCGATACTAATCAGCGGCGCCTTTCGAAACACGGCAGCAGCAGCGCTGGGGGTAGAGCTTTACCTCCCTCCTATGCGGATACAGATGCAACAAATCATCCAGGAAACGGCCATTCGGATTCAAACCGGCCCGAGCCACACGTGCCCTAGGGGGCTGCGGCTCCAGAGAGGCAGGTCAGCATTTAAACTAACTGGCTACACCCCCCTGGAGGCACTCAAGTAGAAGACAACTGGTCCACTCTATTCTGGGGCCAGGGAGGAGACATGGGAGTCACGAGTGCCCTACGTCATTGCACCGTGGGAATTACCCCTACGGTGCATTATCAGCAACGCAGAACAGGCAGTACAGGACCATGATAGGATCTGCCACACGGACAGACAGGTGTGGTACTCAGATGGAAGTGGCTACTGCGGCAGTGTAGGAGCTGCAGCAGTATCAATCCGCGCTGGCAAGGTCCTGAAGAAGCACCTAGGAACAGAATCACAGTCTACAGTGTACGTGGGCGAGCTAGAGGGGGCCCGTATGGCTCTCGAGCAGTCGAGTGCAGGAGTGACTCCAATCACAGTATTTGCGGACAGCCAGGCAGCCATCCTGGCAATGGGGAATCCCAAGAGGCCCTCAGGGCAATACGCTCTGCGGGAGATCTACGCAAGGGTTCGAGAGTTGAGGCAGCAGGGCCCTGCAGGGGAAGATGTCGAGATACGCTGGATCCCTGCGCACATCGGAGTCGAAGGCAATGAGCAGGCAGACATGGCTGCCAAGGACGCAGCTACTGGAGGCGCTGCGGTCGAAATAAGCTCAGTGGGGGCGTCTCAGGGACGGCCAATCATACGGCTCGCTGTAGCAGCAAAGCGAGACGTCAGACAGAGCCTTCGTGAGCAGTGGGAGAGGCAAAGGGTGGGAAAGCCGACGAGGCGGCTCCTACCCACGCCAGATAAAAGGAACATAAGGCTGTATGAGCACCTTAGCAAGCCGCACACCTCAATTATCATGCAGATGCGCACCATGAGGATAGGATTGAGGCACTTCCTCTTCAAAATCAAGCAGGTTGATTCAGACAGGTGCGAGTGTGATCTAGGGTCCCAGACCCCTAGACATGTCCTCCTGGAGTGCCCGCTGCACACCACCTGTCGCGGAGAACTGATGAGACACCTCGATGTGATCGAGGGGCTGCGTGGGCGGGTGCAGGACTACGACGCAGTTATATCGAATCCGCAGGCGATCCGCTACGTCGCCGAATTCATGCATCAAACAGGCCTACTCCAGCAGTTCCGATTCGCTAAGCTCAGCGAGGAGGACGAGGAGGCCCCGATACAAACACCCTTCTGGAAGGACTCGAACTGGACGAGGAAGACGATGGTTAGAAGGAAACAAGGAGGCAGGAGCCAGGGTTAGGCAGCTGCCAGTGACGCACGAAAGGCTTTCCTCTCAAGGAAGGCAAGGAACACCAAGATAAAACGAAGTGGGAGGAGTGCAGCGTCAACTGGATGGCGCGGTAGACACGCAGCAGGCGTGTGGCAGCTGCTTTAGTTGTGTTTTTGCTTTTTGATTTGTCTACTGCATTACAATGCACTGCGATTGCATATGGGATACGGCGTTTTGGCACGAGATTCTGCTTCATTCGGCGAAGCGCCTGCATAGCTTGTTGTTTCAATAGATAGGCTTCATCAGGTTAATAGAATTTTGATTGATTGATTGATTGATTGATAGATCACCCGCTGTGTATATGCCAAACATAGACCCTTTAGAAGAGCGTTTAAAGAAGCTTGAGGGACTTAAGCGACGAAGAGATATGGTTGAGCGAATTGAGGAGCTTGAGGAAGAGGTAGAGGGGGAAAGAAGAAGAAAAAGGGAAACCCCTGCAAGTGCAGAGCATACACCTAGTAGATGTGTAGTATGTTAAAAAAGCCATTTCAATTCCCTAAAAGACGTCTAGACTAGTATTTGCTCTGCTTATTCCTAGACTCCATAATTTATCTCTAAAAACCAACCGTGCATATGCCCTACGCAGTCTCCGGCACTGACTCGGCAGCATTCTTCTTGCCGCGCGCCGGCTGCTTCCGGCTACTGGTGGCTACAAGTTCTAGCAGATGTTAGTATAAGGGGGATGTGCTATACTTACCCTTGTGACCCTTCTTCGGTGGAGCACGCTTGCGCTTGGGGGCAGACGTGGGGTAGGTGGCTAGAGGGTAGTGGGGAGATTTGGCTGCATATACTAGTATATTATAAAGAGCTTAGGTTCCAGGGGCACATGCCTTGTGACCAGAGACCTTACCCAGCCTCTAGGAAATATTAGCATACGCAGGGAATACGTAGAGTAAATACCCGGATCACATACAGGACGATGGAACTCAGTCCCAAACTGCTGAGCAAAGTCGTTATCTTCCTGGCTAGTGGTTCTTAGTTATATACTATGCATATAATACAGATATGCTCTACTCACGCCAGCTGCTGAGGAAGTTACAGTAATCCTGAATAATACGTACATAGGACCCTCACTAGCATCTTAGCCCTATGCCCAAAGTACACATGTATATATGCGGAGGGGAGGACATACCCAGGCTCCTTCACGTAACGGGCAGTTCTCCATCCTCTGCTAAGGATCCATCGCTTTAAAGCGCTGTTAATTATTAGTATATGCCCAAGAGAAGCTACATATCCACTAACTTTTCACCCGCAATGCGCTCGGCCTGGGGAATGTTGGTGCGGAAGGGATTAAGAGCTATGAATCCTTAGCATCTGCTAGACTTATATAAGGAATAGACAACTCACTGGCACCGGGATGGGCGTTCCGGATGTGGCGGCGAAGCTATGGAATAGGTAGCATAATAACGATGTGCTAAAAAACACGACCTACAGCAATCTGAGAACCGACGGGCTGGCCACACATTTGGTTGCCATTGACTGCGATGTCGCATCTGCGAGGTTGTCAGCCCATGCTTAGCATGTGCCAGGCATGTTAATTACTTACACCATGCTATTAATACCTACAGCCTTGAACCAGGAGGTTGGGGCATCTGTAAATAATTAGCATATGCTGCACATCTGCGGGGGTCCCATACTCTCGTTGTCCGCGGTGGTCACAGGTGTGCGGGGGTCCGGGTGTGGGCGCCAGGTGGGGTTTGGATTCGGGATGGGACCTGCATATGTTAAGCACATGTTGTGAATATATTAAGTAGATACTTACCGTGAAAGTAACCGTAGTCGGGGTGGGGGTTCACCGCCCCAGCGACCTCTGGATTGTCAAAGTCTTCACGCGAAAGCTGCATTCTCTGCATATTGATGGTATATGCTGAGAACAAGGCCCCTGAATAAGAACTAAAATCATCAGTGTATTCCGACATGCAAAAAAAGAGAAATTGGGTCACAGATTGGTAGTATATGCACTGGGTATACAGAAAAGAAAGGGTCACACAAATGGTTGTAATTGTATACTCTGGGCATACAGAAAGGAAAGGGGAGAAGGAAAGGCTTCAAGTCTTCCGGTCAAGATATATACGCGGTATATGCCAAGAAGGGACATGCGATACTCACTCAAGAAGGGGGGTTTAAAGAGAGAAGAAGAGAGAAAGAATGAAGAGAAAAAAAATTAGATCTTGTAGTCCAAAATAAATGCAAACGCGGCCACGTGACCATACCGAATATGGTAGGTCCCTAACACCCCCCCTTGGCCGAAGATCTAGCCCCAGCACCACAGCGGTGATACAGTAGGTAAAGGCCAGCGTGGCAGTGGCGGATTTTATGATAAAAACAGGCCTGCTCGGGCAGTTTCAAGCGGTAGACTCTGCAGCGACAGGGGTCACCAACCAAGCGCAGGGCGAGACGTCTGTCTCGGCCCGCGCAAGATAACTAATAAGGACATTGGGCTGCTGCCTGAAGCGAGTTCATACCAGCGGACGCCGGACCAGGATACCTGTGGCCGCCGAGCAGACCAGATAACGGTTCGGAGATATGCAGAAGGCGTTGGGGGGGCCGAGCCGGTGGCCACGGGGTTAATGGATATCAGAGACGCAGTGGTAGTCGACCTACGGTGCAGCCCACGACTGCAGACGGAGAGGTACAGGTGCCGTCAGGGGTTGAGCAGTAACACCGCGGCTCTGAGGACGCCGCGATGTTTGGTGGTGTTGATACCCGGGGGTGACATTCATTAAATTTTTCGTTTGTGTTGCTTGTTTAACTATATCCTTTTCTTAGGGCCATCTGCGAACTCTGGGATGGCCAGCCGCCAGGTGTGGCTTCCCCAGCACTGACTGTGTCAGCGCAACCCTGCATGGCGACATTCATATGTAAGCTAGGACAGGTTAATGAATACTACTACTACTACTACTACCACCACCAAAGTACGCAACCGTTTGACTTTTGTGTTAAATTATATTGAACTTATCAAATATCCCCGTGATCATCCTCAAAACGGACCTTCCTCCCGTCCCCCGTCGTCATTGTGGCCGCAATGGCGCCGAACGCGGGTGGAAAGGCTACGTGGCCTTCAAACCTACAAGGCCGATTGAGCAAGCGACTCCATGAAAACATATACGCATATACGAATGCCTTTTTAGCTGTCGCCTTAGAGCTAAAAGCAATCCAGGATGGAGCAGGCTCGCACGGCCCGCCAAAGGGCCTGTTCCAGCTCTTCCTGGACGCGGTCATTGAACTGGTCGGACGGTTCCAGGAGGCTCCCTCAGTAGAGGACCTCACCAAAGACATCACGGAACTAAAGTCCCTAGTGTCGAAGCAGACAAAAGACCAGTTGCAGCTGGTTAAATCTGTTAGTGCACTTGGGACCCTGCGGACCGGCGCGTTGACGCCCGTGTCAGGACCTCCGCGTTCCTGGCTCAAGGCCGCCCGTCGCGGCGCGGTTCTGGGAACCACTACAACAATAACTTCAGGATCGTATATATCTAACTGGTTGGGCGCTGCCCATACCAAGGGATCTACGGTACCCAGCACGGTTACCAGAACGTTAGGGTCCCCTGCCCCAGTACTGCCCCTAACAGCAGACCTTGAACTGCACGTCCGCAAGACCACCCCCCCAGTGGTCAATCCCTTTCGGCACAACTACCAGAAGTTAGTAGTAGTAGTAGTATTCATACTCGGATCTGCGAGCTCTACGCCGAGTGCCGGAAAAGGTCCCGTTCCGACGGCTGGGCCAACCGTCGGGGCAGTTAGATACAGGCACGTAATACTATATCACATGATCGAAAACGCTGATTCAACTTCGTTCCTGATCTCGCCCCTATATCCAACCTCTCTGCAATGTTTCGTCGCCAACAACCACTTCGTCTCGCGTACACCGTTAGTAAGACCATACCTACATGCGTATCTGTTTGTATGCCTGGATCCTACATTAGCACAATCTCTTCCACCTCCACGCCTGACTCGTTGGTTGTCGGTTCCGTGCCCCGTGTCATTCGTCCGTGTCATACGCCTACGGCCTTCGATTGCATGTCGGAGGGTACCCGCCTACGGGTTGTGCGGCGTGGGGACTGTGTCGTTAACACTCCTGAATTGGCCAGGAGTCGTGTCTGCAGCATAAATGTGACTGCCCGCTGCGTCAGGCCGGCTGCTGCCGACGAGACGTCTAGTACCGCCGATAATCGTTGTTCGGCGGTCTTCCAATGTCTTTGACCGCAGATCTGCATGCCGGTGGCATGAGATCAGGACATGTTGGACTGACTGATGCCCGTACCCGCAGGGCATGCGGTCGTGTCCATGGCACTAAGGTTCCTAGGTAGGATGCGAGCGCTATCTTACCGGTCTGCATCTGTATAAGCTCCGCACCCCGAAAGGCCCCTGGGCCGGATGGGATTCCTAACCTGGTCCTACAGCGGAACCTGGCCCACATTGAAACATGGTTGGAGGGCATCTTCAACGCCTGCATAGATACAGGTTACTGCCCAAACCACTTTATGTGACGGCCAAGCAATTTGATGGAATTGGTGCTATCTCAACGAAAATTTCATGCGTAGATAGGAGAAAGAAAGGTGGTGAGGGGGCGGTGCGGAGAAGTAAATAAAACTAGATACAAACAATGCAAACAGACCATGTGCAGCCGTCACACTTTAGAGCATCAAAGACTGTCGTCCTGCGCAAGCCAGGGAAGGACGACTACTCCAACCCCAAGAACTACAGTCCAATTGCGCTTTTAAGCACTATCGGCAAAGCACTGGAAGCTATTATTGCGTCGCGGATTAGCTACCTTGTAGAATGTTACGGGCTCCTACCAGAGCACCATATTGGTGGTCGCAGGGGCCGTTCCTGTGAATACGCGCTGCACCTACTCCTAGCAGGTACATGCGGCGTGGAGAAACGGAGACATCGTGGCCACCCTACTAACTCTGGACGTCTCCGGGGCATATGACAATGTATCCCATAGGTGACTACTACACAATCTACGCAAGCGCAGAGTACCTGAAACCATAGTACAATGGATCTCCAGCTTTCTAACAGAAAGACGAACCATTATCTGCCTCCAAGAGGGCCCTAGCAAGGAGTGCGAGGTCTCAACCGGTATCCCTCAAGGGTCACCACTGTCCCCTATCCTCTACCTCTTCTATAACGCCGACCTTATTGACACCCTCCCAACGTACAAGAGCATGACGCTGGGTTACGTGGACGACATCTGCATCCTGGTCTGGGGCACGACGGTTCGCGAAAATTATGCTCGTCTTCGTCGGCTTCACACCCACACGGAACACTGGGAACGCACGCATGCGTCGAAGTTCTCACTGTCCAAGTACGGCCTAATTAATATGGTACGCCAGATCGGGCCACGAGATAGACACCATGCTACCTCCGTCATGGAGCTGGACCGTCCCCTAATTATAAATGGCATCGCGATACAGCCAACGTCTGAGCTACGGTATCTAGGGGTCTTCTTAGACCCAACCTGAGCGGCAAAGCACACCTTAAGCAGCTGCAAGCCAAAGCCGTGAAGCTAACAGCCGCCCTCTCGTCGATCGCAGGGTCAACATGGGGCGTACCGACCCGATACCTCCGACGCATGTACACCGCAGTCCTTACGCCACAGATTCTCTACGGCTGCTCAGCGTGGTTTATTCGAGGCGCCAGAGGCTATCAATCAAGCGCCACACAAATCACCAAAGCGCTGGAGAGCATTCTACACCGCGCATTATGCCGCGTAGCGGGCGCTTTCCGCACGACCGCACAGGTTGCCCTAGAGGTATGCCTACACATACGCCGCCAAGCGTAGCGCTGCGCATGGCTACCGACAGGGCCTGCCTGCAAATCATGTCTTCCCCATTCCACCAAACCTTGCGCACCATACGAAACACGCCCCCACCACCGCAGAACCCATATAGAACGCGACCCGGCACTGTCACCGCTGCATCGGCTTGAACGACGCGTTGCCCAGGCCCTCGAGGACCCGGGCAATTCAGCGTGGAAACGATCCAGCCGGTGATCGTGCCCCTGGTGGGATCCACCGGAAATCAATGCCGATACACGGAAAAGCAATCCACAACATAACCGCCTTCCCCGAGACGCCACGAGGGCCTATACCGATGGTAGCGGTACAAGGGCGTATCGGGGCCTCGGCGGTTATTACTGCGCGACAGGAATCTTAACCACCAGTTGGACAAGAGACAACGCATACGGTCTATACAGGAGAACTTATGGAATTGACATGGCACTTGCACTGGCGACCCCTACCAACGCGACGCAGCCAGTAAATATTGTGATCTTATTACAACCAAGCCGCCATCCGTGCCTGCGCTACCTGCGCGAAGTAGGTAATACATTCTTCGCAGCATCCTCCAACACTAACAAGTCACCGCACATCGCCGCGTACGCCTCCAGTGGCTCCCGGGCCACGAAGGCATCGCCGGCAATGAGCACGCTGACTACTTAGCCAAGCTCGCCGCCGAGCAGGCCGCCAACGACACGGTAGTACGGACCCAGGACTCTCCTGGTCTCTGCGTGTCGCCGGCGCCTGCGCGAGCTTGCCCACAAAGCTGGGAAAAACAGTGGGCACCTCCACCACGGCCAACACACAAAAAGATACTGCCCGAGCCCACAAAGCGCGTGTTGACCTCCACGAGGCCCTCCCCGCCGCACAGCTCGGTGCTTATAAGATCAGACCGGTAAGATTGCACTCGCATCCTACCTAGGACCTTAGTGCCATGGACACGACCGCATGCCCTGCGGGTACGGACGCAGTGGTTCAACATGTCCTATCTCATGCCACCGGCATGCAGATCTGCGGTCAAAGACATTGTGGAAAGACCGCCGAACAACTGATTATCGGCGGTACCTAGACGTCTCGTCGGCAGCAGCCGGCCTGACATAGCGGGCAGTCACATTTATGCTGCAGACACGACTCCTCGGCCAATTCAGGAGTGCTAACGACACAGTCCCCACGCCGCACAACCCGTAGGCGGGTACCCTCCGACATGCAATCGGAATTCTATTCAAAAAGTGACCATTATTCCTTAAAAGGCCCTTCGAAGGCCGTAGGCGTATGACACGGACGAATGACACGGGGCACGGAACCGACAACCAACGAGTCAGGCGTGGAGGTGGAAGAGATGGTGCTAATGTAGGATCCAGGCGAGCATGCAGACAGGTATGGTTCTACTAACGGTGTACGTGGGACGAAGTGGTTGTTGGCGACGAAACACAGCAGAGAGGTTGGATATAGGGGCGAGATCAGGGATAAGGTTGAATCATGTCAAATAAGTTGGTGGTAATAGTGACGTAAACAAGGTCATAAAAGAGGGGTAAAACGAACTCCCCTACACCTAGCAGAAGAAGCAACCTAACGATCCATTATAATCACAAGAATGATAATACGTTGATCGATATAATCAAGAAACCATCAAAACAATCATTTTAAGCACCTTTTCAATAATAGAGTCTACTTTCCTATTCGGTATTAGCCGAATATCGAACAAATCAGCGTTTTCGATCATGTGATATACTATCACGTGCCTGTATCTAACTGCCCCGACGGTTGGCCCAGCCGTCGGAACGGGACCTTTTCCGGCACTCGGCGTAGAGCTGACAGATCCGAGTATGAATACTACTACTACTACTGTAGGGACAATAGGGACATTGGCCCGAGAGGTCAAATGGGCTCCAGCCCTTTACATGAAGTGCTAGCTGAAGGCCAGATCGAGCCTTGATACATAAATCATATTAAGGATATGTTTAATCCAGCCGCGGTAAAAGGCTTAACATAGATTATCGTCTCCGGAAAAACCTTACCAATGCCCGTCGTTTGCCGCCTGTGACAGGTTCGGAGTCTGATTTCATCTGTTTGGGAGGATGATTGTGGATGGGCAAGGTAGGAGAGGCTTCGGGTGAAGTTTGCTGCGTTGGCTTCTTTAACAGGGAATTCACTGCTATTTCCCAGTTGCTAAGAGCATTAGAGGAAGATATGGCATGCGGGTGATCTGGGCCCAGCAATTTACGGCGGAGCTCTGCACACTTTTCCATCAGGGCTAAGGCGTCTTCGACCTTTCCTAATAGTTTCCATGTGCAGGCCAGATTGTTCATGCTCGTCAGAGTGTCTGGATGCTCTGGCCCCAGTACTTGCTTGCGGAGCTTTATTACCTGCACCTCCAGCTCTTCTGCTTCCTTCCATCGTCCCTGATTCGTGTATGTTGATGCCAGGATGGCCATGCTGGTGAGAGTGTGTGGATGCTCTGGCCCCAGTACTTGCTTGCGGAGCTCCATCACCTGCACCCCCAGCTCTTCTGCTTCCTTCCATCGTCCCTGATTCATGTATGTTGATGCCAGGTTGGCCATGCTGATGAGAGTGTCTGGATGCTTAGGCCCCAGTATTTGCTTGCGGAGCTCCATCACCTGCACCCCCAGCTTTTTTGCTTCCTTCCATCTGCCGTCACTATACAGACACCCCCCAATATTCACAATAAAATAATGTATTTCTCCTGCTCCTTTGGAAGTCAGCTCTGCTATTAGGAAAACGCATGGGTAGATATTCCGCCACACTTCCGATTGGTTGTCATTGTTCGGGAAAGCTTCGTCAATCGGTCTGCAGTTTTCAATATTTGCAGCTAAACTGTTGGCTCTTTCTCATCCAGTTCCGAGTTGCAAGATGGACTAGTCGGTGTAGATTTAGAAAGTCCCCCCTCCTCCTAACAAAGGAGAACGCTTAGAGGCCATGGCATCAATTCTCTTCTTGTCGAGTTCGGCTGGGAAGTAGGACTGTGGAATATCCGGGATTGATCAGGCCATAATGATAATAGTCGCGAGTTCATTTAATCGTGAATTGCTGAAAGGAGATGAAAGGTCAAAGCCACAGGATTCTGGGTGTCTTTGTATCGCCTTATCCCAAGTCTTCACTCAGAATTCAATCACATCTGGTCCTGGTCCTGTAAAGTATAATATATCAGAGAGGCCAATTATTTTCATTAATTACGCTGCCGCCTGGGTGATGCCAACGGAGAAAGGCCAGCTGCTCAAGAAGAGTAATGGTATATCACGATATTAAGTTTTTTTCAATAGTGAGTTTTCTAAATTTGACAGCAGTCTCTGTGTCCGGCTCAGAGATCATTATCACATAAGAAGACACTATTTCACAGCTACCTTCCGGCTGCGTGTGGTAAAGAGAATATGACCCTGCTCACATTGAGGCAGAAAGTCCGTTAGTACTGGAGTATTAGTGTTATTCTTGCTCCACATCCCCATATCATCTGCGTTATCAAAAAGAAGAAGCCACTTCCCAGCACTCTCCTGGCTGAGATAAGCCTTGACTTTTTCTTTTACCTCTGCCGGCTTGGTATCAGTTATTCCTAGGGTTGAGGCGATGCTCATGTAGGCTTGTTCCACGCTCTCATAGCTGGTACATGTGATCCAGAAAATCGAGCACTCAGGGTCTCGATTTCGCATGCGGTATGCCAGTTCAAGTGCAATCTGGGTCTTCCCAACTCCGCCTAGTCCGCAGATAGCAACTTTGCAGGTCCTTCTGTTGCATAATCAATCCTTCAGTCTGGTGATTTCTTCTTCCCGACCTACGAATCGCGGGTTCTTTCAAAGGAACCATCCAAACTGTCCCTTGATTATGTGATTCCTTCTTGTAGCAGTAAATGGGAAACACTGACAGGAGAGCCTTTGCATAGGCAGCAGCAGCAAGGGCGGCATACCTTGCCACTGTTATTTTTGTGGGAATCACATAGTCACAGATGCCTCGAATGGCAAGTGATGGAGTTCGTCATGAGCCCAGCAGCCTCCATTTCAAAACAGAGTATGTCTAGATCTTTAGCAATGGAATCTCGAGTCTTGGCATTTTTTATACCTGATCTCCAGAAGCGATCAAGCCATATGAAAATAAGGTCATCAGTTATCCGCTCGGGACGGTTCACAACTGGGTCTGATCACATGCCGAACAGTTATATTCGCTATCCTCATGATTGTATGTCGGTCGGAATAGCCAGTCATCTTTTGGTCGCGAAAACTGTTCTCCTATCTCTTCACATTTGTGCAGTATATCAATCAATGTTTTGCCAATCAGCCTTTTTCCTGTCATATAATCACTCTCTAATTGAGACACAGCCTTAACAACACTGGAGGTGGTTTATTAAGCGACCCGGTGTGCTGGAATCGTCCGTCGCGAAGTGTCTTGCCGTAGTCATATTGGATAATACCACTTGAAGTGGCAGTTGGCTTGCTGATTACAACATCACCAAGGCGAATGTCAGCAGTTTGGCTCGGGACTCCGCCTCCAATACCCACCATCAATCCGAACTGGATACTCCGAAATGTAGCATATGTGACGCGACAGCTGTAGCGGATATCGTCCCATAAACACCGCTAGGCAGACAGGCCACCACCACATTGTGGCCGTTGACACTCCCAAGTGTGTAGACATTGTGGTCGCTTTGTGGCTGGGGGAGCGGAGGGTGAATCTCGTCCAGCATGACCTTCGCGGCCGCCATTTCCAGCGGCAAGGCGCAGATCCATGCGACCGTATAGTCGTCACGTGTGAAGCTCATTTGTCATGCACAATAATGAGGTGAAACTTAGCGAGAAGGGATTAGGTACTCTGTGGTTAGAAGGAAAAAAGAGCATTTATTACAGTAGGTACATGTATCAGAATTGCAGGATAAAATTTCTTTAAGGGCAAGTCCAAATTCGAGGTTGGGAGTTGAGGGGTCATCCGCAGTTCAAAAGCCAATCATGGTCTTGAGAATATGTAAATAAGTAAGCAAACATAGCCATCTGACTCAGGGGGGAAGAAGGCAGTAAGCTCATCGAACAGCTTCACACAACCAGTTGCCTTATATAGGGAACGATATGTCATTGATATCCTAGACTACGATAACTACCATACTTCCTTGGATGGTTGACTCTCGCACCTAGAATACATGAAGAGGGTTGAAGTACCCAGGGGCACGTTAGGCAACCACATAAGATGCAGATCATTACTTTATCAGATTTTTAATTGGAAGACAGATGCACATAACCATATGATTGCATTATTTGCAACACACCGTGTTTGTATTCAACATTTGCAACTGAATCCCTATAACTTGTTTATGGACTGCACATACAAAACAAATCGATTCCGCATGCCACTGCTTGATATTGTCGGCTCAACTGCAACTAATTCAACGTTTTATGTTGGTTTTGGCTTTATACAAAATGAGCGGCAGGAATCATATGAATTCATTCTTTCATTTATCCGATCATTATATGAAAAAATTTATATAATTTCTGACCCGCAAACCATACTTGTTGACAAGGATCAAGCGCTGATCAATGCAATTTCTCATATACTTCCACTTGCACACTGCCTTAGATGTATTTGGCATATAAATCAAAACATTTATACTAAAGCGAAGCCTCTTTTGCGTAAAGAAAACGCTTACTTTGAAGATGATGAGGAATTTAAGCAGGCAAATGAAGCTGCATGGAAAGACCTATCATCTTTTTGGTCTCTTGTTATTTTTGTAAAGGATTTGGATGAGCATCTCTCTCGATGGGATCAATTTTGTACTGAATATGAGCCGTTTCCCACACTTATTTAGTGAGAAACAGGGCTATTCGGTGTCTTGGGCCATTCGGTGTCCGACTACGTTAGGACAAGAGTTTCTAGAACATGCTTCCATGAAGTCATCAGGTGTACTCATTGGGTACCATCTTATGAAGACAGATACGACAATTCCAGGCACCACAAATTAATTCTCGCCCTTCAACGGATCAGCAACATGGATGCTCTCATCCCACTCCGGAGCCTGGCGGTCCAAAGCCCACTGGCGCACAGCTTCAAAATCTCGACAAGTGTGGGTGCTGTTCGCAAGAGGTCTCGTAGCCTGACTCTCCTCATGCCAGATCCAAATAATCGCCGAAATATCAGACGAACACATCAGACTTTGGCGGATCGAGTCAACGCAGTGGTCCAAGTGGTCCATTTCCTGGAGCCCCAGAGGATCTGAGTCTGTACTGTTGTCTGTACTGCTCTTGACTGCGACTCCGCTGTGGACAGGGTTCGAGCCCCAAATCTTGAGACGCAGTTGGTTCTGAGCACAAATGTATCAGCTCTGTTTCAGGAATAGGAAAGGCTCAGTTACCAAGCAGTGGAGCTGGTGGAAGACATCAAGCTGCACGACATAATACCCCGGCGCTTCTTGGATCGGGACTGTCTTGTTGGGAAGCTTTGCAGCTTGGTCTATTGGTATTATGCTGATACCGGCTGTTGCATCTATGTTAGTATAGCCAACGGATTGGTAACCAGGAGAAACTGCCCAGCATACCTTGATAGAGGTCCTCCCATGCTTGCTCATTCTCTTCTGTAGGTGGGCCCATATACTTGGTTTTGCGCTCAAATCCAGAGTCAAAGACAGTAGTCTTGTATCGGATCACATCCCGTGCAGGAGCTATAGACATCAGATCACTAAAGAATGGTCTGGATTGTGGGAAGCATACAATATAGTTCATCGGGGATCCAATAATTTCGTCCATATCTTAGTGAGAAGGGAATGATAATTAAAGCACAGGTAAGGACTCCAATCAGTGCCCACTGGACAGTTAGGGTCCTGCTAAGCTTCTTTTCTCGTTCTTTGTGCTCGCTCAGCAATATATAGTATGTACTATCAGGGACAAGAAATGATGCCTTGACATCATCCAGCTCGTCCGAATATAGACTTACACTGGTCTCATTTAGAGGCATCGCTATGGGTGAAAGGTGAGTTGTCTGTTTTGGTCAGGAGCTTGACTGCTACTTGAGTGTATGTGGGAGGAGAATTCACCCAGTCAAAGGATGGGAAGGTTGGTTTGGCAGCCTCTCCTCTGGAAGGTGCGGTGAGCAGTTACATTGCAGGAAGCCCCCTTGCAATTACTTTCATTGCAATTAAACTCTATCAAACAAGGGGGGTCAGGTCTAATATAGCCAATAGCTTGCAATAATGCGGGGATTGTAGTACGCAGAAAGTCGTCCACTTACAAAATACAAATAGCCTATCATTAGTTATTTATAGTATATCTTCATCATACAGTATGAAGAGTGATCTGGTATTTGAAACAGTTCCAGTGGCCTATATAACTGACGTGGTGTTGGATCCGCCGGGACAATGCCAATCCCTGTGCCTGAGGCACCTGTTTGGGGTATTTCGCCAATTTTGCGGGAGCAAGGGAAAATATGCAATGAAATAGGGATAGGGTATGGATAGTGTTCCGGACTGGGGCCCCTGTTGAGCGAACCTACAGAAACGCATAACGCCAGGGAAACACTCAAGGCTTGATCGGTCGGGGATTGTGCAGTCATCACAAGTTGCATTTCTTTGATTACAGGATATTAATAGAAACTGGACTGTTTAACGGATGACTTGATGTAGCATTGTGGCATTCCTTCAGAGTCATCTGGTCATAAAGCCAAAGTAAGGACTGCCCTTGGGCCTCAGAAAAATGCCGCAATAGCACTTATGCCAAACGTACAAATAGGCCTACAGATACGCAGTCTTCTCGATTTTATCACTATCGATCTCATCTGTAGTTGCTCAGCATAAATTTCATCCACTCTTAGTCTATCATACATCCTATTCTTCATCATGAAGGTTGGCTTGATTGCTTCGTGCTTGTTCGCTGTTCTGAGTGCGAGTGCCCCAATTATGGATCAGGTGAGTTTGAGTGTTTCCGTTCTCGATAGAAAGCAGATGTGGCTTGTATCTAGGTAGATGCTAGAATCTCAGGCTCACAGTTTCTTCAAAAACGGCAACAAGGCCACCGATGAACTGGACAAAGCTACAACTGATGTGCATAACGTTCTTCGCCAAAATTACGGCTGGTTTCAAAGTCTTGGCAAGCGTGACATGGATGAACCTACAACTGAAAAGATTGACATGGATAAGGCTACAACTGATGTGCATAATATCCTCCGCCAAAATTACGGCTGGTTCCAAAGTCTTGGCAAGCGTGACATGGATGAACCTATAACTGAAAAGGTTGACATGGATAAGGCTACAACTGATGTGCATAATATCCTCCGCCAAAATTACGGCTGGTTTCAAAGTCTTGGCAAGCGTGACATGGATGAACCTACAACTGAAAAGGTTGACATGGATAAGGCTACAACTGATGTGCATAATATCCTTCGCCAAAACTATGGCTGGTTCCAAAGCCTTAAGCGCGACATGGAAAACTAGGGTCAGGCTCTAGACAGACTTGGTTGTCTTTGTTGTTTGGGTACAGGTGTATCTTGATTTTGTGTTGAACTTTTTCAGTGCACCCGAATGGAGCTACGAGAATGGCTGGATTGCTCAAAAACTAGTCTCTTTTCTTACTCTCTTTCTTGTGGTCTTTGCAAACTCCGTAGCCAGTTCCAGAATGAATACAGTTTATGATATTGGCCTGCTCAACTTCAATATTTCATGGACCAATAAGATGATTCTAATATCCCGATTCACGTAACCTACGACCTATGCTGAAAGGCCTAGTGATGTTTTCAGGAGATTTTGCTATCTGTAGGTGAATTATATTCTTGTATTAAGATAAAGAAATGGTTATGTAAGTCATATGAGGAGCAGGAAATGTATTTTTTTCCTCCTCTATTCATACTCAATCTACATCTAGTCCATCAACAGAGGAATGAAATAACTGGAAAGTTAGATAACAGGAGATTACACTGAAATAATTGCTCTTTCTATATATCCAACTATAAAGATGTTCTCCTAGACACGCAATATACATAACAGGCGCTTGATGCAAGGCATCCAGGGACATCATCCCACAGTAAAGCCACCATCAGCTCGAATATCCGCACCGTTTGTCCTACCGCTGAGTCCTAGTTTCCATTAATTTGAAACCAAGCCTACAGAACCGATTTTCTTCCCTAACGAAAGATCAGTGCACTCATCGCAATCACTTCAGGCAGCCCAAACTTGCCAGTTGGGATATTGTTAAGGAAAGTTTCACTGATGGAAACTTTCCCCCATGCCTTCTTCCCCAACTCAGTCCAAGTGACGGTGGGTGAAACACTGTTCGCTGTAAATACTGCGGCCATCCTATTCTAGAGTCATACTCCGCGTTAGCGCTAGAAGTGCTGCCTTGGAAGCACAATATGCGCCGTGACGATGTAGTCCACGCAGGCATGGCAACAATATCTTCCGGTATTGAGTCCATCGATGGAAAATTTCATCTTTATATTCCTTTATTGGGATTCCCTTTTCTTATGCTAATTACATGGATATCTCCTACTTATTTTCCTCCTCCACCTCTGAAATTGCCACTAGATAATGCCAATGAGGTGACATGCAATTCAGCTCGAGGATACCTTTATTAGCGCATATATAATATATATTCGTATTATATGCTTAGCATATGCTAATTCCTATTTATTTCCTTTACCAATCTATATAGATTTGGCCCCAGCACACTCTGTAAACTTCATAAAAACTTAAATATTGAAGGTATTACTGCGTTGATTCGGAAACAAAGCTCTTGTCATTTCCTGAAGGGACACACATTGCAGGTATTTTATAAACTAGCATCATTTGGATATATAGTAAGCATGTACTAGTTATACTCCGACTCTCCGAGAGTATTCATTTGATCGCTTAAAGGAAAGCAGTGAGCAGTGGATCCGTGAGGTCTTTTTTTTTTTTTTTTTTTTTTTTTTTTTTTTTTTTTTTTTTTTGATCCTGAGCATTGGTTGATCCTATGCTGCTCATATGCTCAGGCTAAGGCTTTTGAAATGGATCTGTTGTACACTCATACAGGTCTGGACTGCATAAGAGGTTCTCGGTGGTCGCCCTAGTTTGTTCGTCCATACTTCCTGTGTTTGACCTCGCCCACGTTCATTCAATCTTCAACTTCTCACTAGTCAATGGAATACCATACGTTCTTCCTCTGAGTTTTCGTGTTTACATATTGTAGCATGTCCCGCGACTGTTGATCCTCCGACCTGTCTACTTGTTGTTTTCTGGCTGTTTACTGAATGCCTTTTGACTTGTTTAGTTCGGTTTACTGCGCCATACCTCTCTACGGGCGACCTTGGGACCTCCAGTCAGTCGTTCATCCATCTCCTTTGTTTTTAGACCTTGAGAAACCGTGGCTAGCTATCTTGGTCATCTCTTTCATCTCCTCGCTTCTCCAGGGACTCCGTTGAAGCTTTTCGCATCCACGTTGACACTGAATGGCACCAATGTGGCTACCCAGGATGATAAGAATATTTTCCTCAATCTTGAATATTCTGTGTCTGAATCCGGATCGAACCTTTCTCAGGGCCAAAGGCAGTTAATGTGTCTGGCACGTGCGCTTCTCAAGAATCCCAAGGTCTTGATGATGGATGAGGCAACGGCTTCTATCGGTTACAGTAGCGACAGCAAGACCCAAGAGATGTTACGGGAGCTCCGGGACTGTACAATCATCACAATCGCACACCGGCTGCAAACCATCATCGATTATGATAAGGTGCTGGTATTGGACCACGGCCGCGTTATCGAGTTTGACCATCCCTGGACGCTGATAAACAAGACCGATGGCCTCTTTCGAAGTATGTGTGAGAACAGCAGCAACATGTAATTTCTGCAGGATGGAGCAAAGAAGGTATGGGAACAGAAACGTCTAGTAGATGGCTCAAAGACTGGCCTTATTATAAGTAATTATATTGAATATTCCTGTTGATTCCAGTATCTCTTTGCCCTATTGTGGAAGATAAATGGAGACTCCGCAAATAGAGGGAGTGTAGATGCCAGTTCAAGCGCATTCCTCGTTGTATCGATTGCTGAGAATACATTCCTCCGGCTTCAATATATCAGCTCGCTCTTGTAAGCAAAGATAAATAACCCTCTAGCCGCCCTGAAGAAAGCTTCTCAATGCGCTCTTGCTCATTGTTCCTCGAGCCAAAAAAAAGAGGCAAGGCGTTCAGTTGTCCTGCCGAAAGAAGGTCAGACAAGAGAGACGTAGGTCTTATGAAGAAGGCATATGAATATAGCCAGATATGTGGTGCAGATGTTTGTCTGCAACCGTATCCAACCGTATAGTCCTGTTGTAAATCGAGGCTCGCTCAAGTAAACTATAGAGCTTCATAGCTCATACGGAATAAATTCCGTATGGAATCAGGTTGATTGGAAATCAGTCTGATATTCATCTTGTATATAAATCGTCAAGTTTATGAGGAGAATAGAACAATCAATCTTACTCTGAATCACAACAAAAACGGATACTACAGGCGATAATAATGGTACCATACAACCATATAATGGAGGTAACGACCGTAGTGAGGGCCATTTGAATGTGAGATATACTGAACGATTGGATTTCGTATATAGAAGTAAAGTGCACCGCTTGCACGTAGCGTATTCAAAACCAATCAATGTTGTTATTGCCAAGCTCAGGACCGTAACTATTCCACTGGACCAAAAGACCACTATATCTGATCCATTCCTGAGCTCCTTATATAATAGCGTACTGTAATGTTAGGTGACGCACCCACACCTAACGAATGGTCCCACAGAGAAGCAGCCATCACGACGGCAAGCATCGCGTTCACGTATATACCAAAGAATTCGATCGGACACAGGAAGGGTGGTTCAGAAAGGATGGACAAGCCACATAGTATCTAGCTAAAAACATTATTACAAGTGTTCTGTGTGGTTGAACACCTTCATGAATATTCAATCTCGCATTCACTTGGCCTTAATGCGTAGAAGTAATTTCTAGCTATGTATATTGAAAGACCAGCGGACTTACCTACGGGCCATTTTGTCTGTTCCATATTTGGTTGAGCTAGGAATATGGTCAGTATTTATAAGGTCGGATATGCTACTGGCCACGGCTTTGGGCTCAGCGCCCATTAAGGGGGCTTCTCTCCGTATTGAACGGCCATATGAATGGTTTACCTATTAGAGGAGCCAGCCCAATTGAGGGGGAAATGAGGTTAACGTTTTACAGGCTAGCATTGGTGGCTGAAGTACCAACCATGGGCTTTTTATTGAACGTCTTGATGCCCCCCGCCCCCCGCGTACCGTCTGTTGGTTTTGGACATGATGCCTCCAGAGGGGACCATTAAACCTGAAACACACAACACGACTATATAAAGAACACAGTTATCGTCATGTATGATAGAGATTTGATGAAATGCCGCCCAGTGGTATTCGTCGGGTTTGCAACGTTGCCCGCTCAAAATCAATGAACATCACCCGATCATTATCCTTGACCATGTTGCCGAGCATTGAATCACCCTGAAGCACTTGTAGATCGCGAATTGCCTGCAAGAATTTCTCAGCTTGCTGAATTAGTCAATGGCGATCGAGGTCATGCTGGCTTGCAAGGTCCTTCCGGCATAGCCCACGAACATCAGACGAACAATCTCGGCAATGCCGTCATAAGAGAATGGGCAGCGAAGCTGCAGGCTGCCGAGTAAAACTGGCACAGATACTCCTTGGATTGGAGTGAGATGCGAATGCACGAGCTCCTCGTGCTTCGAGAGCTCGACAAACTCGACTGGCGCACCTTTTCCTACAAAGGTATATTCAGGTGACCTCAGTGTGATTTTAAAAAGCGCCCGACGCCCGTGAACGTGCAGCGATTCGCACCTCAGTTCTATCGCATGCTTGATTCCGAGCTTTGAATCGGAGCTTTGAATCGATGATGTTACTACCTGATAGTATGTAGTGAGAATAGATCTGAGTTTTAAAAGTATTACCACCAATTAACTATTTCCCGGTCCTTGCGTTACTAAAGCACACACACTTGACATCTATCTAGGTGATTACCATTTTCATACTATCTCTTCATACCATCCTTTCTATTATCGTGTGGCTAGTACGCTCTTTATCATGCCATCAATGTCCGGTCATTTTCAAGAGTAGAGACAACATATGCATGTTCTGATATATTTGGGTATTCCGGTAGATGATGGGATATTCAACGGTAGAAACCATCAGAGGGGTGTTTCTTCCTGAATTAAAACCAGGAGCCTATATTTTTGTTAGTAAATTTGGCCAACCAATTAGCAGCCGTTTACCAACCAATTGGGAGCAAGTGGGTACATTCTCATCTGCTTGTTCTACCTTGTATTCACTTTCAGAGATTGTAATAACCTCTGGCATCATGCCCTCCATTGCAAGGTCAAAGTAGGAAGGGTCTTCCATTTGTAACCCGTAGTCAACTGGTTGGTAGTGCTGTTGAATTTGTTGAAGAATTTGACAGAATAATTTGTAATTGTAAATGAATTCTGTAAGGATGTTTTAAGTAACCCCGACTCCCTGCACTTCTGTGGGACCGCACAGACCCCCAAAGTTCAGGTTTAGCCGAGGCCTTGGTCTGCCCCACCTGGGTCCTCGTAACTACCATACTTCCTTGGGTGGTTGACTCGCGCACTTCTCTAGAATACAGAAAAGGGGTTAAGTACTCGGGGCCGTAAACCCCGAATATTAGGCGACCACCTAAGGTGCAGATCATTACTTTATCATTATTTTATAGGATATTATAATTTATTATTCCTTTTTTGGTCTGCTCCTTCTCCTATAGTTAAATTTATTCTGTTTGTTGCAGAAATCATGAAAAATATGTGGAAAATGGACAGGACGGCCGTGGAGTACGTTAGTAGTCCACCTAGCCGCCTATTCAATTGCCAAGCCTGCCCAAAACTATACGTATCATGGATCTAGCTATACCTCAGCTTCAAACAACCATCAGTCTCTCTGCGGATATATATTCGGTAGCTGTGTGTATACGTTGCTTACAGATGTGTGGCAAAGGTCAAGCTAACAAAATAAATATCTAGGTAGTATCTTTGTGTGGTTGTTGTGGGGATGTACTGTCAACTATTGTCAGACGCTTTCCATCTTAGGCGCTTGCATGACGATCCCAAGGTGATGGGGGAAATTAGCTTCCCGATCACTACCCATGCGGACACGGATCGTCAAACTCAGCCAAGCCACCCTATGGTCGGCAGAGCACGAACCCTTGAAAGACAGGGTCCCAGGAGGAGTATTTGGAAACCTTGCAGAGTAAGTAGTAGCCCACGACATCCGCATCGTTGCAGCATTGAGTTTAGCTGAGCTGTGTGTGGGATCAGGGATCACATGGAGCAAGGTGACAGGGCCCAAGTAACTACGTAGTTGTTACTCGGCAGGTGGTCCCCACTAACAATGCGTGAATGGCCCCGAGACACGAATCCTGTGTCCCCCCAAAACCTCCAGTAACAATTTCTTTTCTTAACACCATTTACAGCAGACTCTGTACTCGCGTCCTTCACATAGAATCGACCTCTCAGACTACTGGCCATTCAAACAACGGACGACCCCTTTCCCATCGTGTATTGGTATCGTCGCAGAGATGAGCAGTTATCTTGGCGACAGGCCACCGAGAGACAAGCCACCGGGCTTCCCAGTTGCAGCTAATAAACCTGGGGCGCGCAAGAAGATGCGACCCACATATTCGTGCTTGAACTGTCATAAACGCAAAGTCAAGGTTGGTGAAGATAAAAGAGCGAAGAGAATGGAATGACTTCTATGCATCGTATGCTCTCTGCTCTCTATCCTGTTTACGCGATCGCGACTGAATCCAACTCCACTGGCCAGTGTGACAGAGTGAGGCCATGCGGGGCCTGCTGCCTCCGAGGCACTCCTTCGGAATGCGAATATGGTACCAGCAAAAAAGACCGACATTACATCCAACAATCGACGCTCATTGACAATCTCATGCGGACATGCGATAGCCTAAGACGACAGCTGGACGAAGCGCATCAGCTTGCGAACCTCCCCCCGATTAAACATGAGGAAAGCCACAACGTATACAACATCAAGTCCGATAGCGACGGCGATGACGAACCACCCGACGACGCACTGGATCTTTCGCATGGACAGGCTGATACTCTAATATTGGGCGGGGAGGGTAATGCCCAATCAAGCAGAGCACGTACGTAGGTTGGCGCTAGGCACTAGGCAACATGCCCTTGGGCCTTAAACTGTTATGAGGGGTTCCTTTTGTACAGTGATTAACTACCATCCAGCCACTGCTACGACTCCGTCTCTTTCTCAATCCAAAGCGGTTCTAACGGACCCAGCCATTGCCACCACAGTAATGGAGCTCTTTATTGAACGGCTAATTAGCAATTTTAGCCCCAAGAATCTGGCCAAATATGGCGGCTCTATCGCATTGCGGGAGGCGTCGGAAATGCGAATGTTCTCGCCTATTATCTGCACAGCTTTTGAGGCTGCCGCGCTTAGCTTTGCTGGTTGTCGGGATGGAAACCCGTCAATAGAGGTTGTCGGACACTCACGATATATTCGGGTTTTGCGACTTCTGCAAAATGCCCTATATGATCCTAAACAGAGCAAGTCGACTGACGTATTGGTTGTTGTCCTGCTGTCTACCATTATCGAGGTCCGTTGACCAGTCTTTCTTAACAGAAACTGTACTGATTCTTTTTTGGTAGGCGTTTAAGCAGAGCTCCAGTGACTCCATATTTAGGCACCAGCTAGGAGGCCTCGAGCTACTTCGAGCACGCACAGCGTATAGACACCGCCATGGGATTGATCGGTCGTTATTTGTCGATCTCCGACTCTACTGGGTATGTCGATCCTCCGATTGGTGATGCTTGCTGGAACATGTACTGATAATATCAGGTCACTGCAGCTCTAGTCCATCGCAAGCCGACTTTTATGGCATCCAAGGAATGGCTGACTGTTCCTTGGACGGGAGATGGAACACCTAAGGATATTCTACATCGGCTTTTGGATATCGCCGTCGACATTCCCGGATACCTCTCTCAGATCGATGAATTCATGGCCCTGTTAAGAGAGGCAAACTCACCTCCAAGCCTTTTAGCGGCGATGCAGTCCTCGATATTGGACCTGGCGGGTGAACTCCAGGCTCGTTTGAATATGTGGAAGACCATGTATGCCGATACATACCCCCCCGGAATGCCCAAGGAGGAACTTGACTGCGAGACCCCAGATGGTTTCCCAGTTTTCAAATGCCGGGACCCCAGCACGATGCAGACTGTGACAGCGAAAGTGCTGGTATATCCCGACATTCTCTTGGCCACCTCCATGTCCCTTTACTGGGCTTTGTCCCTTGTCATATCTACCGCGGATAGTGGCCTGGTCAGCGTGTTGGGACCGCAGAGGCGATACCTTTTTGCCTGCAACATCTGTCGTAGCATGAAGTACTACATCCAGAATATCCCGGGCTGTCTTGTGTCCCGGATCATGTTTGTGATACGCACAGCATTTGATGTGTTTACAGAAAATATGATCGAGAAAGAATTCTTGGTCGAATGCTTCCATTTTATTGGACGGAAACTGCAGCTTACAGTATTTTCCAACCAGTGCGCCTCATCTGCAGTCAAGTTGGGAAATGCATGAAGGATTTTGGACCTTCTAAACTGCCATTTGTTTTATTACAGCCTTTAACATTTTGGGTGGATTGGCAAGATACATGGGGTACGGGTATTCCCATGGGCATTTTTTAGTTTGCCAGGCTTTCAGGGACTATTTATCCATTTATTTGAGAATATGAAGGTGCTCACGAACAGAATCTTTATTTGTATTTGTATGTATCTGCAAATGGCTTAATATTTGCTTGCAGGCTCTCGCTGCGGCTAGGCTACGGAGTTTAGTCGCAGGTAGATCCAAGATAGTCGAGGGATTCTTGCTTCAAATTTAATCACGAAAATTCGCTTCTTCGTGTCGGCCGATCAGGAATGGTCCTGCTTCAAAATGCCCTCCATCCACTCGACTTCAAACTCGTGACCCTACGTGCGATGGATATCAACCGATCCCGCTGAATACTCGTGGTGTGTTGTCTGCTGAAGGTCGTGCGAGGGACGGTCGGACCGTTTATTATCAATTTTTGCCAGCGTCAGTATCTCAGCGTCACACCCCAGTATCAGCGGCAATAAATGTTTCTTTGTCGTGGTTCATCCACTCCAGGTCGAATAAGTTGATGGGAGCCTTTTTGGGTAAGCATATGGTGAAACCACCCTCGGGATCCACAGGCAGCCAATTAGCCGTGAAACGCGTACTGCCATCGGGCATCTCTAGTGGGGTGAGGCTGTCATCGCTATCGTTCGTGATTGTTGGAGGAAGCGCGTCGGGGAGATTCAGCCCTGGTGCACATTGCTCCCAGACATAGGAGCTGTAACTGGTGTCGGGTGAGCTGCTGGAATCCAGCAATGACGAGGGAGAGAAGGGAGTGGGCTGATGCTGCGGCATCACGTTCATGTACAGGGCACGTTCGGTGGCGACCTGCGAGGTGGAATGCAGTAATTCATCAAGGGAAAGAGGGTCTTTCGGCAGCTGGTAGAGACCTTGGAATCTAGGTGCGCCCATCTGCGTCAGTTCGCGTTCTCCATCCGATGAGGTCATAACGTACAAAGGAAATTTATCCGCAGTCATGGGCGCGTAGTTGGTCAGTGGGTGGTAGAAATTGTCCGTTTTTGCCGATATCTGCCGCCCCACGCCCACGGACCCCAGTTCACTGTCGAGAAGGAGCTGTGCTGGTATTGCGTCGCGTGTTGGAACTGGAAACTGGCATCGCTGCAACTCTTCCTCGCTCAGGCTAAAGTAGTCTGGCTCGAATCCAAGGTTGTGTGGGGCGTCCAGCGCATCCAACGGCCAGGTGGGAAAGTCGAAAGACAAGTATGTATCGGCCATGGTTGTCTTGATGCACAATTCTAATTCAACCAATTGGGCTTCTATCTCGAAGCATGAATCCGCATAGCAATAAGAAGAGTAATCGAGCAAGTGACGAAGACAGTCAATTCAATAAACCAAATAATCAATAACTGATGAATATGGCTGGCGTGAAAATGTATACATCGAATAAATAAAGTCAACTTTCAAGAATACGCATAACATAGCATATTTAGAAGGGCAGTTCCCAGAAATATGGGGGGTTGAAGCTTTTATCTCCTCTTCTCCAAATACTGAAACAGCGAAGCTAGTCAGTCGATTGCAGTATTGGCCAAAAAGCAGCTCATGACCATCGGCAAAATTCAATTGATTAATAAATAAATCCGTAAACAAACCATACGATCCACTTTGTGGAGGAGCCAACGGTACAGAAATTTAACCGAACTTTGCACCCCGGATACCCCAGACTCGGTTCTTGCGAATTTAACCGAGAGATTCTCTCGGGCCGACCAATTGAATTCTATTATGTTGCCGATATCCCCAGAGTCTCCTGGTTAACTGAGATTAGCCGCCTGGGGAAGATTACACTCATTTTAGTATCAATTTACCTTCCTGTGCAGTTGGTAGGATGGTTCTTCCTCACCGGATATTCCTACATCGTTCCAGGTAGAATTGACATAGAAGGCCTTTAGTGTAGAATACTCGCGTCGAGGATTGTATACAATGTCTTCAGTCTTCCTAAATAGACAGCCGAGATCCGAGCGAAAGACCTCTGGCACGCAATCACCAGTGGGAGATGTAGAGATGAACTTTATCACGAGGTATGGGCTGATCTTACCGTCGAGCTAACCCAGGGTCCCACACTATAAATATTTCACACAAGGCTCAACCACCTTAATACCCGAAGCAAGCGCACAAGTCAAATGCATAAAGACATATATGTACATATATTGGATATCATCCATCCCAAAGTCCATCCCATGCTCCCGAAACTGCAACACCCTTATGCGTAGGCGACTGCACATGTGTCTGCTGTTATGATCTACGAAACAGACATGGAAATGATGCCAAATCGACTTTTTCGGAGCCTGAAACGAAAATACTAAACACTAGAGGAAAAGAAGAGGATCAAGGTAAACAATAAAATAGATATCCCCATATATTGCCACAATCCACAGCTCCCCTATAATGAAACATAGCAGATAGAACAAATAACGCAAGCCGACCCCTCGCTCGATCCTCACAATCCGCCCGTCCCATTCCCCGAAAAAATGGCTGTTCCCAGCCATTTGTACGCGTAGGAGAAGCTGCAATATTGTCACTATCATGATCTGCAAAGAAATTCATCGTTTCCTCCCGCGCAAAGCCAGTCCTGCTGACGCATAGGCGGTCCAACTTTGGTCTAGTAGGTTGTATGAAAATCACGTCATTTCTGAGAATTCCGAAAGTTACAGACAGGATACAACTGACGATCAATATCATATCCAGCTCATTTACGCGATAGTGAAGCTCCCTGCAGTATAAACGCGATGCAAGAATTTGTTCGGTTTCCCATTCCTGGTGTCCATCGATTTCAGTCCGTGAAGATGAATCGACAATCTGCTCAGGAAGTAGTGGAAATGTAGGTGCGCGGCGGTTCTTATCAGGTGCGAAAACTTGATAGATTGATACTAGACGGGAGCTCTAAGCGGTAGGCATGTCTGACCTTCTCGAGAATCTTATATGGAACAGCCCATTGATCGCCTAATATCAGACTAGTTTGACCCAGATTCCAGTACTTTGTTGGTACCATAACCGGACCACCAACATCAAAATCAACAGGCCGGCGATGTCTATCTCTCTGAACCCTCATACGTCACTGTGCAGCTTCGATCTCTCCTTGAGCGAATTTTAATATTACCTCCATTTGCTGAACTAGAGCATGCGCTTCCTCACGTTCAATGGGATGGTCTCGGGGTGCTGTTGGGTTTTCTCAGCTAAATGACATGTGCGGTTCATAGCCGCTCTCAATCTTAAATGGAGACATGCTAGTAGACCCATGAGGTAGAATAGCATAGGCGAAATCCATCATTGGCAGAAGTTCAGAGCCAATTATCCTGATAGTAGTCCACAAACTGTCCAAGCTTCTGCACGATATACTGATTGACAATCTCGGTATGTCCGGATGGTGGCCTGACGAAAGACTTTCGGCGCACCCCGGGATCCTGTAGAACTCAGCTAAAATGTAGAGATAAACTGGCCCTTACGGTCAGAAAAATAGGAAATGGTGCATCAACACATCGGTAGACATGAAAAATATACAATCAAGCCGTATCCTTTGCTGAAACATCTCTGTGGCACGAGATAGATACCACACGTTTTTATAAGCCCGTCATCAACAATCACGCAGGCCTCATCGCACCCATGTCGGTCCTTTGGAATAGCACGAAAACATATAGAGATATGTTCACAAGGCCGCTCTGGGTTAGATAAGGGCTGAAAGAGCCCCTAGCCGTGGGCCCGGTCATCAGACCGTGACCCCCACCAGCAATCGTCGAGAGCCGACAGATCCGAGTATGAATGATACTACTACTACTACTACTACTACTACTACTCGTGATGTTTTGTCATTACCGCTGAGGCTCTCTGAAACCCAAAATAATCAAGGATCTTATGATGTTCGTATGTACATCAAGATTTGAGCTTAAATCAGAGAAGCTTGCTTTTATCGATAAGTATCTCTCAGCCCAGGAGATTCAAGCCATGAACAAAGAAAAAAGATGCCCAGAAAGCGACGGACGAATTCGACCCAATTAGCGACAACGAAGATCGGTTATATCTCAATGTATACTGCTACCTAGTGAACGTGCGCTTGGTAAAAGACCAAGAACAGAAGCCGCAGCAGCCGAAGAGGACCAAGGGTTGTTGATTGAACTGGATAATAACGAGGAGGATGAAATCCCCCTGCATAATAACACCAACCTGCAGGGAGAAAGTAGTATTTAGAGGCGTACATCAGGGCAGGTTCAAAGTGTTTAAAGCGAGATAAGGACCAATTTGTGTATCATAAGGCATAAAACTAGTAGAATTTCAAATCCAAAATCCTTATTTAATTATCTACTAAAATCCTTTTCATCTGACCCTTTTATCTCACCACCCTTTCATCTGAGATGTAAGCGAAATACTCTAAAAGCAGACGAAAATGGCGCAAAATATGTTGGAAGCGATTGCTTATTGTATTGAAAGGGTGACCGGGTGGCCGCTAATTAGTTATGTGCACCAGTTCTGCAACCACATCACATATGACCGGACATCCCTTGATCAGTAGAATACCCTCCCCTCGAACAACCGCCGTGCCGTACGAAAGACGCTGACGCTGTTGACATGCATCTCCTGACTCCGGACCATCCAGTCGACCTCCGCGTCCAATCGCCCGCCTGGATGTCGGATCGCCCACCGGGAAATACCAGACTTTGGTTTCTTGGAGTCATCTAGCGACGTTCGCTCATTCAAGTTCATATCGAGATTTCTCCGTCGCCGTAGATCCCATGCTACTGTTCCAGGGACGCTCAACGCGGCGCCTAGACACACAGCCCCCGTCAACTGGAAACTCGGATGGGGTTTCCCCAGACTAAATGCCCGGGCGTCTATGTCGACCTCCTCATCACTATGAGCTGAACGGAGCAGGGCAATCTTTGGCGTGCCTCGAACCCGCCTGGCGGCAGTTGTGTCCGTAGCCAGTCCCATGCGAATGGCACCAGCGACCCGGATCTCCTCGATGATATCCAAGGATATCGAGGACGGATCGGAATCGTCGTAAACAGACGGCATGGATGTCGCGTCGATGAAAATAAAGGGATTGGCCGCGTCGACCAGACTCGCTCGAACGGTGAATGGTGCCTGTGCGTACGAGGATTGCACAGAGATCAGTTCCTGTCGGGCAGAGCTGGGAAAAAGCTTTCCGGTCTTGCTCCCACCGGGGTTCATGAATGCAATTCGAATAGGACTCGCCGTGCCTGCGACACCAGCGATGCTGTACTCTCCACCTTCGGAGAATTTTCCATCAGGAGTGATCTGGACGGTCTCCACAAGGAGTCGTTGCGTGTTGGTGTTGAAGACTGTGACATCTACCTGGATATGTTTTAATTGACTTGATTTAAATATAATCAAACGCAGGATAACGATACCATAGTTTGTCCCGGGGCAATCTTCACCAGTCCCTCATCCACCGCGAATGGACCTACCCCGGAAGCAATGTTTCCACAGTTCCCAGACATGTCGATTTTGGAATCTTCCGGCGCGACCTGGACGAAGGTATAATCGACATCGACACCCGGCCGGGCTGACTTGCAGATGACTGCGACCTTAGACGTGGTGGATGTGCCTCCTCCGACGCCGTTGAGCTGTCGTTTGTCTGCGTCCGCAGATCCCAGCGCGGAGAGGAGAATCGGAGCCCAGAGGCTCTGCGATGAAGGAAGGTGGTGCTCATGGATGAAAAGTCCTTTGGAGGTTCCAGCCCTCATCCAGACCGCTGGGAGGCTTTTTCTGCTGGAAGGTACTTCCTTTGATATGGACATGTTATATAGTATATGGCATACAAGATAGGGCTAAGTGTCTAGATTGTATCCTGCCCCTTGTCCTTGTCCTCATGTCTTATATGGGGCATTTTGTTCATGTATATTAATGCTTCAAAGGTAATATAAACCCGCGGAAATGTATACCCGTGGAAATCGAACCCACGGAATTGAACCATCCACGGGAGATTCCCTCCCGTTCTTTAAGCTCGGATGGCTTCTTCCTTTCCCCACGGGGTTTGAATAGTTCCATCTCCACACCAGTCTATATATAGAAAATATATATCGCCCAGATTGGATTCGGGAATTCCCTCCATCCGTACCATCCATGACCATGGCAGAACCACAGCCCAATGCCCCCTCGAGCGGCCACAGTACCCGAGTTTACTTCCTGGTGATTGTCACCTCGATGGGAGCGTTCCTATTCGGTTATGATCTGGCGTTTATAGGCGCGTCGATTGAGTTGCCATCCTTTGAGAAGTAAGTGCTCCTTACGACCGGGAGACCAACAGAAGATTACTGGCTAACGAATGCAGATCCTTTGGGTTGCAAGACGCATCGACATCTACTAGCGATGCATTCGCGGCCAATATAGTCTCTCTACTGCAGGCGGGATGTTTCTTCGGATCTCTCGTTGCTGCTCCCCTGAGCGACATGTTCGGACGCAGACTGGCCCTGGGGATGGCAGGCGCCATTTTCTGCATTGGTTCGACCATGCAGGTTGTGTCGTCAGGGATTGAAGCCATCATGTTTGTTGGTCGAGCCCTCGGTGGTCTCGTAAGTCTTACTCCACTTACTATATCCTGCATACCTTCCAAATCCAATCCTCACGATGTGATATGATAAGGGCGTAGGAGCATCCAGCATGCTTGTCCCATTATACACCGCCGAGTGCGCACCCCCGGCCATCCGCGGCCGACTAGTCGGGGTATTTGAAATCGGTGTGCAGGTCGGAATGTGCATTGGATTCTGGATTAACTACGCCGTGGACCAGACCATTGCCTCGTCCTCTCGACAGTGGATGACTCCGTTTGCGATCCAACTGGTCCCAGGGGGTCTACTGCTTATCGGACTGGCTTTCCTGACCGATTCACCACGGTGGACAGCCCGCAAGGGGAGAGAAGCTGTATCGCAGACCCTGGCGTATCTCCGTGGGATTCCGGCCGGACATCCAGCCGTCCAGGCCGAGCTCAACGATATCATGAACCAGCTCGAGGATGAGCGCACCACTAACCCTGGAAAGGGCATCTGGGTCGAAATCAAAGAGTGTATGCATCCAGGGGTGCGAGAGAGACTTCTGCTGGGCAATCTGGTCATGGTTTTCTTTCAGATGGCTGGGTCGAACGCTATCAATTACTATTCTCCTCGGATATTTCAGTCCATTGGCATGACGGGGACGCAGACAAAGCTGATATCGACAGGAGTCTACGGTCTGGTTCGTCTCGTGGCAGTGTTTATCGCTATGTATTGGGTTGTTGATCGCTACGGACGAACTCGTATGTTGATTTACGGGAGTGCGGTGATGGTGAGATTGACCTTCATTTCATATCCTATCCTATCCCATTCCAGATCTACAAGAGACGTCTACTCATCACATCACTATCGGATGCTAATATATTCTAGGCATTTTGCATGTGGTTCCTCGGCGCATTCGTCAAACTGCATGGGGTCTCCCACACAGACGGGAAAATCGACAGCAGCTCCTACGCCGCGGCCGTGTTCATCTTCGTGTACGCAGTCGCCTTCTGCTTCAGCTGGGCTGGCATCCCGTGGGTGATATGCTCTGAGATCTATCCACTTCGTGTCCGAGCACTCTGTGTCGCAGTCTGCACGGGCACGCACTGGCTTCTGAATTTCGTCCTCGCGCGCAGCGTCCCCTATATGATCACGAATATTAGCTTTGGGACATATTTTATCTTTGCGAGTTTTCTGACCCTCTCAATTCCATTTGTCTGGTTTATGGTGCCGGAGACGAAGGGGTTGAAATTAGAGGAGGTGGATGAGGTCTTTCGGGATAGGACTTTCTGGGGGAAATCACGATCTCGGGAGGGGCGAGCGTTGGATGTTGAATGTGCAGAGGAAAAAGGAGATTCTAAGGAGATTGAGGATGTTAATGTGGCCAGGAAATATTGGTTGAATACCTTGCCGGATTAATATTTTTTTTTTTTTTTTTTAATCCTGACGGATATGGTGTGCATAACAGGCCAGCGTCTAGTGCTGGAAGCGATTGCTTATCGTACTGGAAGGGTGGCTGAGTAGCCACTACTTAAAAGTTAACGTATTTCAAGGCCGAGCTACACACACGACCGAGCTGCGCTTCTCTATCCCCGTACAAAATGGCAGCTTTTAACTTGGGGTAACTCAACAATTCTTATATTATTATGGCTAATATTAAATAGATTCATTCTATATGAGTATGTAAATAGGTACTGTAAATATTTTGTAAAAGAAATTTGTTTCGGTCTCAGATTCATGTACCAGCCTTAGCAGGCTTGAAATATTGGGTAATATGTTATCCCAGGGATGACTAAGACGTATAGACATCATACGATTCCACTGATGTGGGATCCCACGGCAGTACACTGGAAGACCTTGGTAGACACTAGGTTAAATAGCGGTCTGCTACTTAAGATAGCAGACCAGAGAGGCGCTTCAAGCAGATAGCTTAGGCAATACATTCCTTCAGAAGACTCAATAGAATTTTCTCAGTCCACCCCAGGGCCGCCATCAGGGCGGCCCCTGGGGCCCCCTTCCCATATTCGACTGTCCCTACGGCTCATAGTGTCATACTACCTCGTCCAGTCCCCTACCTCACCGGCTGTGTGATGAGCGATATTGCAAATATATAATTTCTAGGTAATTAATAGTACTAGTTATTTTAAAATTATTATACGCTCTACTAAGCGCCTACAGATCCTTCAGATTAAACTTCTATTAACATAGAGGCAGAATGGTTAAGTTATAACGTGCAATTTTGTATGGGAAGGCAGATTCGCAGCTCGGCCGTGTGCGTAGCTCAGCCGTGAGTTACTGATAACGTACTTCACGACCTACTGTAGTCGTCCACACGGTCGAGTCTTCCGCTACGTTTTGCATATAAAATAGCACTTTTAGAACCTCAATATCTCAACAACGAATTCAGGGAACATGAAAATTTAATAGAAGAATAATATGGCAAGATATAACTATATATTATAACCATAAGCGTTTATCTAAACTGGTTCATTTTATTACAAAGAATGACTTTTGTTACCGGACGGTGTGGGTGTATTAATATGTTAAAGTTTTCTAGAAAAATAACCAGCACTTCTTCAAACCAAAATTACTGCAATTAAATATAAATCTAATAGTATAGTGTAGTGGAGGAATCCGGGGGACTGGCACGTGACATTTGTATGGATAGCTATTATATCTTAAGTCCTCGTTCAAAGAGATAATAGACAATCAACAACCTTCTCACAGACCACGGGACGCAGTTGTGTAGAAGGAATGTTGTCTTCTCTTTGGTTGTCAGGAAGTTGTGGGCTCGGGCCCCACAACTTCTGAACTGTCTAAGAGTGTCTCCTTGACCTACTCTTTCGGAGTTCTACCATTTCCCTCTCATTCAATAGATATGATGTTGTTGATATACTGAGGTTATAAAAGTGCTATTTAAATGCAAAACGTAGCGAACGACTCGGCCGTCGAGTACAGGTTCTAGTTCCCGAGCTAGTCAGTTACATGACCAATCTTACTGCAAATACACTAAAAGTTTTAATTACACGGCAGCTAACCTATACAAAGCCATAACCATAGTATTATAACTGATTATAATGTATCCGTCGGGGACGACGGTCCACCCGCGCAACTGTCAACGCGCGTGATCCTCCATCATGGAAGCGTGCAGGGAATAGCTAAATCAGCAGATAATGAAATAATTATATAATATTTTCTTGGTTGATGTTCCCTATTAGGAAGTATAAGTTAGTTAAGTTCTAGCTTACAGACCGACTAAGCAACGTTGTACCGGAGAAGCGCCCATTGGTTCGCTAACCCGTCACATGAGTAGATTCGGTCCACCTTGGCATCCAAGACTTTGGTAGAGCACCTTAGGACGAGACTCGGTTGGTTGAGATACAGTGATTCCTGGTGTTTCCACATATAGCATTTACTTCATAGTTAGGCCAATGGTCTGCCTGTAGCTGATCTACAGCTCCCTGCGTACGTATCACTTGCCCTGAAATCTTCAACACAATCCAAAGCAGTAATGCTAATTGCTAAATACCATGTCATATTGAGGCACAGGATACAGTACTTCAAGAATTAGGCAAATCTTGAGATGACCCGTTAAATCCAAAAAGTGTATCAGGAAAAGACAACCCTAGATGATTAGAGTACTCCTCCGGCGCAACCAGGTCAGTCATGTACATTCCAAATGGAGCTTCTGTCTCAGCCGATCCAGCAGACATTGGAGACAAGTTTGGATAGCCGTAGTTCGCTTGTTGCGTAATAAAGCTCCGGATGATCATGTCCATGTCTAGCTCGGCGGTTTCCAAATCAATCAGAGAGGTAGGCTGGATGTCGTCGGGCTCATTGTTTGCTCTAGATACTTTCTTCTGCTGGATTTCCGGGGCTACTTCGGTGTTGATTGTATCTATGCCTCCCGCGGGATCATCGCAGGTGTTGGTCTTATCAAGAGTAACGCCTATCCGTTCCATTAAGTTGAGGATCACATTCTTTGCTCTTTGCACAGCCCAATTGGTTCCTTGATTTTCATCGAACACCGAGAGACACGTCCGAAGACTTGCGTGTGCCTGACTGTCCTCTTTTCGCTGCGCAGCGATTCTTACTAGGATAGTAGCTGCGACATACGTCGCATACGACATGAGATACGGTGCTCGGCGGATGGAGAATGTTTCGTCGTAGATTCGAAGAAGTCCGATGATGGCTTTAGCAGCGGCGGCACAAATCCGGAAGGAATTGACTGCCATCGAGGGATCTGTATTGTAGAGGTGCCCTTCGGCGACGAAGGGTCGATGGAGGAGAATTACCAGAACGTTGTAGAGGGCGAGAAGGGAGAGAACATGTGGTGGGGGAGCATTGCAGGTACCAGGAGTGTCAAATTGGAGATGCGATGGAAGACCATCGTGCCATTCTTGGAGCGCAGAGTGCAGAGACGCCCGGTTAGACACCAGCTCTTCTGGTGCGCGCTTGGAGCTTTTCTCCGAGTAGACCTTGTTGAGGATATCGTTCAGGATAACGGACAGTTTGCAAAGTTCTCGGAATGTCGAAACACTGTAGGCTGGGGAGCCCGAATATTTCGGATTCCCAGGGTATGCAAACGGCGTCCAGTGTTCGAGCTCTTCATACTGGTCCAGGAATGTCAGTGGAACATGAGTATCAAAAGCTTGGAGGCTTGCTGGACGGCCCTGATATAGTGATTGGATCTTATCGACGACAAAAGCACCCCAGAACACTCTCCTTCTGATCTCCAGATCCTCATCTGATAACCGACGCATGTTGATCAGGTATGGTGCATCAACGTGCATGCCCAAGTCGATGATCATTCGGAACGCGGTACCTGCATACAGCCACGCAGCACTCCGCTCATCACCCAACGCAAACAGGGAGCTGGTCATGACAAGGAGAGCTTGGATCGTCGTGATCTCACTGCGATCCAGAGCACCTCCCAACAGCTCCTTGACTCGCCTGCGGTAGAGCCAGCCCGCTGTGCGAACATCGTCTGGATCACGACGCACTTCCAGACGAGGGCTGAACTTAGATGCACCAAAGTAGATTGCATTCAACAGCAACTTGGAGAAATACGGTCCACCACAGGCCATATCGCGCATGAACGCCGGACGGTAGGTGATGAGGAACGAGTGATGTTGGCGATTCCAGTGCAGAGATAAGAGATGCATTCCTAGCTCTGGATCAACCCCATCAAAGTCCAGCTTTCCTTGCTGGAAGTTTAAGGTCTCTATCTGGCCTGAGAAAAGTTAGCCTAAACCGGGTCTGTCGGAGCGGCGACAGATACGTTGGTATGCGGCTTCCCCCATCAGTCCTTTCTTGATCCACTCCATTGGCATCTTGGGGTTGGCTACGATACTCTGCAGTGCCCGCCTGTCGGTCGGAGTATCATCAAAGAGGGTACTTGTGCGGCCATGGTAGCTGGATTCTCCATCTGGGGAGATAAAGATGCGAGACACTACCGAATGGGCAGTCTCTGTTGGACCAGGGCCATGTTCCAGGGGCAGCGTTGACACTGCATTTGTCTGCTGAGTAGGTTTAGCAGCTGCTGGGAATATCAATGGTGTTTCTCGCCGTTCATCATCTTGAAGCCGTTGCTGCAGCTGTCTGTTTTCTTCTTCCAGCCGGGTGATTTGACGCCTGGACGGCCTGCAGAGCGATTTCGCTGTCAGCTTGGGCACCAGGCATATTCCGGATTACTACTACTGTTAGGATGGATAAATACCTCGGCTTTGCAGGAGATGAAATATAAGTACAGTCTTTTCCATAGGCCTTACAATTCGTACAAACCGGCTCGAAATTATCGCATTTCAGCTAGATCCACTTAGTTTTGATTCGACAGGCAGGACGGTTGACACAACCTTTCTTTGCCGACAGAAGAGACAGGCTTTGTGCGCTCTTCGCCGACGGGCAGTTGTAGAGATTCTGTCTAGGTTCATGACTGTCTTTGTGAGTTGTCCAGAGGATGTTCCGAGTTCGGAGGCGAAGAGGAGGACAAGGACCTTGCCGCGGAACGTTACCTGCCGCGGGATATTACTTGCCGCGGAAGGAGCCACTTGCCGCGGGATGTCACTTGATATCCAGATCCTCGAACTCTGCCCGACGAACTCACCAGGATGAGGAATTCGTATTAATAAATCCCCAGGACTTGTCTGGATGGATGAAAATAAGTTTCTTTGAACTAGATCTATCGGATTATGAGTCATGCGGGGAGTACGCTCCATGCTGGAGCCACGGCCAACCAACCTCCTAATACAGTAAAAAAGCCAAAGGTGAACGCACAATGCACCTCGAGTCCATTCTAGAATAATTCTAACCTTGTCGACAGCGCAACGTTCCACCATGGATCTCTTTAGTATCAGGAGGCGTCGCTGGGGGTATTGAAGCGGCCGTGACGGTAGGAAGACAAATATACTGAATTTTCAAAGTGACCTTCGCTAATCGATGTAGTATCCGTTTGAATTTTCGAAAACAAGACTACAGCTCCACAGCCAGGGAGCAGCTACCTCTTCCAATCCATTAAAGTTGATTAACCAAGTCGCTAGAAACGATGGCATCCGTGCTTTGTACACTGGCTGCTCCACCCTGATTGTCGTAAGTCACCCATGTCTCTCCCTATAACTGAGGCGTTAACAGAATAGGGCACCACTGCCAAAGCAGCCATTCGTTTCCTCTCCTTCGATACGATAAAGAATGCGCTGGCTGACGAGAAGGGAAAACTTTCCGTGCGTGGGGGCATCCTGGCCGGTATGGTCGCTGGAGCTGTCGAGAGTGTCTTTGCCGTGACTCCTACGGAACGAATCAAAACAGCCCTGTATGTCATCTGTCATCTAATTTAGACTACCTTATATTTATTGACCGAACGTTCAGAATCGATGATGCCAAAGGCGCACGCCGATTTAAGTCTAGTGTCCACGCAGCTAGACTGCTCGTCCAGGAATCCGGCATGTCTGCACTGTACCGAGGTCTTCTCTCTACAACCCTCAAGCAGTCGTCGACATCTGCGGTGCGTATGGGCACATACAACATGCTCATGGAAACGGTCAAGAGCTACAATATCACACCGTCAATGCCTGTAACCTTCGGGACAGGCACGGTAGCGGGCATCGTGACAGTGTATGCTACGCAGCCTTTCGATACGCTCAAAACACGGGCCCAAAGCGCTCACGGAGCGGGCCTGGGGGAGGCTGCAAAGAGCGTGATTGCGGACCATGGGATCGGGGGATACTGGAAGGGAAGCTCGATGAGGCTGGGCCGGTTGGCTTTCAGTGGTGGGATTGTTTTTACTATTTATGAGAAGGTTTCGGCACTTCTTTCCTTAGCGACAGAGAAATAAAGGTAATTGATAGATAGAGCTGTAAATCTAGAGTGTGCTGTACATATGGCAAAGTTTATATTTATTCATAAAAGACGGGTCTGACCTATTCCTTATATACATCTCACAGGTCTACCGTCTCGCCTGTCTCCAACGCCTGCTGCACCGCCTGACACACTCTTAACGTTCTCAGAGCATCCTCGCCCGAACAACTAGGCTCTGACATCAAAATACACCAGCTGCAGATCAAACAGCGTCGACACATCATCCACGTCGACTCGATCCATCGCCAACGGCTGACTCCAGCTCTTCTCCCTCCCATGTTGCTCCACCGCGTCATATCTGACACACTCAAAGACGCCTCAGATCCAAAGATACGGTATAAATCTGCTCCGCCGCCATTCATCGGAATCAGCGGGCTCTCTCCCGTGCCAGACTCGAAGTTCTGCGGCAACGGCGTCACATCACAAACCAGGAGAGTCCCACGACTCTGGAGGAGAAGCGAACAGTCAGCGAGGAACCTTCCTCAGCGTCGTGCGACCGGTTTTGTAGCTGAGGGAGTGTCTTTTCAATGTGGATGCGCATAATCGGACCGAATAGATGGTGCATTCTGTCATGGCATGTTAGACCGCGGCGAGTGCTGGCAGTGGTTTTAGGGGAAATGGGACAGTGCTTAGAGAGACACATACCTGCGTTAATGGAGGGGTTCCAGGCCGCGAACAACTGGGCCGCGGTGATGCCGAATTTGGCTTTAATTATATAGCACTGATCACCGGACGAGACGAGATGTAACTTATCAGTCAAAAGTGAGGTCTAGCTGACTAGGGGAGGGCAACGACGATCCCGTGGCCGTATGCTTAAAGCTAGTAATAGAGGTAGTGGACGTCGTCGTCGTTGTCGATTTGGTTGTGGCCGACGAGACGCTGCCAATCACGCAGTAGCTCCGACCAACTACAAGCGTGGAACAACGGAGATAGGGATTCAATAACTCAAAGTTAGCAAGGGTAATACCCCAGCTTGTGGCGAAGGACTGGCATGTGTCTCCGTTGCTGGCAGCCATAGAGTAGCTGCAGAAGACACTCTGATCCAGCCCACGGCCAGGGAGCAGTCGTAGGAACAATCCCAGGACCAGAAAGGACTTAAAAGCCATTTTTATTTAAGTTGTTGTAGACTAAGGAGAAAAGGGGGAGAAGCAGATGCGTTGTGTTAATGCTGTACACCAAATGTGCTGGGCTCCAAGCGACATGGCTTATTAGATATGCAGGATGTGTAATTCTCTTCTTGGAACGGGGGGCAACGTAGTCTGAATGGAATTACCTAGAATAGAGGATAATGCATTTAGAACTGCTTGCATATAAGTTGTAACGCTTGGAGAGGTGGGAACACAGCATAGAATGCTTCAGAAATCTATACCTGGTTCGCGAGCAATGTCTAACGCCGGACGATGAGCTTCCAGGCATTTTCGTCTTCGCAACCACTGGAGAAACCATGGACTTTTTCGCTGCTTCTGGAAAAACCCGAGGGCTCGGACGCACGGCGTGCCTACGTGCGACAACGCGTGCTTCAATTCCGAATGGCTCGAGAGTTCCAATAAGCCGGTCTTCAAGTGCAATTGTCAACTGCGACGAACTACGTACGGAGACATCCATGACGAAGAGCTGGTCCAGTACTTCGGTATGCTTCCCATGTTTTCCTCGCAGATGTGTTTAATATCCCGCCTAGTGACTCCTACGAGCCTGATTGTCTGCTTAAATGGGCTCTCCCAAGCATGGAAGATATGGCTGTCATCAAGCATAACATCCAGACTCAACCTGCTTGATCATGAGAAATATCACCCCACCGAATATGCGAGGCTTCATATCTCAAAGTCGACGGAGAACTGACAGAGAATAACTTGCTGATTTCGAGAGCATCGTCTTCTGAATTCGCAATTACCGCCGCTAGACTCGCCACCCATCGAGTCGGCTCGTTGATGGTATTTCCGTGCATTAACATATATACAGAGCTCCAGGTGATTGCAGTTCTGAACATGCTTTGGTATGCCAGTGACAAAGCCCGTCTTGATGCTGATGCTAACGGTTTTGTTGATTTCATTATGCCAGAGCAGGGTCTTTTTTTTTTTGGCCCTTTGTTATCATATCATGGATTCCTGGTGTTTATGACTGACTATCCAGGTCACTAGATGAGAGACAAGGCCGAGTTAAACCAGATATTACAGTAGTCAGTCTCGTACCCATCAGAACAACAGATTACGTTCGAGGTTGAAGGAGTAATTACTAGTCAAGATGACATGACCGAGGCTCCACCCATTTCGGGGAAGGAAGAAAAAGCCTTCAACAGGCAGCAGAAATCTATCAAACAATGTCAGAAAAGTCGTCTCTGCCAAGGTCCCCGAATGATAGCCCCACACAACCACGAAATTGACAAAAAGGGGATTTTCTGGAAGGTTGTGCCAAACTGTACGGCCATTTGGAGATATTGTTTCGCGTATGATACTGGACCTAGATATTGCATCCCTATTAATAAAGGTATTATGAAAATTACACTGGCAAGGGCGGATCGCTGGAGACAGAGTGAAACCTATTGTCAGATCTGACGCTAGGCCGTACGACTAATTGACTCGCTTCTCGCTCCAGGATGCACATTATTATGTCCACCGAATGAGAGAAAATTTCGCATCTGTAGGCATTGTATCAATGGACGTCGTTCTGAAGACGCCATCTTTCTGAGCTCCAAGGTACCCATTCCCGTGGTATAAAGTGAGGAAGCAAATACAGCACTTATCGATTATGTAGACATTCCCTTTTTCTTATTCTTGACTCCTATCATGTCTTTCAACGCATCCAATGTTGATCTCAACACGGCCAGCAAAGAGGATGTGCTTTGTTATCTCTTCCTGTCTGAGAATGACTACAATGGCAATCTGGGGGCTCGCATCTCCTCGATCTTTGTGATCTTCGTGACCTCAACGGCCTTGACTTTGTTTCCCGTGGTCGCTAAGCGGATTCCCCGGTGGAAAATTCCGTACCATGTTTACCTGTTTGCGCGATATTTTGGCACGGGGGTTATTTTGGCGACGGCATTTATCCATCTCTTGGATCCCGCGTTCAAGCGCATTGGCCCCAAGACTTGCGTCGGCATCTCCGGCCATTGGGGTGACTATTCCTGGTGTGCTGCTATTGTTTTGGCCTCAGTGGTTATAATCTTCCTACTGGACCTCGTAGCGAAGGTTTATGTGGAACGCAAATATGACATGCAACGCGATGATGGAGCGACCGACGCATTTATGGCGACCGGGTGCCGTCCCAATACGGGGATGGAATTATCGGATAGCAGAATTGTAAGCCCCAGGTCCAAGCAAGAAGAGATTTCCGACGAAGAGGCCTCAATGAAGTCGGAACGGGCGTTCCACCAGCAATTCGCTGCATTTCTGATCTTGGAGTTTGGCATCATCTTCCATTCCGTCATCATTGGGCTGAACCTGGGAGTGACCGGCAAAGAATTTGCGACTTTATATCCGGTGCTGGTATTCCACCAGGCATTTGAGGGACTAGGTATTGGGGCACGCATGTCGGCCCTCCCCTTTGGAAAACGCCCGTGGCTTCCGTGGGTGCTATGTTTGGCCTATGGACTCACAACACCGGTATCCATCGCCATCGGACTCGGCGTACGCACCTCATATAACCCAGGGTCCAAGATATCGCTGATTGTGCAGGGGGTGTTGAATGCCATCTCGGCGGGCATCCTAATATACAGTGCGCTGGTAGAGTTGCTGGCGCGCGACTTTCTGTTCGATCCGGACCGCACAAAACGCCGGTCGCATCTGGTAATGATGGTGGGAAGCACACTGCTAGGCGCAGGGATCATGTCACTGATTGGCAAGTGGGCATGAATGCAGTGCTGAAGGATTGGATTGAAGCTGAAGGAGGACGAGCAGTGGGGCGAGTGACGTATGATAGTTTCGATGGCCATACATACGCTGCAATACAAACAACCATATTAGTACGTACTAAATCCAAACTATTTAATTAATCATTGAGTAAAATAAGCAGTCAATCATACACACCCTCCAGATGAGGCAGTTTTACCACTAGCGTATTGGTATTTCTGGATTAGTGATTGCCTAGATATACATCCCAATGCATGTCTCCTTTCTTTTGCTCGCTCTTTCTTTCTTATGTACTCCTTTGTCAGTTCCCTTCTCTTTACTGCTTCATCTGCCCAGCATTATGGCTCGCCTCTGGCGTTGGCTGCAGATTTTCAATATCGTCTGCTTGCGTTGAGTTCATCCCCAGGTCATCTACATTCTTGATTCATAAATTACCACGATTACCACGTATCCCCGACCATGGGCAGACCAAGCCAGAAAGAACTCAAACCGGGCCTCAGCCTTACGGACACTCTAGACACTCTTGAGCAGATCTACAAAGAGTCCAAAGTTATCGTGGTCGGCTGCCTGGCCTCCTGGACTCTTTGTCGTCTCAACTTTAGCTTCCCGTGGCTGATACTGTTGCTGGCCATCTGTCGCACTTACTACCAATTGTCGATCCAGCGAGTTGAGCGCGCAATCCGTGATGAACTACGGCGACACCACGGTAGTAGGAAACTCCAGCAAGGCGAGAGTATCGAATGGATCAATGTAGTCTTCGGGCGCGTGTGGCATCTTTATCAATCACGTATTTGCGACCATATCGTGCGATACGTCAACTCCGGACTAGTTCGCCCGGGCAACGAGACGCCCGCCCAGAAAGTGATCGTTCAGTCCTTGGCCTCGATGGACCAGCCGGTGAAGTTCACCAAGTTCATAGTCCACCCGAAACCAGACTCACCGAATCTGATTCTGGAGGGACGGTTCCAGATCGACCTGACGCCCCCCTGGGTGTGGAATGCCCGACGCCATCTGGTCGAGCGATCGCACACAGAGCCACTTGTCAACATCGCCATCGTCCACCGCAAGCAAGACCATCAACAACATGACCTGATGGTACAGGTGAAAACGTTCACGGGGACAGGCACGCTCCGGCTAGAATTCGACCTCGAGAGCGCGGAGCCCCGAATTTATCCACCGCAGATCGAGCTGCAGGATCCCCCACAAATCGACTGTACGATGCGAACAGTCAGCCATCACCACTTCCCGTTCCATTTCGCCCATCATGTTGACTGGCGCAAGGTCGTGGGGATGCAGATCCGCGAGGGGCTCGGATCGGCCTGGCATCGACCCTTACCCCTGCCCTTCCTCCACCTGGGCGAGCGATTGGTGATGCGGATGATGACGTGGTGGTGGCTACTCCGTCAAACGCGCCAGAACTAACTAGGCAATTGTTGCTTTGCTAGAAACTGGGTTGCGCGCGATGTCTCGGCGACGTCTCCTCCGTAGATTGCGGTGGATCCGTTTGCCCCATAGGGCTGATCTGCGGTAGTGTAGGAAACATTGCTGCCTAGCCTTCCTGTCAAGGACCTTGCGGATTGCAAAGACAAAGAAAAAAAGGGGGGGGGAAGGAAAAGGAAAAGAAGGAAAGAAAAGACAATCACCACTTACAATTTCTGCAATTTCAATTATGGTCTATCCTCGCAACTATTCTGTAATAGAATACCAGGACTCCTTGCGTGACAGCGCAGTGAGACAATCATGACAATACGCGACGGGAGTCGATTCAAGCTGGGACACACCGACACTTAACGTATTGGAACGACACATTATTGGTCCAACATGCAGGGCGACATCCCGGCAATGGATCAGAAAGTTGGTCCGTCGATAGGTTTGTTGACAGGTTCGTTTATGGTGGCGAATGTGCGATGTCTCTGTTTATCCTTCGATGTACCATGGTAAGGACGGTCGAATGGTGGAAATAGATGTAGTAACTATAACGGGAATATCGGTCTACCTCTTTGGTCACAGGCTCATTTCCAATCTAGTTTAATCTACTCCGTACTCCGTAGTACTTCGAAATATAAAATTTATTGTGTCTTCAATGAATCAGAGAACTGCCGCCCGGGGGCCGAATATAATTGGGAATCAATTAACGGCCAATCCTGGAACCGTAAAGGCACTATCCAATACTATGCAGGTAACACCTAGTCCCTTCCAATACCTTTGAATATAATAAGAAACAATAGATAATAGGTACTACTTGTCTCGAGTGGAGTACTACGTCCTGTATAGACTTCACACTCGTCGAACCAACATTTCAGACTACCCCGTTTAGTGTACTGAAAATTTATGCATCACTTAAGATGAAAGAATTCTCATTCAGTATGGTATACTTAAGCTTTGATCAATCTATTCACAGTCCGTGATTGATCCCAATCGGAGATCAACTAGCCAGCTGAGCCACCAGTTTTTCCCCTCTGCCCTTATCACCTGTATAAAACACCCTGCGTCGGACCGTCAGGCTTTCAGAGCTTGTTGTGCTTAAGTGACTGAAGAGGCTCCACCCATTAGCGCTTGAGATGGTGTCGATATGGAATAGAAGCCTCGTGAGATAGCAGTTTTGCATCCTCGAAACAAATTACCAGACTATCTTCCTCCAGACTCCGAAGCCCCTGAGAACCGGTCCAGTAAACAAATTTAACTACTCATCAAATTCTTTGTGCAAGAACTAGCAGCAAGCAAGCACACGTTCCTGCTCTTTCTGATTATACGGTTAGGAAGAAAGACCAAGTTCAGCAGGCTTTAGGAGCGGGTCCATTGGTATCTCTGTAAATAGTTCTGGGATTGATGAGAGTTGATTAAATCGGGCATGATCAGTACTAGCCCCGCGTTCGCATAGTAGTGGCTTTTCCTGGGAGTCCATAAAAGCTGCGGAGAAGAGTGCTCACCCGTAGCTCACGCTTGGCACAGATCTTATAGTTAAATGGGCTACGGTGTCTGGCCTAAGAGTTTCAATTTCTTATGTAGCAAAGATGGAGTCTCAGTCGCCAGCTAAGGAACCCTCCTTGCAACGAAGCGAGACAATGCATGCCATTGAAACCCGCTATATTCAGTTGCTTCTTGAACTTGACTATATTCCATGGTTCTACAATGTTCCTGCATATACTACAAACTGGCTACTTCTAGCTGGATATCTTGTGATTCCAGGCACGTTCACATCCCTGCAGGAGTCTGTGGCTCTGGAGGAAGGCCTGAAGAAACAGAGACCACTAGTCATGCAGCAAGTGCTTGGGCAGTTGTCTCGCTTGGATTGACGGTATGATATTGCGAGGATAGCTTAGTATTAAGCAGGACTGACTTGTACTCTTAATTAGATAGCCAGAAACCGTTATGACCTGCGAGATGCCTTGTTCAATCTTCAGAGTATTTAACAGATGTTCTTGCACGATGTGCCTATATTGAAAAACTTTTACCACAACAGGATTGGGGTAGAAGCTGAAATAAGAAACCCGATCATCAAAGTCTATAAGGCAATCCTCCACTATGCAGCAGAGGTGTTAGCCACTCAAAAGCCTAGCATGGGAAGGCGAGTACTGGACAGTGTCACTATAATTACCAACCAACCTCTTACAAATCTACAATCTTCTGTCAAGAAGGAAGAGCTGTGCTTGTACCAGTGGATCCAGTTAGACCAACATCTCCACCGCAAAGAAGAAGCCGGGCGCCTTCTAGCGTACATTGATAAGGTGGAAGCATCGGTTCAAGATCTTATACAGAATTTCAATCTTCTGAGCCTATATACTGCAGAAGGAGCATTTTACGACTCATATACCAACCAGCATGAAGATTTCTGCCTTCCAGACACTAGAACCGAGCTTCGTTCTCAAATTTCGGAGTGGGCTAAATCATCAGAGAGTATATGCATATTTTGGCTAAATGGCATGGCAGGGACAGGAAAGTCTACCATCGCCCGAACAGTTGCCAAGTCCTTTAAGGAGAAGGGGCAGCTAGGCGCAAGTTTCTTTTTTAAAAGGGGCGAAGCAGACCGTGGCAATGCAAGAAGACTAATATCAACTATTACAAAACAGTTAGTAAGCAGTTATCGGCAGCTAGCACCCCTCGTCTTAAAAGCGATTGAGAATGATCCAAATATTTTAGCAAAATCTCTCAGTGAGCAATTTGATAAACATCTTCTTCAACCACTATTAAGCCTTAAGATAAAACAATCCACTGTCACAGTGATTGTGATCGATGCTTTGGATAAGTGCGAACAAGACAGCGATATTAGAGTTATACTTCAACTTTTACCCCGGATTCAGCAGTCTAACTGTTCGCAACTGCGAATATTCCTGACCAGCAGACCTGAACTTCCCATCCGCCTTGGCTTTAAGCAGCATGATAACCATCAGGATCTAGTCCTCCATGAGCTTCCTAAACAAGTGATTGAACATGATATACGTCTCTTTCTAAAAGACAGACTTTTAAAAATAAGAGACGAGCGCTCACTTCCTTCAGACTGGCCTGGAGATGCTGTCATAGAAAGACTGGTTGGAATGGCTGTCCCCTTATTTATCTTTGCAGCCACTGTGTCGCTTTATTGGAGAAGGAAAACTACGCCCGGAAACACGCCTTGCAAAATTTCTCCAATCGAAAGCGGCCACATCTGCATCCCAGATGAAGATATACCTACCTGTATTATATCAGCTTCTTGATATGCCAAAAGAAGATATCGGCAACCTATTAAATATGCTATACTCAGTTCTTAGTTTACCAGATAATGTAAATGCGGCAGTCCGCATTCTACATTTCTCATTTCGAGATTTCCTTGTTAATACGAAAAGCGACTTCCATGTGAAAGAGGAGGAAATGCATAGGAGCATAGCCTTACATTGCCTTGCATTATGGACACTTGCCTCAAGCAAAATCTCTGTGACCTACCAAGTTATGGAATGCAGCGGGCAGATATCACCTGTCAGACTGTTAACCAATTCCTCCCAGCAGAACTGCAATACTCCTGTCGGTATTGGGTATACCATCTAGAGCAAAGCAGGGTTTATATGCCTGGAGAGGTACTTGCTTTCTTGAATAATCATTTTCTGCATTGGTTGGAAGCGATGAGTATAATAGGATATATATCAGAGGTGGTTGGTGTTATAAATACGCTATTTTGCCAAATAGCCACCAGTATGACAAAAGTTATGCATGCAATCCAGTCGATGGCTTATGAGGCAAGCGTCTTCTAGATATGAATAATGGCTTATTCACATTTATTATCCGCTCCTTTTCAGGGCTCCCTCCGGCGCAGCACCAAATTCACAGTAAAGAAACAGTATTCTCTGTCACAGATACAAGCAGCCCGAGGGCCTCCAATTAGGACAGTATCATGAATCACTCAAATAGATCCACTTAGCTATAGTAGAGAGTTCAATTCTGACATCTAGTGCTTTAGAAAAGCCGATGATTAGTGAAGGGGAACAATTGGAGTAGGAGTGTCGAGCCAGAGAACTTGCCTTCATGCATACAATGTATTCAATCGAGTATTAAATATATGCATTTCATTTACAGTGCTCCTACATATATCCTGCCACATGGTATATAAACAAGGAGGTTGTGGTCCATAAGCTAACAGAGATGGTTTTCTCGTCTGATTCAACCTAGCTAAGCCCTACCAGGACCCCGTTCTCGTTTTCGAATGTCATGCTTATCCTTTCTGTCCACGGCTTGGTATTATAATTGGAGACTGTTGAAAAGGTTTGAAATATACGAGCCACCAGGTATGTGAGCACAATCATAGCATAGTACTCTGCACCAGTGTTAGTGAACACATTTCAAGCACCACAGTACAAACTAAGGAGGAAAGCGTACGACCGGGGCAAGCTCTTGGGCCTTTATTGAACGGGATAAAGCCAGGCATATCTCCGCTGAGATGTTCCCACCGTTCTGGGTAAAACGCCTCTGGGTTTTCTCCAAAGTCCTTCCCTAGACGATGCCTAGACCAGGTGGAAAATACCACAATATCTCCTTTTCGAACAATAACCGGCCAGTTCTTATCGGTCCCACCGCCTCTAGGCAATGTAGATGTCGTGTTCGCCACCCTCGCGTTGAATACAACTGCTGGGAAGAGTCTCATCACTTGACGAGCTTGGTGTAAGTGCATGCTCCAGAGCGACACTTTACTGAAGTCTCACCTTCTTGGAGTACGCAGCGGACATAGCGCAAAGATGCGAGCTGCTCCCATATCGGGGGCGTCAATCCAATGGTATCAATTATGCTTTTCCTCAACTTGTGGACAACCCGCGTGTCCTGGGAAAGGCAAAAGAAAAGACCCGAGAGAGTGGTGCCCATGCTGTCGTTCGCAAGCAGAACGCTCAAGGCCTGGTCGGCCAGCTGGGAAATTTCCTCGGTTTCCGTATTGAAAGCGCGTCTAAAAGGGCGACCGTCATCCTCCTTATTCATGCAGGTCGTCGTTTTGACTTCTCGGGTGACATGGGCCATGACATATTTCCGTGCCCTTCTGCAGGACTGGATAAAGCGTTGTTTGGGATATAAATAACGGAGCGGACCACGGAAACCATCTTGAACGATTCGTTCCTTGACGGACAGCAGATCTGCTAAAAACTGCTTCTTTTCCTGAGATTGAGAAAACCCAAGGGCATCAACGGACTCTCCGAGAGAGAACAAGGTCTGCATATCCAAAGAGAGAGCGAAGACGCAGGATTGAATATCAAATTCTTGGCCATTGGATGGAACATGTTGGAGGAAGGCCTGGAAATGTTGTTCACACAGGTTCAGGTCAACGATCTGGCGGAGATTGGAGAGTTGACTGCGCAATTTCTCCCGACTTTTCTTCCAGCCCGTGCTGTCGAGGGTGAAGATGCCATGTGGTGTGATGGACTCAAACAGGTGCTTTCGCAAAGGGGAACTGTCGAAGTCGGTAAACGCCGTGGACAGCAGATGTTTGATGTTTTCCGTGTTGCAGGTGAAGATGAGCCGGTAAACTAGAACATTGGAAGCGTACGTCTCCCCGTATTTCATGAACAGCGCATTCGTGTATCGGAGGAAAGATCGGTATCGCAAATGAAACCCCAGCTCAATAGCCTTGGCGATGCCCAGGAAATCGTACTGAAACCGCCCACTCTCGTTGGGCAGCTTCTTGCAGCCATGAAGTCGTTCAAGCCGCCGTAATTGTCGAATCTGGTGCAATCTTCGCACCACAAAGGTTAAGATGATTCCAACGCCAGCGACAATAAATGCCCTGTGAAGACTTGCTACCCCACTCCAAGTGTTGACTGCAGCATCTGGTTGAGATGTTGTGTCGTTCCACAGCTGTGACGGAAAGGATTTGTCGTCCATACACATCGTGGTTGCGTAGTGAAGATTTCATGACCAAGGGACGGCATCTCTTTTCATCCCTTCTTACGGTGTACTCCGTACATTAAATGGAGATGATTTAAATCGACACGCCATTTTGTTTCCTTGGAGAGAGGCGACCACTCTGCTCATAGCATGCAGATCCATTCTCGTATATGCAAGGGATACGTCACACTGTCGCCCTGGTCTTGTCAGTTAGTTTCACGATTATAACACTATTCATATACTCACAGACAGTTGCATGTAATTATTCAATGTCCAAAATAGTACATATGTAGAATGATGAATATATATTTATTCACCAAATTATTGCAATCTCAAAATCGCTCAAAGTCTCCATTCAGTTATACAGCAGCCCCGAGTCCCTCAACTCGAAATTGGTAGGAATTAGTTCAATGGCTGAAACGGTCCCAAAAGAGCCAGACTTCGATATGTCCTCTAAAAGAGGGCATCTCACTTCCCAAGTAGAGCATGCTCTGCAGTTTTCAGTAGACTATGCTTTGGGCTCGGTGCACTCCGATGGCCATTGGTGCGGTGAACTCAAATCTAACGTCACCATCACTGCCGAATATATCTTCCTCCAACAGGCCCTTGGACTGGATTTGAAAGCCGACAATGCTGCCTATCGTCGCCATATACTCGCGCAGCAGAACCGCGATGGCTCCTGGGGTCTGGCCCCCGAATACCCAGGCGACGTATCGACCACGACCGAAGCTTACCTCGCACTGAAGATATTGGGGATGAGCGTGGAAATACCTGCTATGCAACGAGCCCGAGCATATGTGCTTAATGCAGGTGGCGTTGCGCGGATTCGCGTTTTCACCCGCATTTTCCTCGCAACCTTTGGATTGTTTCCGTGGGATGCAGTCCCTCAGCTGCCGGTGGAGCTCATTCTTCTCCATTCCATCTGTCCAGTCAATATCTACAAATTTTCGTCTTGGGCCCGCGGTACCATTGCCCCGCTGCTAATCATATGCCATCATCGGCCTGTGTATGCGCTTCCAAACGGCACATCTGCTCAGAACGATTATCTCAATGATTTATGGCTTGATCCTACGAATAAAAACGTACCATATGGCCCATCTCTCAGCGAGTTGCTGTCCCAGGCAGACATCATTGGAATCGCATTTAGCGTCTTGGACAAACTGCTCTATCAACTAAACGGACTTCGCTCCGTACCTCTGCTACGGCGATACGCTCGACGGAAGTGCATACAGTGGATACTGGAGCGCCAGGAACCCACCGGCGACTGGGCCGGGATCTTCCCGCCCATGCACGCCAGTGTGTATGCGTTCGTTCTGGAGGGGTACAACCTCGACGATGACCCTGTCCGTCTTGGTATCCGAGCATTGGAGAACTTTGCATGGGAGGACGATCAGGGAAAACGAATCCAAGCTTGCGTGTCGCCTGTGTGGGACACGGCTCTCATGTCGATTGGCCTCTGCGATGCCATGGCACCAGATCGGCAGATACTAGACCAGGCCATTACTTGGGTCCGAAACCGCCAGTTACTTGAACCCTGCGGAGATTGGTGCGTATACCGGCCACGGCTGGCTCCTGGGGGCTTCTGCTTTGAGTACACGAATAGTTTCTATCCTGACGTGGACGACACCGCTGCGGTGATCCTTGCGCAGGTGAAGCACGACGTCAAGTCCCTTGATTCGGATTCTGTCATCGCAGCGACCACATGGATCCTGGGCATGCAGAACCCCGACGGAGGATGGGCTGCATTTGATGTGGAGAATGATAAGCTGTATCTCAACAAAATCCCCTTCAGTGACATGGACAGTCTCTGCGATACATCCTGTCCGGACATTACAGGACGGATCCTGGAAGCCTTCGGATTCATGATGAAGCATGCTCCTGAGAAAACAAGAGCCATAGAGCTGTTCCCTGCTTTGCGTGAAGCATGCACCCGCGGCATCGACTACCTTGCTGCTGCGCAAGAGCTCAACGGAGCCTGGTTCGGACGATGGGGCTGCAACTATGTCTATGGGACGAGTCACGCGCTGTGTGGTCTGGCATACTTTGTCGATGCGGACCAGCGAGTTGGTCGGTTGGTGCAGCCGGCTCTGGGGTGGCTGAAGTCTAAGCAAAATGTTGATGGCGGTTGGGGCGAGTCGTTGCTCTCATACCGGTCTCCTGACAAATGGCAGCAGACATCCACCGCCTCGCAATCTGCTTGGGCGTTGATGGGATTGCTGGCCCATCTTCCTCTTACAGACATCGCGATTGAGCGCGGAATTCGCTGGCTAGTATACTCCCAGAGACCGGAGAAGGGCATTGGGTCTTCGTGGCCTGAGGCAGTGTACACTGGAACGGGTTTCCCGAATCAATTCTATTTGGGCTATGATTACTATCGTCACTACTTTCCTATGATGGCCCTTGGGCGGTATCTGCGGAGGATTAGAGGACTTGGATATTAGTATACAAAGGAGCTATGTTGACATGGCATTTACGGACAATAATAGCAAATACAATCAGCATTTGGATGTTACTATCTTCAGCACATTGAGTGTCAAAATTTTAATACATGCCTGCATATTTAGGACGCTTTCAGTTCTGCTGGTATGAAAGGGTTCCTGTATAATACAAGGAACGGCCAAGTATGCAGGGTCTCGTATTACTCAGCCCCCATTCCATAACTTAGTTAGTGTTATGTGGCTGTCAACTCCCCTTGCGTACCTTCAGCATTGTGGGTAGGTGTACTACAGCTACATCTCATCACGTACACCGCTATTTCACCCTTACTTCCGCCCCGTACGTACTGGATATTAACGCCGCGCCGATTGAAGCCACAACAATGAATGACGAACACGTCTTGTTGATCTAGCACCTGCATATATCTCGTGTATGCACCATGGATTCCTGGAGATATCTCAATGCTGTGAAACCCGAGCTATTAGATAAATACAGTGCAACTCCCTCTCCGCCATCAACACAAGCACCCTTATACTTCTAAAGTCTAGACAATGGGCGTTCTGTCATTGTTTGAGCGTAGACGTCCAGAAACGGTGCCCACAGACCGGGTCATTCCTTTACGCTATTGGGATGACTTGCACTATCTACGCAGTCTTTGCCATGACTTTACATTCAGATTCGACGACGTCCTAGATGCCTCCAAGCTCGAGGAAGCGCTAGATCGGCTTATGGAAATTGGGGATTGGGGTCAATTGGGCGCTCGTCTGCGCCTAAACGTATGATCCTCCCTGAGTCAACCACTGGAATGAATGCTGATGGTAACTAACGATCTTCTAGGATAATAGCAAGCTCGAATATCACATACCGGCGGAGTATGACAAGAAAACCCGGCCCGCATTTATCTTCACCACTACAGAATATGGTATGAGCATCAGCGAACACCCGCTGGGCTCTCAGCTGCCAAAAACAGGACAAGACCAGTCTTTCCTCTCTCCCCCTTCTGCCGAGTTCGCGCCCTTAGTCCGTCATCCAGATAGTCCTCGGGAGCTAGCTGACTGGATCTATACCGACCGTCCGCAGCTTCATATCCATGTTGTTCTCTTCCAGGATGCCACCCTTTTAACCTTCAGCTATATCCACACTCTGTTTGATGCGGTCGCGCGGACAAATTTCTTCAAGGCTTGGACGGCTGTCTTGCAGGGTCGGGAAGCCCAGGTGCCTCCCTTTTATCCATTTGATAATGACCCCTTCCGCACCTTAGGCGAAGAAGTTCCCTGCCAGACGTATAGCAATTTCGGACATCTTGTTCGCGGCCTTTGCCTCGTGCTTTTTGGACTCCGGTATCTCTTCGAACTTCTGTGGTTCCGAACGGAGGAGGAACACTCCATCCGTTTGCCGGGACACTGCGTGGAACGGATGAGAGAGACCGCACGGAAGAAACTGGCCGCAGATGGACCGGAACAGCGGTTTTTGAGCGAGCCTGACATTGTGGCAGCCTGGTGGTTGAAGACAATGGTTACCGCACTGAACCCTGCGTCTGACCGCACCGTCATGGTGATGAGTCCCTTCAACGTGTGGGGAGTATTTGACGAGTGGTTCCCAGGTGACGGGAAGGGCTTCATCGGCAATGCATTCTTTAATTCCTACACTGTGCTCAACGCGAGCCAAATTCTGGAGGATGACAACCTGACATCTCTGGCGTGCAAGAACCGGCAGACGCTCATGGAGCACCGAACCAAGGAGCAGGTTCAAGCCATGGCTGCGATCCAGAGGAAATCATTCATGAACATCCCACCACTCGTCGGGGGTTCGGACCTCCTGTTCATGACGCATACCAACCAGCACAAAGCCAGATACTTTGAAACAGATTTCTCGGCTGCCGTTGTTGCTATTGGTGTGCCGCTAAGTGAGAGACCTCATGCCCTGGGTAGACCGTCGTATATCAACGACATTGAGCATTGTCGGTGGTATCCGACTCGGAATGTCTGTAGAGTAATTGGCAAGGATGCTGCGGGTGATTGGTGGCTTCTGTTCAAGACTCGATCTGGGGCATGGCCTTCGATTCATCGACAGTTAAAGGCTCTGCTGGAGATCGACGACTTGCCAGCAAACCCTGCGCGTGATACCGGGGCAAGTTCATACAAAGAACACCCGTTGGCCACATCGTATCCGAAGTCTATGGGGTCTGTTTTGGACTTCCATCTTCTATGGAGACTAATCGTATAGGTAACATCTACTTTTGAGGCGTAGATAATTTGCCTTTTTTTTTTTCACTTTTTTTAGTATGGAACCATCTCGGGATCTTTCGCGTTCGCACAGTGATATTATACATCTCAGCCTGCTTAAGTTATCTGGCTTTCTGTTGCACGATTTCGGCTAGATAATTATAAAAAGGTCATTGTTTCGGTTATATCATAAAAGTATTCGGCATATGGTGAAGACGGTGAATATTGCAACTTCCCCGCAGGGACAATATTCTCAGTGTCATAGGCACCTGTAAACCTCTAATTGTAGGCAATACGTATCCACTAGATTCTTTTAAGGACTGTCTGCCTGATATAGCCAGCCCATGGGAGGCATTCCATGGGAGGCATTCCAATCCCTCAAATATTGGCCTGTTTTGATTTACGTGACTCTGGCGTGTAAATAGTTCACTTTCCAGCAAAAAAACAGAATTCCCTGCACTTCGACAGCCGAGTATGTCCGACGAGGAAATTCTCCTTGATATCCGGCCGATTGCTGGCACTTCTTGCGGAGCAGAGGTCATCGAATCTCAGATCTGCACCGAGCCCAGCCCCGCCACCTTCTTCAGCTGCTACCGATATGCAACCGCGTCTCAGTTCTGCGCGCTGTTTGTATCAGTATGCTGTGCAGTGGCCGCTGGCACCGCAATGCCTTTGGTAACTATTGTTTTCGGGGCATTGGCAAGTGAATTTATAAATGAAGACGAGCAAACAGCAGACGAAATTCGAGACCGAGCTCAGCATTATACGCTGCTATTAGTGTATATCGGTGTGTGGACTTCGGAATTCATCGAACAACAATTCTCTAACACACTTTAGCAATCGGGTCGTTCATCACCACTATGATTAGCGCATGGGCCTCAATGTCGTAGGCGAACAGATCACCCGCCACCTCCAACAGAGGTATCTCTCTTCGGTGCTGCAGCAGAACATGGCCTATTTCGATACGGTAGGCACAGGGGAGCTCATGTCCCACATAGACCAGGACATGAAATTGATCCAAGCGGGCATCTCGCACAAAGTAGGCAACGTCCTCTCAGGAATTTCCGGCTTTGTGGTCGCCATTATCTGCTCGTTCCTCCAGAATCAGCGCTTCGCGTCTATAATGATAGCGCAGCCGATCATTCTGGTCCTCCTTGTGGGGGCAATGGGGTTTTGGCTCAGCGTTATGCAGAAAATGAGTCTGGCGGAGTATGTAAAAGCAGATAATTTAGCCCACGAAGTCCTCAGTGCCATAAGGACTGTCATTGCCTACCGAAGTCAGGAAAGATATGCTAAAAAGTACCACAATGCCCTGTTGCGCTCTGCTGCTTTGGACTTTCGGGAACGATTTGTTTTCGGTGTCATTGTTGCAGGCTCTTTTACAATTTTACATTGGGCCAATGGTTTGGGTGTATGTATCACTTCTATTTGCAATGTCCTACTGATTATCTCAGTTCTGGCAGGCGGACCATCTCTTCCACCAAGGACGCTGTAGCATTTCAGAGGCTTTGGCCATCCTGTACGCAACTACTGTCGCTGGTGGGATGCTATGTCAAGCGTTGCCGTTTGTTGTCGATATTACCCAGGCCAATGGAGCAGCCAGTCGAGTCTTTTCTGTTATTGAGCGTGCTTCACCAATCAATCCTTTGGCAGATACGGGGAAGGCATACGGTCCAGTCCGAGGGGAGATTCGCTTTGAAGACGTAAGCTTTGCATATCCTTCAAGACCGGAACAAACGGTCTTAAAAAAAATCGGGTTCAATGTGCCAGCCGGACACACTGTGGCCTTCATTGGACCATCTGGGTCGGGAAAGTCGACAGTCTTTGCCCTTTTAGAACGGTTGTATCATCCCCTCAAAGGTAGTATCACGCTGGATGGTGAGCTGATTAACGAACTCAATGTATCATGGCTAAGGTCTCAGATTGGGTACGTCGCCCAAGATGTTACTCTATTCCGTGCGTCGATTCACGAGAACATTGCTTATGGGCTTCCCAAATCTATCACCGAGGTAAGTCGGCTGTCGTCAACATTTGCTCTGAGCATTTCAGATTACTTATTCAAGAGCAGAAACTGGACTCATCTGCTATCCGAAGACGAGTAGTTCAGGCTGCAGAGACAGCCCAGATCCACTCCTTCATCTCCAATCTTCCTCAAGGTTACGATACTGTAATAGGAGCCAATGGGTCGACTCTCTCCGGTGGACAGAGGCAAAGGCTCGCGATTGCGCGCGCGATTATATCTAAGCCATCTATCTTACTGTTGGATGAGGCAACGGCATCACTGGATAGTCAAAGTGAAAATGAATTACAGGAGGCTCTCAACAAGGCTGCTGCGGGACGAACCACTATGATAATTGCCCACCGGCTATCGACAGTCCAGAATGCCGATACAATTATAGTCATAAAAGACGGCCAGATTGTGGATCAAGGCTCCCACGCGGCCTTACTGAACAGGTCCGCAACGTATCAAGAATTAGTACGGCAGCAAGCACTCCGATCAAATAATAGATTTCAGGAAACTTGCCCGGCCAGGAACCCCGAAGACGAGTCTAAGCACAGTTTGGTTAACATCGGTGCTATAAGAACGCTAGAAAATGCTCCACTGCCAAAATCGCCATCTAGGAACAGTGTCAAACTTGTTTGGCAGTTGAATAAGCCAGAGCTGTCGTACATTATCCCAGGCGTTGTTCTCAGCGTCTTAGCTGGAATGACATATCCCGTCCAAGCGATTTTTTTTGGAAACGGGATCATGTCAATTGTTAGTCCTACTCGGAGTACTGGTGGACACAATGCTCACTTCTGGGCTCGGATGTATCTTATTCATGGTATTGTTGTCTTCGTGGTATACTGTGTACGAGGCTACTGCTTTGCCGTGTCCGCGTCTGAATTGCATCTCCGAGCCCGCTCACGTTTGTTCAAGGCGTTGCTTCTGAAGAACCTACCCTTCTTCGAGGACAAAAACCACTCGGTTGGGGCCTTGGTGAGCTTTCTCTCCTCAAGAACTCAGAAGATAACTGGTGTCTCTGGAACGTCACTAGGACTGTTGGTCGAAAGTATCGTAATGCTCATGACGGGGGTTACAGTTGGATGTATCTTTGGATGGAAGCTCGGTGTCGCTGCAACAGCTACAGTCCCGTTAATAGCAATGTCCAGCTTCCTACAGTATTACATTGAGGCGCAGGTACAGAAGTACGTCAAGCGCGACACCAATGCTGTGTCCGTTGCACAAGAGGCATTCTCGGCCTTCAAAACCGTGACAGTGCTCGGCTTGCACAGCAACATGATCGAGTCCTTTCAACGGGAAAGTCGCCGGGATAATAAAGCCGGGTACTGGGTCAAGTCTGCTGCCATGTACGCGTGCACTACATCGTTGCGTATATTAAGTATTGCCTTTGTATTCTGGCATGGCGGCACCCATCTGATCGCAACGGGCGAGTACACCATTCAGCAATTTTTCATATGCTTTGCAGCTACGGTTTGGGGATCTCAGTCTGCAGCTGCCCTCTTTGCACATGCACCAGACATTGCCGGCGCTCATTCTGCTGCTACTCAATTGAAGGAACTTATTCAACCCTGTGATGATTCACCAGCACACGGCAAACAGGACCACAACCACGTCTCCACCTCCGTGCCACGCATGACCGAAGACCTTGCATTACAGCGCATTAGATTCAGATATCCAACTGGTCCCGCTCAACTGACACTAGACGATATCACTTTCCACGCCCCCGCAGGATCCTTCATTGCCCTCGTCGGGACGACAGGTAGCGGCAAAAGCTCGGTGATTAATCTGATCGAGCGCTTCTACAATGCTCAGTCTGGCGACATCACTCTAGGGAATAGGGCAATTGAAGATTATGACCTGCACAGCTATCGAGGGTACCTAGTTCTGGTCGACCAGAACGCTTGTTTGGTTGGTGAAGATCTGCGCGAGTGCCTGCAGAGTGATGAACGGGTCGTTTCCGACGAGGAGATGCTGATTGCTTTGGGGAATGTTGGACTGGCAGATTTTGTGGTATTTCTTCTTCACTCATTACTGACAAGCTTTCTACTACTTTTCAATACTGACCGTGGGTATTAGCTATCCCTCCCTCAAGGGCTCAACACTCCTATCCTCGCTAACGGATCGACTCTTTCTGGGGGACAGCGCCAGCGCATGGCCATCGCTAAGGCTCTTTTATGGAGGCCGAAAATTCTGTAATGCTGCATCAAAATCAATCCTGTATATATAGGTTCTAACTTTTTTAGTCTACTCGATGAAGCAACCTCAGCACTAGACAGTGCCTCGGAGCAAGTAGCCCAAGAAGCGCTCCAACGCGCAATGAAAGGCCAAACTACCATTGCCGTTGCCCATCGACTTAAGACAGTTATCGATGCCAATGTGATTTTGGTCTTGGACCATGGACGAGTCATCGAGAGAGGGAGTCATCATGAGTTGATGAAGCGAGGTGGGAAATACTATCACATGGCTAAGTTACAGCAGTTGAATGGGGAAGTCGTTTAGTATATATTATTTCAGCATGGGTAATACCATTCGGCCACCAAATGCAACAGGGACGCAAAGACGGCTATATCACGGGATTATCAGGCATCATATATATAAAACATATACTTAAGTCTTAATTCAAAATCCTATCTATGAAATCTCATTAAATCTCATTTATAATCTCCAAGGTAAGTTGGCAGTCTGTAGTGGAATGGCCCTGAGGGCCTAAGGAGGGATAGCTAGCGTAGCGGGCATCATAACTAGCCGCCGTGAGAGTCTGGAGAAATGGCTGGTAGAACCCTGGAGTGATCCAGGCGTCAGGAGCAAAGAGAATAGTGGTTCTCTTGTATACGTAGTTAGGCGAGGATGGAGAGAAAGCGAAGTTGGCCTTAACATATGCAACCGACACACCGAGGGGGTTTCATTTCCTGGTGGTTTGTTAGCATATCACAATACAATGGGCTAGGAACTGAATCCTTCCATTTTTATGTAAGCACTAATTTTGTAACTATTAACTATCATGCGTATAGACCTATTTAGCTACTCGTAGCGGAAATACCCTGTCGTGGTAGTATAGCTAGTCCATATAGACAGGTGTCTACTTGCTCCCGGTGTATATCCTTTAAACAACTCCAGGAATCATAACAAACCTCTTATGTTTATACCTGTCTCCGAATTCCTTGCGGTAGCGGTGCTCCTTCTTCTTTGCCCAGATAGCCATTTGCACACTCCCGATAATGATGACGAGAAGAATACTCCAGCTCAGCCCACTAACCAGATAAATACCAGCCCAGGAGACAATCTCGAAGAAGTAGTTGGGACAGGTCACAGCGCTGAATCCAAAGCCGGACGGGATGCCACGCTCGGTCGTGCCCGGACGACGTAGGTCTCGCAGAACCAAATGAGCGTTCAAGTTCGACAACTCTCCGAAAATAAACAGGACAAGACCTATATAGAGCAAGCCAGGATCAGGCTTCCTACTCACCACAGCTGCGTCGGGCCGGAAAACCCAGTATGGAATGTTAAAGCCAGCCATTACCCAGTAGTAGCCACTGTTCCTAACAATATTGCGCACTGGCATCGTGGCATTACTGAATCGGTGGACAAAGATGGTCTCGTATTCACGCTTCAAGAAGTGGAGTGTTAATAGTGCACAGACCAAGAGCTGAAGGCCGCTCGGTTCGGGAATGATGTCAAAGGTGCAGTAGAGATATGGACGTAGTGGAAAGAGAAAGAGAGATGGCATCAGGACCGGGCCAAGATATTCGGAGATGAATACGGTGCGCCATGAGATTTGGGGGCCTAAACGATGAAAGACAAAAGTATAAGCCTACATCCAGCAGCGGTGAGCAGGGACGTTTGCAGACATCCCTAGGTCCTTAACATGAACAACATCCTTATCCTTGAGTCCAGTCTTGTGGATAGTGGTTTCCTTGGAGTTAGGGATCAAGACCCGGTCGCCTCCTCTGGTGATTCTCAGACGATAGACGGAAATGGCTGAGGCTTCAGCCAGGGAGGTGTAGAGTTCCTCCGTTGAGGCATTAGAAGCGACATGAACTTCCTTGGGGAGCTCCTTGATAAGTGTTCCTACATCGCCAAGTCAGTCGTATGATCAATTGGAGATTCAGGACATGCTAGATGAGCTTGCCCCTTGACTGAATAACCACAGTAATTGTTGCTGGAGCCATAGAGTTGAATCCGACCTAGAGGTAATGTATCCGTACCAACCCAAGGCGGCTGAGCAGCATAACAGTCGCTGTCACACTCGAGCTCCTTAAGGGGTTCGAGGCGGAAAGGATACGAACTGCAGCAACCAAGCCACACCTGAGTGGATGCATTGTACTACTGTCACTTGCCTGAAATTATTAATTCCGAATCACCATGTAGCAACGAGGAGATAGTCTACCGTCATCTTATATTTAAGGTGTGATATCCTATAGAATTAACACAGTCTCTTTAGCAGTTTGTTGCAAAAATACTCTGTAAACAACACACTAAAGCCCATGTGAGACTGTTGGCTGACTCATGACTGGAAAGTTGACAAGAGACGAAATGATCGATTCTGCCATAATCCTCCGCTTTCCTGTTCAAAATCAGTCACGTGCTCATCGTTTCGGAAGCGCCCAGTCGCTGCCATCTTTTCCTTTGGCACTACGGCGTTCCAAGAACCTTGACTGAACTACGGTGCACAGGAGCGACAACAAGTGCTTTGCGCGTCATATACCTCCCCACACACCACAGCTTCGCTTCTCTCTGGGACAATCACTAAGTCTTTGACACGCAGGGACGCACCTCCAACCTGGAGGGGGCGTCGTTTCAGCGCTTCTCGTCACGATGGTTTACGACTGGGAAGGGAAGCGGGACATCTGCTATCAGATGTACATCAAAGACAAGAAGGCTTTGGAGGAAATCATGGAGTATATGAAGAATACCTATCAGTTTGCACCAAGGTAAGCAAACGTTGCCCTACCACACATTGACCGGTCAAGACGCCCTGGTCTTGCATGGTATCCACTAACCGGTATCGGTATTTCCAGCAAGCGTGCCTTTCAAACCCAGTTTAAGCGATGGGGCTTTCCCTCGAAGCAAAATCCAGCACACAAGAATGCAGACCTAGTGGCTCGTGTCAAGCAACTTTGGGAAAGGAATACAAGCCAGCGAGACATGTTGCAGATACTGAATGAAGAAGGGTTTGAGATCAAAGAGAGGGAGCTCATGCGGGTGCGTGCGAAGAACCGCTGGTTGCTCCGTGTACCCAATGGGATGAAATCACAGAGCTTACAGACCACTGTCCATATGCCAGAAGATGAAGGTTTGCTTGCATTGCATGATGAAGTGTACAAGGATGCAAGCCCGTTCAATGATGGCGAGCCCATCCCTGCTGACCCGCCCATCTCGCATTCTCCCTCGCCGAACCTATCGCCAGGTTTATCCTCCGAGGTTCTGTTGAAACGTAAGGAGCGACTCGACCGATTGAAAGCAGAGAGTGCCGAACGTTGGGCCAGCAGGAAGCGTCGTCGCCGTACGCGGGGGTGGGCCGGGCTTCCAGCTGACCCTCCAGGACCTCCGCGTTTCCCTTCTGAAACCACCATCGATGAAAGCAAGAAATACCTAAGGCTTGACAGTACTATATACCGTCAAATTAGAGACCAATTTCAAAAGATATGCGAGGAGGCGGGGTTTATCAAGAAAACAGTGGCTGGGCCGGAGAGGTGGCAAGTGGCAAAGAACAAGTTAATACAAGGATCTCAACATCTGCAGCAAGTGTTTTGGGATGATCCCAACCAGCTGGATACAAAAGCACTTGCCCTTGATGTGGTTTGTACAGATGTCACCAAGAGAATGCGGACCCTGGAAAGGCGAATGACGATCGCAGAGGCCAAAAACGCGCTTGGGATAAATCCAGAAGAGAGTCGTCAGATCCGAAATGCGTTTTACAACACCCTGAAAGCGGATCACTTTACTAGCAAGCTGGAGGCTGGTGATGAACACTGGAACGAGCTGAAAGATCAGTGGATTCAGAACTCCGAGCTCCTCCAACGAATACTCGCCCCTGGCCCAGCGGACCCGGGGCATATTACAAAACTCAAGGCCCTCGAAGTGCTCTGCCGCGACGTCATGAAGCGCCTCCGCGATGATCAGACTAAAAGAGACTCCTCCCGTAAACAGTCGGTCTCTCGGTCCCACACTCAGAACTCTGATGCGGGAAGTGCCCGCATGGGCAGTGCGTTTGACAGTGGCATCCCTAATGGAATCAGCACCCTCGCTTCGCAAGCTTTAGCCAGTGCTCCGGTAGCCTCTAGTGACTTAGGTGACATGCAAATAGACCCTTCGCTTTTGCAAGCTGCTAATGACCCCACGTTTGCTGCAACTGACCAGCACGAATCTGGAAATGCCTTTGGATACGTGGACACGATGCTAGATTCGGCTGTTCTCGACATCCCAGTTTCTCTCCGCATAAATCCCCAGAGTCCGCTCCACAGGGACTCAAAAGCCTGGAACGAGAAATTAGCGACAAGGTCTACAGCCGAATTACGGCAGTTAGTTAGTACTAAATATCCTGAATGTATCGTTACCAGGATTGAAGGTCTCGATACGGACGAAACTGGGAATGATATTCTGTTCATCATCGACAAGGACCATGAACTTGACTCTTACTTGACTCAAGTTCAAGACAGAAAGGCAACATTTCTACTCTTTTTGGAGCATGTCTGATTTTTTTTTTTTTTTTTTTTTTTTTTTTTTTTGGGACGGGGGGTGTTGGCGGGCGCTTGGGACATGATAATCTCCCTGTAACTTTATATGGATTAATTTCTCGCCTATTAGCATGTGTGTCCGGCGTCTGGGGAAGAAGTTAGTGGTGTCTAAAGCACTACACGTTTAGGATATGGCATCTTAATTATTACTATTTTTTTTCCAATGGAGCTCTAGTATTTTGATATTACCAATGGCTATAGTTAAATAAAGTGATGGGTGCCAGTCTTGCATCTCTGAAAGGGACTAAAGCACGAGCCTGTTATTGCAAGTGTTTACAGGATAATCATCACATGAATGGAGTAGAAAACAACAACAGTAAACAACCAACACCTTAGACATGACAAGCTTGGCCAGGACGAGGTATGCTTTGCACACATGGATTGATAACGATATTCCTCTAAAGATGTTCTCGTATAAGAACCAGGACAAGTTGGAATCCTGTACCCATTCTGCCGCAGCCGATGAGACATGTGTGTCACGCTCTACTAATTTGTTCATGAATTACTTCACTAAAGGAGCAAGCCATTCATCTGATTCCCATGGCCTCTTTCCATGACCATCTGTGCTCCACATGCGATGTATATAATGATCGCATGTTACATTTATAAACGTGCCGTACTTTATCTGACTCTTCCAGACCCACCAGATAAATCAACTGCCAGCCAATCGACAATTTGATACTAAAGACCTTTAAGCCGCGCAATTAACGCCAAATGGTAGATAGACCCCGAGCTGAAAGGGGAAATTAACTAGGCGTATTCCCGGACACTGACTGTTCAGAAGGACGTGACAGGCACTGAATATCTTCACCAACATTGATAACCTCTCAGGTAGGAGATCCCTTCCTGTCTATGCACGGGATTATTACTTCTAATATATTCGATAGGGAGAAGCGGATAGACTTGTGGATACTCATCCGGTATATAAATGTCGACTGGCTCCAGAGAGCCGAGCAGAGCTGACAGAGCTGAGACTTTAGACTCGAAAAACCATCGTCTTGATTATCCACGGTGAGGTTATCTCTGCTTGCTCTTCCTTTCGCCTTCGGCTCTATTGTTTCTGCTGGTCAAACTGATCGTGGCAGCTACACTGTCCCTGGCCTGGGATTTCGCAAGCAATCCGTGATCAAGGCCAGTGGAACTACCATGGATCTTGCCATTGCGATGCTGGAAACGTAAGTCCTCCTTCTCTGGAGTATTTCGCTCTCTAAAAAATGACTAGCGAGACCGTGACGACCAATTACACCTATGGTAAGATTGACTTTTCCCGACACCGACACAACGAGGTGAAAGGTGACGGCAAAAATGGAGACTCAACCAACTTCGGCATCTTCAAGCAGAATTGGATGATACCGCGCACTCCCGCATCTGAATTCCGTGGACAGAACGTGGGAGGCGTGGATAACGGAGGTGTCCTGAAGTAAGTAGCCCAGTCCATGTCTATCTTACCAGGAAGTGATACTGACGAAGATAGTTCCTATCTGAGCAAGGATATCAAGGCCCGTCACGACGGCGAGAAGCACTATGGTTTTGACGTCTGGTGTGCGGGCCATAGAAACGGTGCCAGTGGACAGGATAATCCCAACACCGAGGATATCAACAGTAAGTACCTATCGAGGACATTGATATGGCGTGTGTCGCTTCTGGGTCGGCGTGACTCCCATCTAAGATGGTCCAGTAGGGACGGAAATAGGGAGCGGCGGACATGTAACGTACAACAAACAACAGTCCGATAGCCATTCTATTAGTTATATGTTGTATGTCGTAGGTCAATAACAACAGACCATTGAGACTCCAAATATATTACAAATTCTCCATGATTCCTGGTTGAATCGCCTCAAATATCTCCGAAAGCTCCTTCCAGATCTTCTTCTGCGCTGTCTGTCCATCATCTCTACGCACAAAAGCCGACAATTCCTGCGATGCTACCTCCCCATTACTCATGTACTCTCCATGCGACTCTGATCCTGCAGCGACTCCAGCCACTAACGTGCGGCTGCCCACCTCCGTCGTCCGGGCCAGGAAAAACTTCATCACTGCCATACTCCAGCTGGCATTACGAGTCAGTTGCGAATGACAGAGACCCGGATTCACCATATTGATAATCACCGCGTCGTCTCGCACCCGGGAAACCAGTTCCCTGATGGCTAGAACTTCCATCAGTTTGGAGGTAGGATACCGCTCCCACATGCTAGTATTATCCTCATCGTCTAAGGCAGCCAAGATACGATCTTGTCTCCATTCAGGGAAGGTCGCGAATGCGTGAGTCTCGCTAACCACCACCGTGAGATGCGGTTTCGGCTTTGTGGTACCATTCCCTGGGAACCTCTTCACTGTGTCACGCATCTTCGGTAATACCAACAGACCCAGAAGAACCGTGCTGATCACATTAACAGTGATACTGAGCTCGTGGTCTTCCGCGATTTGGAACCTATCTGTCGCGACGGCAGCATTCGCAAGCACCACGTCCAGTCGAGACAGTTCATCCACCCGACGTCCAAATGCAATCACTGACGCATATGATGCTAGATCCAACGGCCATACTTCACATGTCCCTCTGCGTCCGGTGGATTCCTCGATGGATTTCCGGGCCGCTTCGCCCGCGACGACGTTCCGAACAGCGAGAATGACCTTGCTCGCGCCGAGACGAGTGATGGAGCGTGCGGCTTCGAGGCCGAGGCCCACATTGGCGCCAGTAACGATGACGACTTGGTCGACGAAGGAGGTCGAGGGAGAGGGTGGTTCGGGTTCGACGAAGAACTGGTTGTAGAGAAAGCGGAGCATGCCGGGTATATCACAGAAAAAGAAAAACGGTAGTAATAATATATGTCATTTGTTTGGAAATAAACATGCAAACCGGTAAATATGTAAATATGCCCTGGGGTTGGGCTACTTATAAAAGACAAGATCCATACTACATATTGTCAAGGCAGGAAGTGGAGGACGTCATTGCAGGCCTCGGCGTTAGGAGTTTAGCTTTGTGTGGTGGTCGGATGTCGTTCGGTGTTAGCAGTGCCATCATTCAGCAGACACTTGTTTGTATGGGATGGAATAGCCTGGGGATAATCTCTGTGGGGTTCGTATTTTTATTTATTTATTTCCTGTTTGTATATGGCACTATTGCTGTTTGAGAGCTTCACAGAATTCCATCCAGACCAAGTGGATAAAAAATTAAGATGAACGTTACCTTGCATTCAATAAATACAGCTATTGATTATTGATAGATAATCTAAAAGTAATGCCACCCCAAACACCGGTCTCTGAACAATCCAAAACAACGTAAATTTATCTACTAGCAAAATATAAACAGCTGGAATCCCCGCCAGTGTTTCCCCTGTCCGATGGAATAGGATCCCACTCATCAGTAGGAGTAATGTGCATAAATACAAAATAAACCATAAATCACAAGTCCTTCGCCGTTAGACCAAAATCAAAAAAGAATCAAGTCCCTACATCGACCATCACGATTTTACCAACCAGCCAACCGCGCCGGTGACTGTGGCAATCATCATAATGGTTAGAATCCACGCACCAGCTCGGTCGGCGGTCTCGATCGGCGAGAGTTTCGTAGGGTCGGAATCCCCGGTGGTAGGAATCAGCGTTTCTTTGGCGTTGGGGTTGGTGTCGATGGTGTTGGGGTCCCTGGCCTTGGAAGAGAGCATCAGGTTCGACGTGATGCCGCCTAGAGCAGCCATCTGGACTTCCAGGCCCTGCATTCCGTCCCACTCTGGCTTCCCCCACGTCTCTCCGCAGAGGTTTTCGGATTCCCCGGAGCACTGCTTTCCAATGGCGACGGCGGATCCTTGCAGTTTGGGGATGATCCTCTCCGCGGTGGACGGTACCAGGATGGCTGTGTGAGCCATCCACATAGCAAGATAGCCCTTGAAGCAGAGCTGGTTTCGGTCGCACGACATGATCGGCTCACAGGCGACCTCGGACATGACATTACCACCGTACTGCTTGGGGAAGAACTTTCCCATGGTCGAGTCTAACAGCCCATTGACTCGCTTGAGCCATTTATCGTCTCCATTGGTCTATAGACGGGGTCAGATTCCGAATCAAAAGCCACGTACGCAACGTTAGGGTGACACTCACATGGTTATACATAAAAGCGGCGCCGGCCAGGTAGGTGCCGTAGTTGTAAGTCCACTGGTCGTTTCCGGCATCCTTGCAATTGGCCTCGTTGTTGGTGGAATCCGCGATATACCACGTTTTCGTTTGTAGAAGTGGCGTGGTTGCGGACCAATCCCAGATCTTATCGGCCCACTCAGAGTACGTTTCGTTCTTGGTGAAGCGAGCCAGACGAGCAGCCAGCTCGAAGAGACCTCCGTTAGAGATGGCGTTTTTCATCGTGTACCCAGCTTGATAGGGCCAGATTTGCCAGCGCATACCGCCGTTGCAGGTCGCGGTGTCCCAGCGGCTGGCTTGCATATTGAAGACGGCGCGCGCCAGGGAAGTCCACGAGGGCTTGCCTTCGACATCAGGGAAGCCACATTCGGACGCCGTAATCGACGCCAGTCCCCAGAACATTTGATCATCATTACCCTGCATGCGGAGGAGGGGGAAGGCGGAGTGGTCAGTATGGTAACAGATGTAACACGAAGAGAGCAACGTACCAGCCACTGGCTAACGTTATGGTGGAAAAAGTCGTAATTTTCGCCCGCTTGAAACATCAGATCGTGCGAGACAATCTTATTTTGGGAGTCGTCGCCCGATGCTTTCCAATACTGGATCAGGGTCATGAACATGCTGCCGGCGACGTACCAGGTGTCGGTCAGCTTGCCGGGGATACCCTCAGTTTGGTTCTGCTGGTAGAACTTCATCATCGGGGCAACGATGGCCTTGGCGGCCTGCTTGAGGGAATCTGATGGGGACGGATATCAGAACCAAGGCTACTGGGGGGTTCTTGTCATTCATACACGGCCCAATGGGCGACACCTACCATCACTAGTAGCCACGACGTTCAGGTCGGATAGGACCGGCCGGGCCTGGAGCAGCAGCAGGGCTGCCCCCCATAGTTGTCGGCCGGACAGGAAGCGCATGTTCTGTTAACAGTTCACGTCGGTTCCCGATCTCTATGCTCTCTATACTCCGGAGACCGACCAACGTGAGCTTAAGGTAAGAACAGAGAAGACGTCCACCATTTTGCCAATTTTAAGGGGCCTCGACCTCAGCGCCAAGGCTACCAATGCGTCTCTTGGCTTGGCGGTCCCAATGGCAAATCGTCAATGGTGTTGCATCGCTGCCAAGACTGCATCTGCGCCAATCAAAGACCTGGACGCCCCGAATTTGGCGCCTCAAGTGAACACTAGCGCCCCGGTCAAACGTTCCCCATACAGAGGGTTGTTCCGCCAGATCCCCACATCGGTCTGGTGCAGAATTAGGCGCTCAGTAATGTTGTGATATTAACTACATAATATGTCGTAGGATGGCTGGCAGTTGCAGAAGGTTACAGAGGGTCCTCCGCCATACCTATCCGGAGCAGATATCAATCTATTCACCTACTCGTTCGCATCTTGGAGACCCCACCATCCTGGATCTAGCGCCCGTTCCTAAGAATGTCACTAATCGAGAGTTGTTTAGTGCCCAAAAACAAAGAGTTCTCACTCGTCCGGACTACGTAGGTACACCAGAGTACTGAGTACCTCGTTACATTGGACAATGAATTTTCTCTTTACCCTGATTGTTGAAGATACACGGGGGATGCTAAAAATAGCCCGTGGAGGCTGAGCTCCCCCTTGTTTCATTAAGTTACCTAATATGCAGAGGATATTCAGCTGACTCATTATGTCTCCTGGTTGGAATGCTGTGTTAGAGAACTACTGTATTAGGTATGATCACGTGTCATCTCTTAGTCACCCGTCTAGATAGTTAGTCAGCTCGCCCAGGCCCCCTGAATTGAAGAGAATCTTGTCTAGCGAACATACTATCAATATATTGGAAGAGCAGCGGAAAAGAAAGGTCTCTTCTGAAACTAGATTACGAGACAGATTTATAGCAAAAATACTAAACAGTCAGCATGCCGACAAATCAGTGCATAGTCAAACATAGCTCTGCACACTTCGTACCCGCCATCTGACGCACCAGAATTCATCTAGAGGTTCTCCAAGGAGGGTACGCGGAAGGGTCCAAGGAGCACTGAACTAATGATAGCAAACCAGCGTCAGCTACGGTGTAGCACGACACAGGTACATGGACCTGGTTGTTTGTTTCAACGGAGTCATACTGTTCGACAGTCATCCGTTCATTCAACAATTGTAAATGGTACCACAGTGTATTATATCAAAATACACAGTATGGTGGAACAGGTGGGTGCATCCGGCTGCCCGATAATCTCGCGGATGGCATGATCACGGTCACTGGATCTTAAAAAAAAGCCGTCCAGATACTCCTTTATAGATGTCGAACTGTTCTGTCCCTGGAAATAAACAAGAGGCATGTAGGAACTGGACTGCACGCCTCTAATAGTCATTGGCCCTGTTTTATGCTCCATATAAAGCTGCATAGCTGCCTGCACAGCCTCCGGTTCTTGACGCAAGAGCGGGTCTCCTGTTACAACTCCATTAACCACTTCGAAGCTGATTCCGCTCATTAAATGGTCCTGCAGATTCTCGCCCACGCTAGGGCTATTCACAACCACATGGATATTATATTGGTGTAGAATCTCCTTATTCCCAATCCCAGAGAGTTCGAGAAGCTTTGGAGTGTTTAGAGCTCCCGCACACACAATAACTTCCTTGTTGGCAGTAATAGTGTGAATCTCGCCTTGTATAACAGCCTCGATACCACCGGCAGTTACACTCGATTCCTTTAACCCCTTAAAGAGGATCCTCTGTACAAGTGCTTCAGTGACAATATGCACATTTGGTCGCTCCATAGGTGAGCGGCCATACGCGCTTGCGGCGTAACTCCGTGTTTTTGTCTCACTATCCACGGCGGAAAGGTTGCTGTAGCCACCAGTGGACTTACCGGAGAAGGGGTCTGCTGTAATTCCATGCCCCGTGGCCTTGAATGTGTCCACCCATGCCCTGCACAAGGGATCCTGAATTGCAGCAGGAAAGGAGACCTTGAGTGGCCCTGATGTTCCATTACAAGATTGATCCAGCTAGCTTATTCCAATATGCTCCGCAGTTGCATTATCAGGCAGTTAAATAGCATATGACTTCTTGTAGTATGGGTGACATTTCTCCCATTTCCAGTTATTAGCACCTAGTTTTGACCAGGCATCAATTCCAGATTGAGAGGGCGCAACAAAAGCCTGGCTGCTAATACCTGAAGGACCGCCCAGGAGCTTCCCCTGTGGTTCCTTGATAACCCGATTGCCCAGAGCAGCCTAGTGTAAAAAAAGTAAGAAATTGTGCACACAGGATAAATACAATGTATACACCTGAGGGACAGTCTGTAGCTGCCAGTCCACCTCGGATCCCATTAGGTGGTCCAGAGGGCCGCAATATTCACCCTGGGATCCTCGAGCAAGTTACTACCAGCCTCCAGAACCACAATGGATTCGGTGGAGTTTTCTGACAGTCGTGAGGCGAGTGTCAAGCCTGCAGTGCCGCCTCCGATAATAACATAGTCTGCAGTGAAGGGAATGTTGGTTTTAATTGCCATGGCTCGACAGAAATAGTTTAATGTCAAACAGGAAAGAAATATGTGGTAGCAATTAGCAAGAAAATTGGATAATAAGTATAATAAAAAGGTGGTGTAATAAGAAAAGAAGGGCGATTATCAAGTTCTACAGGACAGTTTATATAGTTATACAAAGAGCTAAGTGGAGATAGTAAGCAGAAAATACGTGTTTGGTCAGCCCTCTGAAGGCTGATAATTATGGCTGAGGGATTGATTCTTTCCCCTGCTATCAATTAACTGATGTTATAAGTGTGGTTACATGCATGAACCGACTAATATAGATCCAATTTAGGGCCACCAGCCATCGCTCACCCTTCGGGCAGGCCCCCACAGCTACCCCCTGAAAGGTCCTATCCATTATGGATGTTAATAAAACCGTGAACGAGTAAGCTAATTGTGTTAGACAACCCATTATAATTGTTCTTCCCCTCTTCCCAACAGAAAAGCGTTGATATTATTATTATGGCACTGACTCACACGGGCGCTACTGCCGTGACTGTTCTTAATAGTATGTTTACAGTTTTGGCAGGACTAGCAGTGATGCTTCGATTTATGGCCCACAGAATTACGCGAAGGAAGATTGATCTAAGCGACCACTTTTCTCGTCAGCCGGCACTTTTATCAAGAAGCAACACGTATATTCTGGTCGCTCAACCGGTTTGTCGTATTTGATATAGAAGCTTACCCCAGTGACATTATTGGCCCCTTCCCACCTACCTTAGAGCCAGTCCAGTTGACGGCGTTTATGTCGCCGTATGCTATGCGCTACCTGCGCTACCTGCAGTTTGACCCTGTTTTAATCCGGGAAATGCACTGGAGGCGTATAAGGAGATGGTTGAGTTTCTCCGACGCAGTGCGGATCTGCCTCGGCTGACGATTACTCTTGATCTTAGGGGGGTAGGATCGTATGAATATGAAGATCATGAACCTATCAGCGAGAAGCAGGAAATTCAAACTTATTTGGAATTATATACGCCGCTTGTCATGGAGTTTGTACCGCTACGGGCACTCAAGGATTTCTTTGTCCATATCAGCACCCTTCCGAGTTGGCGTGATTGTGTGGAGAACAAGCATGCGTTATGGGAGAGGAGGCTGGAGACGATGGTTATGGGAAAGGAGTATCGAAGCCCAGAGAGGGTGAAGCGGGATGTTTTATGTGCAATGGCATAATCTGTATGGAGAAAATAATTCAGTGGTGTTCTCACAGAAACTCTGACAATGGGTTTAGTAATAGAGATATTCTTTTTTTGATTCAGTAGAAGCTCTATCAATTCTTTAGCACTGTTCGGATTTCCTTGACAAAATAGATAGCTCCATAGAACATACGAAGTATGCGAAAAGTTAGCAAAATATATATGATAAATATTATTTAGGTGCAGATAATAAACAAGATCGCGCTGTATGTTCCCATACACGCCATGAACAAGAAGTAAAATCGCAGAATCCTAGAAGGTATATATAAAAGTGTAGAACATTTAGTTCTTGTTAATGCCTCTACAGTTAAAGGGAAACTGATTGACTATAGGGGAGATGAATGATGAAAGGTCATCAAAGGAAAGACATCAGCAAAAATGTCACGTGCTCTACAACCACAGGTTGTCAAATAAGTTTGGTGGTAATGGTGACGTAAATAATGTCATAAAAGAGGGGTAAACGAGCTCCCTTGTAATGGTTTGGTTGTCTCTGCGCTACAAGACTGATCGGCAGATCAGTCGCATCTTGCGCCCTATAGTAGCGAAGACCATAGTCTGAGCACGATGCTGGGTTTGACATCCCCTACACCTAGCAGAAGAAGCAACCTAATGATCCATAATAATAATCATCAGAATGATCATATACCTATGAGCATAACCAAGAAATCATCTAAAATAATCGCTTAAGCACCTTTTGAAGATTAGCATCTAATTTCCTATTCGGTACTAGCTGAACATCCGACACTGTACTAAGTTAGATATTCTTTAACCTACACGTGATCATAAATGATTATGTAAGAGAGTAGGCTCTCCCATCGTAATATCAACCAATCAGAGGAATTACAGATGACGCCATGGACCACCAGCTGCTGTGGCCTCAGGCGGACTTCTCCGCGTTGAGTACGGAGTTGTATAAACACCTCCCGCACGGTTTCCGCTTCCCACCCGCCTTTCGGATTCTTCAATTGAAACAGCGGCTGTAATCCTGTTCATCGGTCAGCCATGGGCCCTATCCAGGGAGTCACACGCTCGACTTCGCGTGGCCTGAGAGCCGTGGCATTGATGAGGCAATCTCGGAGCACTTGCAGTTTTACCCCAAAGAATCGATTCCAAACTAATCTTGTTACCGTCAGGAAATTACACAGTACCCCTGCTCGCAACTCCCTGTCAGCTGCTGCGCAGAACCCCTCGTCGAAAGATCCTTCTAATCCCGCCCTCTCCTTCCCTTGTCTGGATGCCCAAGATGCAAAGTCCGCTCTCCTCTCCGCCCGATCCCTCCAGTCCGGCCCTGAGCCATCCTACACCACCGGCCACCACGAACGATACCACTGCAAAGACCCGTTGCTATTGGACTGGGGTGGAGTGCTACCGGAATTTGACGTTGCATATGAAACTTGGGGTCAGTTGAATGCGAACAGGAGCAATGCTATCCTGCTCCATACCGGTCTTTCGGCCTCGAGTCATGCCCATAGCACGGAAGCAAATCCAAAACCTGGTTGGTGGGAGAAGTTTATCGGGCCGGGAAAGCCATTAGATACGGACAAGTATTTCGTCATCTGTACGAATGTCATTGGAGGTTGCTATGGAAGCACTGGCCCTTCCTCATTTGACCCCTCAGATGGCAAGAGATACGCAACCCGATTTCCCATTTTGACGATCGACGACATGGTACGAGCGCAGTTTCGTCTGTTGGATTCCCTTGGGGTGCAGAAACTGTATGCGTCGGTAGGCTCCAGTATGGGCGGTATGCAAAGCCTTGCGGCAGGTGTTCTCTTCCCGGACAGGATCGGGAAGATCGTCAGTATCAGTGGATGCGCGCGGAGCCATCCGTACAGTGTTGCAATGCGACACACCCAGCGCCAAGTGTTGATGATGGATCCTAAATGGGCCCGAGGGTTCTACTATGACTCAATCCCGCCCCATTCAGGGATGAAGCTCGCCAGGGAAATCGCAACAGTGACCTACAGAAGTGGGCCGGAGTGGGAGAAGAGATTCGGTCGAAAGCGTGCTGACCCCAGCAAGCAGCCGGCTCTCTGTCCGGATTTTCTTATTGAGACTTATCTCGATCACGCGGGAGAGAAGTTCTGTCTGGAATATGATCCGAACAGCTTGTTATATGTATCCAAGGCCATGGACTTGTTTGATCTCGGCCTCACTCAGCAGATGGAAACCATGAACCGGAGGAAGGAGTATGAAACGAAGATTGCACAGGGAGGCAAAGTTCTTTACCACAGTGACATTGCATGCAGCCTTACCCTCCCGGAGAAGCCGTATGAAGAGCAGCCGTCCGTGACTGCTTCAAAACCATCCATGGATCAATCCGTATCAGAAGGCGAAGCTAGATCAGACGCTCCACCGCAGGATCTTGTCGCAGGGCTCTCCCCTTTGAAAACTCACTCTGTTCTCGTCATGGGCGTTGCTAGTGACATCCTCTTCCCTGCTTGGCAACAGCGCGAAATTGCCGAGACTCTACGAGCGGCGGGAAATAAAAATGTTCGCCATGTTGAACTTGGAGAGGATGTATCCCTGTTTGGACATGACACATTCCTGCTGGATTTGAAGAATATCGGGGGTGCTGTGCAAGAGTTTCTGCAATGATAGCCTGTTTTCTTTTCTTCATCTTATTTTCTTATGTGCATATGAAGCAAGCTAGCGGTACAGTGATGTATATATCCTTAGCACATTTTTTGACTCCGTATGTTTGGGACACATACTCTTCTCTTCACGCATGTAGTAAAATTCATGGATAATGACCGACTCCTCTTATTTCCTCAACACGCTACCTTCTTACGTATTATCGCTTAGCTGCCTTATCCTTATCAAAGCCAGGTGTTATGAGTCCCGCATGCCAGTACTACTTCCGATACTGCAAGAGTAGATCGATCTGAGTAATGTCTTCAATTGTACTAAGCAAGTATATCGTTTAATGGAACGAGAAAGTGAACATAAACATGATCATGAGCATAAAGCATAAGATGTGTAGCGACATATTCTAATTCTTCTCAACATACTTACCCGCCGTTCCATCAAACTGCACCTCCAGCACGGCCGTGGTCCCATTCTTCACGGTCTGAATAGCTTCAGGTAACAACTTGGCCAACTGCGCAACGGTAGCGGCGCGGCCGGCCCAGATCTCACCGCCACCCGCGGCCTTCGCGATCCCCGCATAGTCCGGAGAGGGTGCGAACGAGATGTTAAGCTCCTCGTTGGTGGCGCGCGAGCCATCCCCCTCGGGATGTACCAGGAGCATGCTCTTGCGCGGGGCGTTCCAGCCTTTATTATTCAGGACAATGGTGAGCACGGGGATATTGTAGCGTCGGGAGATCCAGTAGACTGAGCCCGGTACGGAGAAGAGGTAGGTGCCGTCGCCGACGACCTGGCAGACGAATTTGCCCCGATTGCGTCCGCCATGCTGGTGGTCGCTTGCGAGCTTGATCCCCAGCGCTCCACCGCCTGACCAACCGAGTCCGCCACCTCCACAGTTGATCCACGAGTTAGGCAGCGTGGCGTTGATCTGGTCCGCTACGATCCCCGTGAGGGTTACGGCTTCGATGGCCCAGATAGTGTCGGTCGGACAACCCTTGCGTAGCTGCGACATGAAGTACGATGCGTTCAAAGACGCCGTGTCGCCTCCAGAGGGCAGGACAGCCAGGTCGGCCACCGCTTGGCGGGCTTTCTGATATGCTTCCTCGCGAAGTTTGCCAAGCGAGTGGTTCGCGTCAGAGTTGATCTTCTGCTGCATGGCGGCGTTGGATGCGACGTATTCGTTGATTTGTTTGAATGCAGTGGCGGATTCGGCGCGGAACGTGGCCATGGAGGGGAGATAGAATATGGGCATCTGTTGCTTCAGGGGATCCACGTCTACATGGATCACCTTGGCCGAGTCCGAAGGTTTGCACTGCGTCGGAATCCAGGGCACGTCGCAATCCGCAACCAGGACGAAGTCTGCCGTTGTGATGGCATCATGCACGCCGTACCGCAGCCCTAGCGACGCCGGATGGTTTCCAGGGAAGCACATGTCGCTTCCACCGGTGTCCAGGACTCGCAGGGCCTTGAACGTGTCCGCTAGGGTGACAAGCTCCTGGACCCCGCGGGCATGTCGTCCAGAGTAGCCCACAATCACCAAGGGCTCTTTGGCGGCGGTGAGCTCCTCGGCTATCAGCTGAACCCCTTCAGTAGGCAAGGCGGACGGCGCCACGGGTCCCCAGATCTGCTGGTTGACCTTGTAAGGTACGAGCTCCTCCTCCATCACCTCTCGGGCGCCGGCCAGGTAGACCGGACCTTTTGGGTCACTGGTGGCAAATTGCAGGGCGCGATTGACCATCTGCTTGACGTTCTTGCCGGATCGGATCTCGGCAGAATAGCGGCAGTACTGGGAGATGATTTGTTTCTGGTCGGGGACATCTTGGATCCAGTGGATGTACTCGGTGCGGGACCCGCGCATCTCCCCTTCGATGGTGAAGGGGGAGAGACCGGCAAAGATCAAGACGGGCGCCCGGCCGCAGGAAGCATTGTGCACGGCAGCCCCCAGACCCTGGGTTCCGACGTCGACGTGGACGATTACACATTGAGGCTTGCCACTTAACCGGGCATAGCCATCGGCCATGGACAACGCCACCATCTGGGAGGGTGCGAGGTCAGTATGTGGGAGGAGTGCCAGACCGACGATACCCGAGCAGACGGCTATCTACCGAATATTGCTGCACGTATGCATGGATGTACACACCTCATTCGGACAGGTAATAATAGTGGGGAACTCATCGGGCTTCTCCTTCTGGCCCTTAACTATGGCCTCCAGGATGGAGGGGTGGTCAGAGCCTAGATTGACGAAGACGTGCGAGATACCGGCCTGTTAGCACGTTAGTTGGATCGATCCCCTAGGCGGGTACAATCCCGCACAAACCTCCCAGAGAGCCTCGAAAAAGGCAAATGATGCAGTGTAAACCCTGTTCATATTCGTCATTAGTTAACGAATCCGAGCGTGCCAGGAGAAGATGGGACCTACATGATGGCAAGTCACCCGAAAGTGCAGGATGGATGGGAGAGAAGAGACCAAGGGAAAATAGATGCATGCAGCGTAATAAACAAGGAGATCGGGGAACTGGCCGAGGGATGGATATCCGAATACTCAACACGATGATCCACTTCCCCGCGATTTTGAATTCCGGTAGAATTCCGCAATCCTCTACGTCATCGGGTCGGCAAATCAAACATAATCAATCCATTGTGAATCTAAATGTAGCTATTATCAACAAGAGGAAGAATTATACTTAAAAAAATGCCCTCGGATTAGCTCTCAGGTTCTCATTGGTTTCCAGGCCTATCAAATCGACATGCGATCCGCATGCTCTGGCCGGATACCATACAACTTTGGCTTTTGGTTTGCACTCGTCATCGGGCAGAGATAGGTGATAGACAGGGAGAGGAAGGGCCAGAACAGAGTTGGTGAATGGTGATTGGGAAGCAGGATAGCTTTGGTTAGCTTGTCAATAGAAGGGCACAGTCGAGATGTGTCCCCAGGAAGATTAGCTCATAGTTGATGTAGATCTACTTCTTATGTTGCGGATGCTGCATCGCTAGATTCCATTGGGATGCATAACTGAGATGTCATTGATGCCTTTAATGCCACTGAATTGTTCTGGATGAAAAGAAGCAAAACAGCACACAAAAGCGGAAGGCTCTGTGTGATTAGTCAGGGATTACTCATCCTCCCCGTGACTACAACCCCAAGTCTCAAGAAAGACTCCATCGTTCTCAGAATGGATTAAGTCGAGAGAGATCCCCGGATGTAATTCATGTCCATCGAGGTTGACTGGAGGACCGCCACCTCGGGTCCCGACGGTGACGCTCTGGCGGAGCGCATCCGCTCCTTTATCCATGACAAATTCCAGCAGGTCGCTCTGCCTCGTTTTATTCGATCCGTTCACGTCCACTCCTTCGATTTCGGAACCATTCCGCCCGACCTGGAAATTAAGGACTTCTGCGAGCCATTTGCCGATTTCTACGAGGAGGACGATGAAGGTGAGGAGGAGGATGAGCCAATCGAGCGCTCGGAGGAATACGCCCCTGGTCATGGTGACCAGTGGCATCATGGACATCGACGCCGTTCCGACCTGAACGAGCCCCCATATCAGGAGGAATTGGCAGGCCACCAGCCACTCCGCGATCCTTTCATGGATAATGCCTTTCCATCCTCGGTCTTACGATCTTCCATGCCCCTAGGTGATCACCTCAACTCGCATTTCCTTCCTCGAGCCGGCACCCCAGGCATCCCCGGTGGAACGTCGACGTTGGGCTATCACCTCATGTCTCTGGGCGGGCTTTCCGGGACACAGACCCCTCTTGCTGCAGTCGCCGGTGGCAGCCCCTTTACGAGCGGGTGGGCGGATTCAGGAATGCGACCGGGAAACAACTATTATCCCATGTCTCCCATACCAGTGCATCAAGACCATCCGGAAGCCGATATTGACAATAGTAACCCAACTTCCCGTCCTTCAACGTCAAGTACGCTTCCCTCGCATCTATCCGGCTCCAAGCGCAATAGTAGGGATGGAACAATGGGAGAAGGCCCTGGGTCACACGGAGAAGACCTTCGCCTCGGTGGGGATGCCACCTCAGGAGATCCGCTCCGACTGCCTCCTCGGATGCGGGAGCGACGACCGGAAGATTTCCAAGTCTTGTGTCACGCCAAGTACGCAGGCGACATTCGGCTGTCGTTGACCGCGGAGATTCTGCTGGATTATCCCATGCCCAGCTTTGTGGGGCTGCCTCTGAAGCTCAACGTTACGGGCCTCACCTTCGACGGGGTGGCGGTCGTCGCATACATCAGTAAGCGTGTTCACTTCTGCTTCTTGTCCGCCGAGGACGCGGATGCGCTCGTCGGATACGATCGGCAGGAGGCCGGAGGACAGGGGGGTCAATTCCGACCTGGGGCCGAACATCAAGGGGGCTTGCTACGTGAGATTCGGGTCGAGAGCGAGATCGGCCGTAAAGAAGATGGGAAACAAGCCCTCAAGAATGTGGGAAAGGTGGAGCGGTTTGTTCTGGCTCAAGTGCGACGAATCTTCGAGGAAGAACTCATCTATCCCAGTTTCTGGACGTTTCTTATTTAATGCGGAAGAATGAAACCTTTTAACGTATACTGGGTTGACCATTGTATCAGTACTGATGCCAACATCGTACATAGTAAGTACTATCTATGGGTCATTTACCCTTCAATAAGTTCCAGCAGCGCCCATAACATCCACGACCAATACCGTATACAATAAACGCGATACATTTAAACAAACACCACCCAACCTTCTATTTCGTTTCATATGTAATCACCCCATCCCACCTTGCAAGAAAGTTATATACAACCCTAGCCGATATACTGCACCGTCATGGCGGAATTCCCGTTGGTCTGCACCTTGGTCAGAACGGTACCATTCTGTTGCATTTCAATCAACGTCGCCCCGTCGACGCCATACGTCGAAGAGCCCGCCTTGGCCTTCATCCCGGTGAACGTCACATTGCCAAAATTCACCAGCGGTATCATCGAATCCCCGGACTGGAAGTCTTCCACGATCCATTCCGCATTCTGTCCCGCCAGCGTGGCCTCCGCGTTCGGCGCGGCTATATTCTGCTTCACTTGCTGACCCGTGGACTGGTTCTGGATGACGGCAACGCCATTACTGGGACTGTACGACTCAACCGTCACAGTTATGTTGTCGCCCGCATTCACCGTGAAGCTGAAGTCGTGCGCAAAATCCGGGAACCACTCATACCAGGCAGCGTAAGAAACCTGTCCGTTCTCCCAGTAAAAGTCCACCCCCGCTTGCAGGATCGCCGCTGTGTACGTGTCGCCGTCGATGCCGACCCAGGCTGACGCCGCCTGTGTACCTGCGTCACCTGCAGGACGGGGCTCTGGCACCGTGAAGCTAGCTGTCACAGACGTATAGTTTCCATCTGGTGGGGGTTGCTCGCGTACTGCGCCGGACCAGTTTGTGCTGTAGACGACTTCGGCATTCACGCGGTGTTCGGCATCTACATCCTTGGTCTCGTCTTTTCCCAGACCAGTCATAGGATGGGACTGGCGCTGCAGTGCCCGAGCTTTGATCCGCTCGCCGAGCCCACCGTTTGGGACAGCAAGCAGGCCCTGTACAAGGTAGGCGGCAGTGAGGAGGGTGGTTGTAAACTTCATTTTGAAAAAAGGCACCAACGGTGGCCGGTAAGTTTCGCAGGTCAGTAAGCTAGATAGAACGAGCAAATATCATGTATTCGGGCACGCAGTCTCTATGCAACAGACTCTGGGTAATTTATACATTGTGCTGTAGTTGGAGAAGTAGTTGCATGCGGCCGTGACTTCTCTTCAACATGCCGAAAAGGGATGCTCGGATTTGGGTCGGCTGTCATTTACGCGTGGCATCGATAGGGCTAGACTAAGACTGACTGGGGTCATGGGGCGCCTGCTAAGAGTAACAAGATTGACGATCTAATCGGAATTTAGAATTGGAGGTGTGGTGGCATTTTTTTGGCATCACTGAGATGATTAGTATTTCTAGATAGAGGTGATGGATGACCGATGGCGGTCCACTTCGATAAGCAAAGCCTTACATTCGGAATGCAAGACGGCTAAGACCAGAGCACAGCCTCATTTAGGGAAGCAGACTCGGTCACCTTTAGTCGTGATCATCACGGGGCCTTGGGTTTGTTGTTGGAATGTAGGCGTCATCCCCCAGTTTCACCTCCGTCACTGACGCCTCCTAAGGGTTTCGCATGTGTCATCTTGATCCCATACTAATAGGTATGATAAAGTTAAGCTCGTGCATTGTCAGCCCGAGATGATTTGCTTTGAAGCTATTCACACTTTCACAGGTCCCTTGTGGTTGGTGGAGATCGATCATCCGACATGACCAACTACGCTTTTCAAATTCATGATAAGATTGAGATGGCATGTTGACAAATTCAATTGATATCATTGAAAATGTTCAATAATAGAAACCCTTTGTTCCGTAAGAGCTGCGAAGACTGATGGGATAAGGAATAGCGTACATTCTTGACGTCCGCCTGCATACCAGTCTCATTCCCAAATACCCTGCTACGCATTTTAATAGGGCAACAGGCTTCGGGTATGGCTTCGGTTCTCTTGGCCTAATGATGAAAGCGTCAGGCCAAGAATAAAGTTCCCTGAAGACGGACAACTTGCGAGTCGTCCGACTTTTTAGATGTTGATAGCCTGCAAGCGTGAGGCTATCATTTTCTCAAAATCGCTCTCAACTACTGGTTTAATTGAGCAACCCAAACAGACCTAGTTTTGTCAATTATCAACCGAATAGTCAAGCGCAAGTCCTGTAGATCTTCCATTCAACAGTCAACATAGGGTAGATGATGACTACAGACCAGGTACAGTCATCGTCTAGTTCCTCAACAAAGCCAATCATTTGAGATGTAAATACCAGACAGTTCTGACTGCCACAGTTATGCAATATATCCAATGAGCTGCAGGTATATCTCGTAGTCGAAGTGCTGCCTGCTGATGAAGAGCCCTTTAGAGGACAAAACGGATAAGAGCACTTGATTCCGTGACGCGCGTCCAGGAAACAAACACTGCAAACATACATGCTCGATAGTAAAGCTCGATAAACAAGCAGGTCAAGTTAATTTCAATATATTCACAATTATTCCTGGGGTATCTTTTGTACATGTAAACCCTTCTGTATCTGCATCCCTGAGCACCTGTGGCCAATTCCTTCCAAATGGGATATGTAAATCAAGTCCAATCTTGCTCCTAATCCCATTCTAACCTGACATATAGTGCAGAAACATAGAAACCGAAAAGAAATAATAATGCAGCTTCCGTGCATGTCCAATACTCCCCGCTAAATCAACCACCTGTATGAAGCCCGTAAATCAAGAGAAATAAATAGAATCGATTAACCACCAAGCGCCAAACAACATTCAACCTGAATGATTAGCCATATGGAGCACTTATAATATATACCAACACTGTCCAAAACAATAGTATTTCATTGTGGAGGCCTCGAGCCCTCACTGGCGTCGGTACTACCATTGTGGTATTGCGACGGATGGGAAGCAGTAGGAGGATATGATTGGTCCACCGGATATCGGTTGGAGGGCTCCTGGTTAGACTCTTCCTGTTGTCTCACTGAAATCGATCGTTCCCCAAGCTCATTCGCCAGTTCATCCGTAAAACTCGCCCTCTCCGTTTCATGAAGAGCTTGACTTGCAGGTGGAGGCTCATTAGAGGGCCCGTCAAAACCAATAAGCGCTGCGGCCTCGGGGTCATAACGTAGCTCATAGTTTCCATTGCCGAAATCACCCTCCCCCTCGGATGTAGTCCATGGTGCGGCTGTTCGAGTCTGTGGCTGAATCACCCTTACAGGTAAATTGGGGCGAACGGTTGTGTTGTGTCGGCGAGGCGACGGTTCCAGAATGCTGGAATTGTTGAACCACTGCGGCGACCATGTCTGCTGGCCTCGATGCCGGGCAGGAATAACCGTCACTGGCAACGGGGTATCTGACCCTTGACGTCCAGAGCCGGGCCGTGTCCTTCGACTGAAAGGTAAAAGAGTGGTCGACACTTGTGAACCGCGCCGTGCACCGCTCTGCCCCTCATGCAAATTCTCCTCCTCTTCATTAGGAATTTGGTCCTCGGCTTGTGCTGATGCGACTTCCCTTGGTAGCGATGCGCGCCGACGCTTAAAGGGGTTCAGAACAGTCCTCCACCTGTGGTCGGCAACAATCTGGGGCGAGTGCTCCCTATTTTGCATTTCAGAGCCATCATGGGCTGTATTCGTTTGCTGTTCCTCCATGGATGTTGCCAATTCTTTGGCAGCGACTGCCTCATCACTAAGCTCCCCTTCCTCCTCCATGTGGGGCATGACAACTGGTGGAGTTGGGCTAGAAACGGGGTGGTAATGAACATTATACACCGTGCTAGCGGCACTCGTGGTGTCAGCCCGGCTGACAGGTGTGGCGGCTGCCGGCGGGGGTGTGGGCCGGGCTGCTCTCCGACGACGGGGATCAATAGAAGAGTTGCGGTTTTGGGCTTCAGGGCGAGATTGCCAAGTGCGGTTACCATTCGGAAGGCCAACCCTGGTTCGTAAAGGCCGATGGCCTAAGCCCATCATGCCTCCCCAACCAGAAGACACGCCGGTGCCTCCGCCTCGGTCATTTCCAGTGTTATTTTGACGAGGCCAATCAACCTCTTCGGACGGAGTCACTTCCAGCATTTCATCTCCATCAAAGATCTCTCTACCAAGAATCCCATCCTTTCGTTCATCTCGTTCCAGAGCTTCAATCCGCTCTACCCATTCCCAAACGACAACACTCGCCGCAGCGGATCCTACCCACCTTACATAGGTACCCCACCCAGCAATTTCTGGCTTCGCGATGTCCAACACAAAGAAAACCACAGGGATTAGTATTGCACACAGAGACAATAGAGCTACAAGACAAATGTTTCTCATCTTCGGGTGGAAGAATGCAAATTTATGTTTCGATAGCGAGTAAAAAATAACCCATGCGGCGTAAAGTAGATTGAGGGCAAGTTCAAAAAGATAGCTGAGAGCGGGAATCGCGTCGTCGTACAGTCGTGGTCGTGTTGTATTGGTCTGGACTAGGAACTTATCGAGGATGCTGAATATCGTGTCCAACACAATCAACGCGAACCCAGCCCATTTGATCATTATCTTCTCTTTGTGCCGCGGGAAGAGCCGAATCAACGTTTGCACCTGGGCAAGCCACAGGAATGTGCTGGAAATGACCCTTACAACGCGGATCTCCACGCCATCAATAACCTCCTCGGCTAGTGCTTCCGCATCAGAGTACCCGTGAATATACTGATCTTCAGCAACTCTGAATGAATCGGCCGTCGCGATAGTCAATGAGATTGCGACTAGTATTGCAGCGACCTTTTGCAGCCATGGCCTGCCTCCAACTCCCACGACCGATGAATTATCACTGTATGAGCCGCTGATCATACCATGGCGGCCAAGAAAGTTCGCGCCGCCACCAGGGCCACCAACATAGAAAGTGCGAGGTGTTATGAGAAGGATAATAACAAGCAGATAGCTAACAATAGTCGCGCATCCGATGGCGTACAGTTGTGGAGTCACCGAAGCATAAAAGGGATCACGGGTATCGAGCATAGGGGACGCATGACTGGTCACTGTCGGCGAACTCGTACAGGCCGGCTCAAATATTGCATTCTCGGTAAGGGTTAAAGCGTACGTGCGATTCAAATATACAGCACCTAAACATACGACATTGGCACGTAAAAGGTCAGTCAAAAATCATTTAATACAACGAAACATTTCAGCAACGGAGAAACCAGCCAGCATAGACCATTAACAGAGGGCATATGGGGTGTAAATTGCAAATAGCCTACCGTCGCTGGGGAGGAGGAACGGAGTACACCCAGGTCGATATGTCTTCGTGGAGGTACTTGATGGCTGCGCCCATATCTGGCGAGGAACCAGGCGGGTGTAGTCCTCCATGATCGGTCGGACAATCTGTGCGACTCGTATAGTAGACTATACAGCTCATATAGACGGCAGAAAGGATTTGAAGAGTTTGATTTGCCCCCTTAGGCCCCCATTCTTGCGTTGAGAGAGGTCAATTGCCGACACGAATGATTAAACTGCGGGTGACGGTCGGGGGATAGATTTCGCAAGGAAATCAAGGGACGTAAAGAAGGATGGCCGCGAGGCTAGGATATAAAAGTCTATAAACACGGGAGGACGACCGGATAAACAGTCAATCAAGCAAGCAATGATTCAGCTAGACGAGGTAGACAAGTGAGGGAGCGCGCTGTTCGACGAGAGGATCCGCCACTGAGTCCAGACTTCGGTCCGTGTCTCACCGCCTGCAGTTTTGGGTACAACTCAACAGATCTGCAATAGCATTTTTCTAGAGGACGTAGATAGTAATTGCTAAATTAACTAGTTTAAATAGATTATACTAGCTACTACCTCGCACGGAGTCCAGATTACTAGTTCTCATAGTACTTATATGCAGGGTGGGCCGAGTTCGGGACAACATGAATTGTGGTTCGCTACTGTTCCTGCTGGGCTTCTTGGTCGCTGATCTTGCCTTGATGAGACTTTGCAGACTTCTCTCTTTAAAGGGTTTTGTTTTAAACCAGATATTTGCTAGTAGTAGACTTAAATCGTTGGAAGGAACGATTGCAACAAGTCACACAACAAGACTTTTCTTTGTTCCGGGAAAGTGAAGGTAATCTATATAGTATATATATACACGACAGAAATATAATTTCCTCCTAATTGAACACCACCGTTTTGTGCCCGTTCAACACCACCCGGCGCTCGGTCACATACTTGACGGCCGTAGCCAGCACATTGCTCTCCACGTTGCTACCGGCATGGGTCAATTCCTTCGGACTCATGGCATGGTTGACGCGCACCACGTTCTGTTCAATTATGGGGCCTTCATCCAAGTCGCTAGTGACAAAGTGTGCGGTGGCACCAATGATCTTCACACCGCGGTCGTACGCCTGGTGGTATGGCTTGGCGCCCTTGAACGATGGCAGGAAGCTATGGTGGATGTTGATGATGCGGCCAGACATGGCTTCGCATAGCGTGGGAGACAGAACCTGCATGTACCGAGCCAAAACAACCAGATCGATTTTGTACTCGCGGATGAGCTCCAGGATCTGAGCTTCCTGTTTCTGCTTGGTATCCGGAGTGACCGGAAGGTGGACGAAGGGGATATTGTAGGTTGCCGCTAGAGTGGCAAAGTCTGGGTGATTGGACACAATCAAAGGGACTTCAATAGCGAGCTGACCGGTCGATTGACGGAAGAGGACGTCATTGAGACAGTGGCCGATCTTGGAGACCATGATGAGCACGCGAGCTTTCTGGGTGGCGGGCACGAGCTGGAAGTCCATGGAGAGCGACTTAGCGGTGGGCTCAAAAGCCGCGTAAAGCTCATCAACGGCCTTTTCGGAGGACTCGGCGGCGAAGTGTACACGCATAAAAAATCGCTTCGAGGATGGGTCGCCAAACTGCGATGAGTCAACAATGTTGAGGTTGTTCTCGACCAAGAAAGCGGTCACGGCGTGCACGATGCCCGGCCGGTCGGGGCAAGAGAGGGTAAGGATGAAGCTCGACATTCTGATGTTGAATCCAGAGACGGGTGTTGAAATGAGAAGCTGCTGGTATTAGGGGAGGGAGGTGAGTGAAACTTTTGGAGAATTTGTCTGGACTCCCCTCCACCAGCGTTGCTGAGTCAGGTGGGGCAGATTGATTAGATTAGGGTTTATAGGCTAGGGTTAGTGTTCTGCTGTGTTCCTTAGTAAAGCGAGTCCTTTCCATCCCGATCCCTGTCCTTTTGGATTTCTGTAGGGATAATCTAACCAAGAGTGGACTTCTACACAGGCCGGTCAATAATACATCAACTAAGTAGATAAATGTTCAAGAATTGGCCCCGTTAAGCATAAGCAATCGTTTCAAACCCGCACAAGGAATGTGATGGTTTGGTTGTCTCTGCGCTAGTAGAGATAAAACCACTTGACCATATAAAAAGGTACAAGACGACCGATCGAAGATCAGTCGCATCTAGCGCCCTATATAGTATGTTACAGGTTCAGCCTGTGACAAGGAATACGAGACAAAAAATGAGTTTGTACTGAATCCATCAAAACAGGCATTATAACAACAGCATTCCGATGACTCTGGTGGAATTCCGGTACTTTTCGCGCCACAATTCCAATAACCAGCAATGAACATACGAAAGGCGTGTCATAATTTTGGTGTTACTGTACGGAGGCTGACTTTTCGTCGGTAAGGTGAAGGAACGCAAAAGTGGGCGAGAGTAAGACCAAGGGGAAGATACTTCCAAACAAAGAATGCTCCCAGAATTATAAGAAAATGTCCTCAAGACTATGGGGTAGAAAACGGCGTGTTGGTGCTTTCAGGAGGAAATTGATCTGCAACATTTTCATAGACCTGATACTGTCTAGCCTGACCGTTGGGAAAGGATTTTCCCATGGGAAATCGGGATGGGATTCCCTTCCCGTAAAATCGGGACAATTTTTTTTGGAAAAGTTCGGGAAAGGGAGTATCTCCATCTCGAATTCCTTTTTGTACATAGCCTATCTTATAGGTTCTACGGGCTCAACCCTTGACACTACTATAAATTAGCTAAATTTACAAAATATAATTATCCTATTAACAGTATTTTTTAAGATAATTCATGTATCATAGAATTATATCTAATGTATTTTAGAGACTTGAGTCTGTTCAACCATTATTTTTATACTCCTGTAAGAATCCTCTACCACGAACGGTTTGGAAAAGAGCATAGGGTAGAAAGTGCCTGACTCCTTTCAAGATCATATTTTTGGCCCTCATCACATAGCCTCATCATCTTTCACTTTTTTGAATTCCCTTCCAGTAAAGAATATTCCTTGCTACAGCCAACATAATTATGGTTGCTCTTTCTCTTCCACCAGAAATTATCGCCCAGATTCTTTCCTATATTGCACCTGAGTCACTCGTGCCTTACGCCTAGATCAACACACTATGGCAAGAGATTGTCGAACGACAGACCTTCTCTAACCTCAACCTCACCACCCCCCGACTCTCCGATCTCCAACCCATCATCACCGCACAGAGATGCTCTCTTATTCGCAAAATAAATTTAAAGGTAACGCTAGCAGAATATAGTGTCGCCGAGCGAGTCCAAGTTGAGACTGTCGAAGACCGCAGCCGTAACAATCAAGCATTCACCGAGTCAATCTGCATCATCTTTGACATCTTGAGCTCATGGTACACAAATGGCGAATATGAACATAGTGTCCAACTAACTATTAGCAATGTCTCGCCTAGCGACTTTACTAAGGATTCAAATCGCAGCTATAGACACTTGGTATAAATCGGCCAGGCTCGGATATACTTCACTGGCGGTACATGTCGTCTTACGTGGAGGTACTAAACCAGCGGAGGAGCTTCCTATCGTCCGAGTGATTTCTAATCTCTTTATTAATAATGGAAAAGAGATAAATCTTGCGCCGGCTACAGTGTCAAAGCTAATATCTCGACTACCTAGACTCGATAACGGCGTGGCTGTCTGATAATGAGAGGAAAGATGACAGACATCGGGATAGGCTAAGAAACTGTATCTCCAAAAACTCGCTTCTTCTAATTTCACACTCCGCTTATTCCTTCTTGGTTGTAACTTCAACACTGAATTCGCCATTAGTCTGGTCCAGTGGCCTTTGTCTCTAGAGCAGCTTATTCTTGACTATCCCGGCGAAGCCCTAGAAATATGCAGACTTTCCTCCATCCAAGCACTCCAAACCAGGAGCGGATGCTTTCTGCATAGCACTCCGACAACTGAGCCAGAGGCTCAAAATTATATCTCTGCAAGGCGTTGTGATCTGTCCAGAGCTACTCTGGCCGCAGAACGAAAATGACCAGCCATACTAGCCGAATCTCACCTCCTTCAACCTGACCTATCCAGCTGCCACCCCGTCAGGGATCTGGCTATTCGAGCAGGACCCGCGGTTCCCAAGGTACGATTTCGACCGTAATTCAGAGAACTTGTACATGAAACCACCCATGGATGACGCACCACAAGAAGAATTCCCCGACGAATATCTCACTGCGCCATCACCGATTCTGAATGAGCTTTACACAGCTGCTGTGCATGCCACGCGACGCATGCCAAAATTGGAGGCAATGACTCTTGTCGGGCAGGTCCAGCCAAGGATCAATGGTTTGATAAGGCATCGCATTCTCGTGTGCCAGACGAAGCATGAATTTTACTACGAACGAGAACAGGCCGGGTGAGCTGGGTGGGTTCGTCTGAGTTCCCACTTTCATCTGATACCCTGGGGGCTTGGGAGATAACTGCAAACACGCATGGTCAGTCTAGTTTAATCATTGAAGCAATACAATTCTCTCTTATATTGTTATTGCAGACTAATGGGTTTATAGAATATAGTGGAGATCTAGTTTCTGGTTATATGTACCTGTCTTTAATGCGATATGGGTTCTGCGACAGCTAACTGGTGTTCTTTTCACATTGGGTCAACTCATGAAGTCAAATCAGAGTGTTATTTCTACAGAATCAAATTGCTGGTCACGGCAGTCTTGGGATGTGCTGTCAGGAGTTAATAGGATATTATACATAACATATAGGAAAGAAGCAACAAATTATTTGGCGTATCTAAGATAAATTATTTAGCGCCTGTAAAACTTATATGTGCCTTAAGAACTGCATTATTTAATAAAGTAGTAATTAACAACTATAATGCTGTGCTGTGGCTACAGTAGGTCAAGTAAAGTCGCGGCCGGCTGAACGAATTTTGCCACCATAAAACCCCCCAAATAGCCAAAAGCATCCAAGCCCAGCAATGTTGAATTGCAGGGAAAATATTGAATTTTAGCAGGATCCTATCTGTACTTAGTTGGTGTATTGTAGATATATAGTTATTAAATGCACGAGGTATCCTCTTCTTTCATCGACTTATAGAGATGGTATGCAATACAAACCATTTTATACTACCCCACCACAACACAATATAACTAGCGCTTTGTTGTACCGTCATCGTTGAGATTGGGTGAATAATCGCTTGCACGGGCATAATACGTATCCCCAAGCTCTCGGAATCTCTTAGCCCGGACTTGGTCGTCGTCTGTTAAGTCGGCTAGTTGACCAAGCAGATCCCCAACTCGCGACCTTCAATAACTAGAAGACCATCTTCTTCTGGGTATGCTAGTTCGTCGCCTCATGCCTCGCCTTTGCACCTTGGAACAGTCTGGCCGTCGTCACTTAGAACTGTATTCTCATTGGATTCCATCACAGCGTTCTTATGGCAAGGATGGGGTAGCTTGGAAGATGAATCCAACTAGCACTGTCGGCCTTTAACACAGACACCTGCTTGGTCGTCACCAGCACCGGCACTTTAGGCCTGATAGCAAAAGCCCTGAGGAACTGATATACCTGGACTGCTGGGGCACTTATTAATATATCGCCGCTGGCTGCTGCCCCAAAGTATACTGCACTTTTAGGCACAGTACTTGTTTTGCAACAAAGGTTCTGTGGCCACTGGTAACAGTTTATTAATGCCCGGCTAGAGGGTAAGCAACTATTCCCCTTCTGCAGGTGTATAAGACTGCAAGGCAGCCCTGCCAAGCAAGGAGGGCAGCACAAGTAATTTCAATAGTATCATTAGAGAGGGTATAATAGTTATCAGAACTTTAAACAAAGGACAATACGTAAGAAATGATGTGTACCTTATCTCTCTCGGCTTTATATAGTTAGGGAATGTACATCTCAGCAGGTGCAAAGCTATGTGGCATGATAAAGGAAGTTACTAAGATCTAGGGTCAGGGGATAGCAGGTTAGGAGAAAATAGCTGGGTTATTAATAATAATATTGGATTAATATGTTTGGACCAAATCGCCGGGTGTCCAGCTATGGAACAGACAAAGAACAAGGCATTTTAGGTAATATTATCAGTAACTATTAATCGTGCCATATTACCCAGGTAGACCTTCCTGTACTTTGCCCGTATATTCATCTTTTCACTGGTTCCTGGCCCACCAGCCGCTAAAGGGCCGTTGGAACAGTATGGATAGACCTCTTAGCTATACACTATGTATAGGAGCAATGATAATAACATAACGAATAGACTTGATTTTCGTATCAAGAATGGGCGAGTAAGTTACGTTATCACCACACATGTATAGTAAACCTGAACAGGAAGGTCTCTTAAGCCAGATTGTAATGTTGCGCTCAGGAGTCGGCTGATGGGAACAAATCCTTGGTTTATTGACGTAGCCGTGCAACAACCATGACGTCTAAGCCTCTCTTTCGGCCTAGATATCACACTGTGAAAACAGATATTACGCCACTAGCCTTTTTTCATATCAGCTATACATACAATGGCAATCGGATAATGAATCAGAAAGGATCGAGACTAGCAGGTTACAGATTACCAAAAGGGACTGTTTTATGGTGTTAATGTTTTATGTGAATACTGTTACGAAATACTGTTACTTTAGTTTCCAGGTTTTAGTTTTTTAAGCCTTACTACTCACTGAATTATGGAGGATAAATAAATGGATATTGTCTATTTAGAAACAAGGTAACAGACTTTGGTAACAGTAAAGGGAGAATCCCAGAAGTTTCCCATCCCTCGCCAAGAATTTCGGGAAGGGATTCCCGCCATTCCCATTATCAGTGGCGGTTCCGACCACCCACCGCCTTCCGCCGGTGGGTGGTCGGCAGCGTAAAGGAATTTTCACCGTAAAGGAAGATAATCAATTTCCTACATTTTTGAAGCTATACAGACCAAAAAAGATGCCTAAATCGTCCGAAATTTTAGATATACGCGTAAATGAAGCCGTTGAAGCTGTCCGTCTCGAAAAAAAACCCAATATTGCAAAGATCGCGCGAGAATTCGGGGTTCCTTATCGCACACTCCACGGCCGCATCCATGATCGAAGAAAGCCTCGTACGGCTCGAAATGCACCAAATAAAGCGCTGAATCAGTATCAAGAGGCTGCTTTAAGGCAGTGGATTGCTAAAATGCGTGATATCCACCTCCCGTAACTATCTCATTGCTTTTAGAATGGGCGAACCTTACCGTACAGCGCGTTGATCCTACGCAGAGGTAGCCGATCGTGGGCGTATCCTTCGCTAAAAGGCTTCCTCCTGACCTTAAATTGGGTCCTGTGATTCAAAGGACGAAGGAGAAGAAGCGCTTGGATGCAGAGGATGTCGGACAGCTTTAGTTCTGGTATAATTAGCTTGCCAACTTGCTTAAAGATGTCCCCGCTCGCCTCGTGTATAATTTTAATAAATGCGGCTTTCAACCAGGCAGTGGAAAGCCTCAAAAAGTGCTCGGTACAAAGGGGAGAGTTTCTGATCTTCCTGAAGCCGAGCATGCAGAGAATATTACTGCGCTTGAGTGTATTGCTGCAGATGGCTGGATTATAACTCCGCTTTTTATCTTTAAAGGAAAGAAATTTATAGAGGCCTGGTATAATAAAGCAATTCCCAATTACTATACTGCAGTCACCAATAAAGGCTATATAAACAATGAAATCACACTTGAATGGCTTTAAAAATTTCACGAGGAGACCTAAGATCGTACAAAAAGGAGAAAAACGCGTACTTATCTTCGACGGCCATACAGCTCATAAAACGGTTGAATTTCTTCAACTCTGCGAGACCTATAAGATCCTCCCCTTTTACTTCCGGCCTCATACAACTCATCTCTGCCAACCACTTATGGAAAGCCCTTTCTCACATATAAAACGCATTTCGCAGTGCGAATAACCTCATCGCGCAGTGGTGTGGAGTTCCGGGAGATAAAGCAGATTTTCTACGCGATATTGTTGCCGTACGTGAGAAGACCTTTAATCCACGCCTTATTCGCAACTCCTTTAAAGAACGCGGTATCTTCCCTACAGATGGATCTTTAATTATTGAAGCTATTCAAAATGCTTTACCACCGCTACCAGAAATCTCTGCACCCGATCTTCGCGTGTATAGCGAGAATACGCCTCCTCCGAACCCATTATCTTCAAGCGTTGAAAATACGCCTCCAAAAAGCGCTCAGCAAGTTGAAAAGAATCAGAAGAAGCTATTTACACTCTTAAATAACGATACACCGATTAATCCTCGCGTTGAGCGCTATCTCGGGCGCTTATTTCATCAGCAAAAACTTCAATCCGAACAGCTTGCCGTTATGAATTCAACTCTTGAGCGAATTGAGGCCGCGCAAGCACCTCGAAAGCGCAAAAAGACTAAGCGAGAGGTTCAACGCCTCGGGGATAGTGGCATACTACGCGTAAAGGATGCGAATCGGTCTATCGCGGACAGGAAGGCCAAAGATGATGAAAAGAATAGGAAAGCGGCGAATAAGGCGTATTTGAAGGCGTACAGTCACCCCCCACCAGCGCCCTATATAGAAAATAAAACTACAGATTTAAATACAGTATTGGCAGAGGAATCGGGCGATCAACTTTATTTTATTGATTCTACAGGCGTTTAGTGATAATAATGCGAATTGCTTCATTTTCTTCCTTTACGGTGAAAATTCCTTTACGCTGCCGACCACCCACCGGCGGAAGGCGGTGGGTGGTCGGAACCGCCACTGATAATATAAAGGGCTGGAGTCGTTTGACCTCTCGGGCCAATGTCCCTATTATCCCTGTTGTCCCTGTTGTCCCTATTGGCCCTTTTGGCCCTCGATCCATGTCATTTTCCTCTTCCTTTATTCCCTTCTTCAACGATTCCTTTTTGTATATAGCCTATCTTATAGGCTCTACGGGTTCAGCCCCTGACATATTCCTATTCTTTAAAGGGATTCCTATCCCATGGCACTCCATTATACAAACAGGACGAGAATTTTTAAGTATATGGGTGTCAGGAGCTGAACCCGTAGAACCTAAGTTAGGTTATACACAAAAAGGAATCGTTGAAGAGAATAAAGAGGAAAATGACATGGATCGAGGGCCAAAAGGGCCAGTAGGGACAGTAGGGACAGTAGGGACAGTGGGGACAATAGGGACAACAGGGACAACGGGGACAATTGGCCCGAGAGGTCAAACGGGCTCCAGCCCTTTACACAATATGGGAATTTCCCTCCTAAATTTTAAATATCCCGAAATAATCCCATCCCGATATTGGCACGGGTGGGATATTCCTCAAAATTTCTAAAAAATCGTCACGATTTTAAGGGAAGGGAATCCCATACCGATTTCCCGTCTTCCCAACGGTCAGCCCACTTTCAAATGTTGTCCGGATTTACCAAAATGGAATAGTACACAGAGTTTCATGCCTGAGGCAGTCCTCCTGGTTGTTCTAGTGCTTTCGCCTTTCGCTATAACATCCACAACTTCGGTTCTGTATCATCCTTCCAATAGCTCTAGCAATGAAGGAAGAATAGGGAGTTTTGTATCGCGATAGATAACCCCCTCGGACTACGATAAATGGTCGGATGATGATGACTTCATCTGCCGTACATCCCGGCTATGCGGTCGGCAGTTTGTCGGCGTTTTCCTGATCCGGAGAGACCGCCTCAAAGTCACTCCTATGCTGTCCATCATCCCCTCCTTTTTCGCCAACTTCATCTTCAACTATTCCTGGCCGACGAATATATATATTCACCATGGCGAAACCGGGCCTTTTGTATGTGACAATGCAGCCCCGCGATTCACTTCCCGCGGCTCAGTTCCACGACTGGTATAATAATGAACACGGGCCATTGCGCTTGCGCCTGCCCTTTGTCACCAATGGCTTTCGCTATCGCGCCACTGATGGACTGGAACCCGAGTGGGTGGCTCTGTATGATGTTACGGACATGAACGAGTTGACCCGGGAGTCTTATCAGGCTCTTCGCGGCGATCGCATTAAAACTCCACGTGAAAAGGCTACTATGGCCCAGATTGCCGTCGATCGCTGTGTATACGATCTCCTCGACGATCAGAATACAGCCAACTACAAACCTCTCGAAGAGCAACTAGATCATGATGCTGACGGCTCCGTTCTGGTCGCTGTCTTTCTCAGTTTGCCCGCCGACTCTGCCAAGGAGGACGATCTCAACCGCTGGTATCGCGAAGAACATATCCCTATGCTGAGTCGAGTACCAGGATGGCGTCGTAGCCGCCGTTTTGTTACGGCTACCATTGATCCAAATGCCCCTCGAGAATTCCTTGCCCTTCATGAATACAGTCCATCAAACGGACTTGGAGGCCCGGAGCACAAAGCTACCATGGCCACCCCCTGGCATGATCGCCTTATGAGCGAGGTGGTGATACAGAAGAGACGCCGTGTCTACCAATGGGCGTACACATTTGGCCCCGCGCCACGCGAACTATCGTCTCTCACCTCTCCGGAAGTTGCTGGGCCCTGGGCCTCCAACGATGGCCGTACGCGCACGTTCCCCTCACCCTCGCGACCTGTCGTGGAATCCTTTGTCACCACCCCTGATGGCGTGGACCTCCCGTACCGCTTAGAAGGAAGTGCCGACCCGCACAGCCCGGTGATCGTACTCAGTAATTCGATTCTGGTCGACCATACCATCTGGGACGGTTTCGTCGATACCTTCTTTTCAATCCTATGAACCAGTCCTTCCGCATTCTGCGATACCTCACCCGTGGCCGTCTTCGCGAGTGCGGCGAGACCCCTATTGATATTGACTTGCTGGCGTCGGATATTGTCGCGCTGTTGGACGCCCTGCGCATTCCCACAGCCACTCTGATTGGTGTTAGCCTTGGGGGTGTGACCGTACTGAACGCAGCATTGCGGTATCCCAAGCGTGTCCGCCGGTTCATCGCTTGCGACACCAACAGCGCCTCTCCCGAGTCTAATCGCAAGGCGTGGAACGACCGTGCGGCCCTGGCCGAGAGCGAGCGGGCCGTGTCCCCCACCACCCAGGAGCCCATCATCGGTGAGCAGCTGGCCGAAGCCACGACAAGAAGATGGGTTGTGGATGAGTCGTATTCTACGCAGCCCGAAGTCGCTGCGCGGATTAAGGAGATTGTGTGCAATAATAGTTTGGACGGATTCCGCAAGGCCATGCAGGCACTTTGTGCCTATGACGTGCGCAGCCTCATGGCGGAGGCGCAGGTGCCAGGACTGTTCGTGGTGGGCGAGGGTGATGGGGTGCTTCCCCAGACAATGCAACAGATGGTTAAGGATCTCAAAGGAGACCCTGAATTGAAGGTGATCCCCAAGGCTGGCCATTTACCGATGGTGGAACAACCCGCAGTCTTTACAGAGGTGGTAAATGACTTTCTGCATTCATAGATTTCAGATGAAATTCTTTCATTCTGTTTTTTCTTATCTCAACATCTTTCCTACTTCGTCTTTCGAGATCTCCGTAGATATGAATTTGAAGTACATACAAGAACTTGAAAGCTGCAGTGGTAATAGAGCATGTCCATGATGTATAGTCTTCGTTAAAGTTCTATGTTTTGTTCATGGCTCGTGCTCTCTACATCTTGCAAGGGGATGTGGGTTAGGCGTGTATACTGCTTGGTTATTCCCTTATGAAATTGGCACACCCTGTGTCCACATGCACAGTCTAGGGCATTAGGATGAATTCCACCCTCCCTCCGGGACGACGTTCTTATATTATGAACACCAGCACTCGTCCCTCCCCTCTATAACTCAGGACTTGCCAACAACAGCCTCTATTCCTGATAATCCCGCGAGTGCTGTCTCCCAGGCCACACTAGAGAGTTATCGAGACATACTTCCAGGGATTTCCTCACTGGAAGATCTAATAATCACGACTCACGTAGGATACATTAAATTTTCACTTAGATAGCTTTTCAACCTCCCCCATTTTGCTTCCCACATTGAACATACCAGGCGGGGAGGACTTGACCGATTTCACTTGGGCTACCGCTCTTCTGGCCCTGAATCATGCCTCATCATTCATGGACGCTGCCACAGCTCCGCGAAAGCGCTCCGGACAGCCAGCCCTCGATGGACACTGGACTCAACTCAGGGCAGTTCTGCAGTATCGTCAGTGCCATTGACCTTCTAAAAGGTCTTCTCTCCCTTGTGTTTTTGTCCTGCAGTGCTTTCATTGATGGCCATCACGGGCTCAGCCAACTCCTGATCATCCAATACATAATGGCCGAGAACGAGCAGACAGTTCAGGCAATTAGTGATATATTACAATATAAACACTCCTAGGACAGATATCTTCTCGCCATATTATCGATTACTATTTTAAAAGTCTTGACCTAGTACACCGCGGTGGTGCGGCAGACATCCAGTTTGGATAGTGATAGAGCATGTTGGGATCCCCTAGTTGGATCATCTAATACAGCAATAGGCCGAGCTGTTGGTGGAGAACTATTATGCGGATAGCGAGGATTAAAGTTGCAATGATCGCCAGATTCTCGGTCAACTCCATCGCGTGCAATGGGTAGTGAACACCCTGTCCCAACGCTTCCAAATCAAAGGCTTACACGCGAACCCCCCCGAATTCCTCCAGTTCGGATGTCGTCCTGTATATCGAGAGCTTGTTTCCGATCCCTGGCTTCATGTTGGAGCAGATTGTAAACATGCTTCGGCTATTAGAGATGGGATGCTAATAATATCGCCTGACATTATCCGACATTTATCGGCATTCACCGAATACGGCTATAAATATCCCTCATTTGTGTGACTGCGAGGCTGGGAGTAGACAGCTTCGGCATCCAATTCGGGCAAGGTGCATCAACTGCTTAAATTCTAGGTGTTGGAGAGGCTCCATGTCGCTCAACTTAAGATGAAATAATGAGTTTGATCAATAGCACATCAGTATAGAGTGATGTGAGCTTGAAGAGGCGTTGTCACATTCCAAGCTCTCATCGGCTCCGACTATATAGTCGAACGATGTCTGCGTTGCCCCTGGTGTTATATCATGAAAGGAGATAGCATAAGACCAGAATACCAGTACGTTCTGAGAAAATTGTATAATTTTATATGCATAGGCAAGGTTTGGAGGAAAAGTATGTAGTCCGTCTCAATACATAGGATGACTTCCCTCAAAGTTTCCAAAGAGTACCTCAAACTAACTCTCATCTAGATCCACATCAAAATCCATATTCTCCAGCGTTGTAAAATCCATACCCGTCCAATTATACTGTGAAAACTGTTCAGAGCATTGCGCTGCATGAAAGCGGTGCCGTTGTTGCTGCTGCCATGCTGCTGAAGATTCGAAGACGCCACAGGAGCCCCAACATCTCCCTGGTGAATCCTGGGTATTGCCTTGGGGCCAGAATATTCCTTCCGGGCGTAATACAATCCTTTCAACGACTGCCTCATCTGCTGTAATACCCGTTTCGTCAACGTACTTTCCTCTTCACACTCCAACAACCTAAATCCCTCTAGAATATTAGCTTCCTTTCCTCCGCATGTGGTTCTTCACAGTTGAGGTAATAATCTATTACTAGAACCAAAATCGAACTAAATAATGGATGCATGATAGTCCACATTTTGACGTGATGGAATTCCTCATTTGGTACTGTATTTCTTCGCATAATTAATTCAATAGCACTTCGAGCTATCCGCAGACATACATCCGGCTACATGAGTATTTAGGATCGCGTGCTCCGCGTGCAAGGTAAGGGTGATAGAGATTATTAAAGGAATTCGCGATGAGGCAGTAGAGGCGGGGGTCTGGAGATTTGCTTTGTGCTCGGCTCTTGGACACATTTGAAAACAGGCAGGCGCATCATTTATAAGTCCGTAGAGCCTTTTGTCGAATGTTAGGACGAGGTCGTAGGGGAGCTCTTCTCTGATGTAACTGGAATCTGTGGCGGCGTCGTCGACACCGCGGAATATTACGGAAATACTTGTGCGGAGAATGTAGCAGGTCATATCGGTGGGAACGGTTTCTAGTGGTTGAGCGTAGTTTCCCGAGGAGTTGATGTGCGTATCATCCACGTTGGTGGGCAGATCGACCGCCATGTGTTTTGGGTGTATCATATGATATGCATTCCGCGCTGAGGGCTGCTCATAAGGAAACAATCCTGCTCTCAAGTTGGAAGGATCCTAGATTATGAATAGAACTAACATACTAGTCCGTTGACGCAAGATGTCCCCAAATTCTGCGTTTCGATTCTATGTCAACCCAGTCAACGTTCGCATTTTCCGTTAGCTTTTGTTTGCAGGCGAATCAACTAGGTGAAGGGAGAGCTAAGGAGTAGTCGAACAGTGGTTCTGCTTGCTTCAGGGAGGGTAAAAATGGAAAAGGCTGTTGGTCTATTACTGATCGGATGGCAAGCCCTATGATTGACATGAATGTAGATGCAAATATTTGTACGATCCTTTCTTCGGAATAAGGCGCATTCAGTAATCGCTCGCTGCGGAATTACGTTAACGTAGTCGGACACCGAATGGCCCAAGACACCGAATTGTCCGCTTTCTCACCCTTAAAAACTTTATCTCAATTTTTCTAGTCATTGGTCGATATTATTAAAAATTTCAAAATGAGTGCCATTTCTAAAGATAAAAGGATGCAAATGGCTATCAACGCATGGAATAATGGCCAATTTCAATCAAAAGTGCCTGTGCTAAGGCATTTGATATGCCTAGAAGGACTCTGTGCCATCAACTTAATGGAATAACTTCCCGCAACGAAAAACTTGCTATTAGTCGAAAATTATCCAATCTTGAAGAAGAAACATTAAAAAGCTGGATTATTGATATGTATAGGCGTGGTTTACCACTGCGGATCTCCCAAGTTCGATATCTTGCAGGACTTTTAATATCTGCACGTCAAAAAAGCTTCGTTGTCACCCCAGGCCTCTATCTCAAACCTAGTTAGTGATAAATGGGTTAGTCGATTTATTTCACGCCATGATATTAAATCAAGATATACTCGTCGATACGACTACCAGCGAGCGATGTGTGAAGATCCGCAAGTTATTCAGGGCTGATTTCAATTGGTCCAAAACACTATTCAAAAATATGGTATTTTAGAACAAAATATCTACAGTATGGATGAAACTGGCTTCCAAATGGGTGTGACATTAACAGCTAAAGTTGTCTGCGGTACGGAAACATGCAAATCTGATGCTAGATCAATCCAACCAGGTAATAGAGAATGGGTTACATCAATTGTGACTGTTGGAGGAAGTGGCTGGATTTCACCCCCTCCAGATTATTTTTGCTGGAAAAAAACATCAATCTCAGTGGTATTCTGTTCTACCTAAAGATTATCGATTAAGTCTTAGCGAGAATGGCTGGACTAATAATAATCTGGGACTAGAATGGCTACAAAAAAGTCTTCGACAGCATATAAGATCCCGCACTGTTGGTCAATACCGACTGCTTATTTTGGATGGCCATGGGAGCCATGCAACTGCTGAATTTGATTAATACTGCATGGAATATTTAATTATTCCACTTTATATGCCTCCTTACTCATCTCACCTTCTTCCGCCGCTTGATGTTAGCTGTTTTGCAACTTTAAAGCGCTTTTATGGTCAAAAAGTGCAAGAAATGATGAATAGTGGTATAAAAACTATTGATAAGGTAGATTTTCTATCTATCTATTTATCGGTTCACTCAAAAGCAATGTCATCAACAAATATATTAAGTAGATTCAAAGTTGAATATCAAGTTGAAAATACCAACTCCACCATCTTCTTCAGGCAGTAACCAGTCATTTTACTTGGGAAAAACACCTTATAATCTCTATCAGTTAAACAGACAAAAAGAGCAACTTCTTAAGATTCAAAATCAAAACTTTTTTCCATCGATTGCAGATACTTTGCTTGAAAAAGCTATGAAAGGCAATGAGATATCTATGCAGCAAATAGCTTTATTAAGAGATGAACTTCATCGACGTCAGGCAGCTGAGGAGTACCAGAAAGACAAAAAAAAGTGCCTAGATAGTTTATTCAAGATGCAGGCAGTGTAACTTCTGATAAGGCACTACAAATAATACAGGAAAGGGTGGAGGCAATTCAGGCAGAGGCTCAGGCACCAAGGCTACGGAGGCCCCCTACATGTAGTACATAATTGCAATATTCAGGGCCATAATCGATTGAAGCGCCCTATTAGATAATTCTACACTCATTTTGAATAACGTATTTCATTTGTATGGAGATAAATAACTTCAAAACTATTCAAATTAGGAAGGGATGGAGGGTGGCGAGAGGCGCGACATTCGGTGTCTTGCGACGTTCGGTGTCCGATTACGTTAACTTAGTTAACCAACAGAGGGATTTTCTACAGAGGCGTGGGAGTATATTCAGCATCGAAATAAGGTTCAAGAAGCTCAAGATACCATACCAGTAGAAGCAGTGCCATCTACAGTCGGGCGACGCGTACAGGCGCCACCATGTTGCAATGATTGCAATGCTCTGGGACATAGAAGGACTCATTGTCCTAATCGAAGTAGTAATTAGCTTTTATTAGAAATACAGATTTTGGAGTGTTTTAAATAGCTCCCTTATCACAGATGGGAAGACGTGTCCGGCTCGCTTACTGGTTATGTTATTTGATAAGGTTCGAAAGCTGGAAGGACGTGAATGATGTTTTCAGTAGCCCAGGCAGAAGAATTAAAAGAGTAGCTCTGGAATTTTGGGTAAATCAATATCTAAAAAATACGGATTAGACCCTCAAGATCATTCTATAAGGCCATCTTCTTAAAACCGGAATTCGGCTAGATCATGCAGCCATCGAGGTTCCAATGTCCACGGCGGGGAGGCCATCCAACGCGCAAAAGTTAAGAAGTCAACTTGCCTTGCTAGCTGCAGAGGAGAGGTCCTTATTTAATAGAATTTTCGGCTCCATCGTCTTGGAGTTCTTGCTCAACCATCACGAGTCTGACGAATCGCCGAACGCATACGCCAAAGAAGAACGGGCATTAATTCGCTGCCGCTGGGTAAGAATTTTGACGAAATTTACTAATCAACACACAAAAATCAAACGTGTAATGGGTGCAAGGCTAGATACTCTAAGGAGCACTGGAACACTGTTACTCGAGAGTCCATGGAAGGATGGTTTAACTTGCTCAAGTCGGTGAAGAGGAATACCGTAGAATTGGACGCCAACTGCTGTTCCGCGCCCTGTCTCTCTCATTTCTGAAGACAGATCGACAATAAAGGGCAGAATGGCCGTAATTAGGTTAGAATGCATTTTAGTATTGTGGAAAATTCAATCTAGATACTGTATTCAGAACCCTCAGGGGCATAGACTATGAAGCCAATAACCGGAAATTTCAAGAGGACATCCCGCGCATTGAACAATGGGCTATACAGATAGGACCAAGCTTCGCAACCAAGAAGATCGACCTTACTCATCTCACTAGGAAGAAAGGGGAACAACGTAAAGAGCAATTAGTTGGTTTCACTATTAGTGTTCTTCTCGGTGTCATGGTGGGTATTAAAAAGATCTAAATTTTTAACGCGATCATTCATACTTTTCCTAGGAACTGTAAAATGAACCATGCACTTCTCACCAGAGCGCTTGGGGGTTTTAGTACGGGTTGCTCGTCAAATCCTGGTCGGGTGGTATAGGATGTTTAGGCTAAGGATGTTTCATTGTGGATGGGATGTATCAGAAAGTGTCAACCTTTAGATAGGTACCGCTATTCATATTCAACACTAGTCAACGGTCGCTCGGTCATATACGCCTTGATGTCACCATATTGCGTCATTTCAATTGACCCTTATTTGTTATGTATTTAGTCTTGAATATCACTTAGCTAGAAGAATCAGACCTTCATAGATTCTTGGAGTTGGTACAGGTCAACAGAAGGTTTCAATCTTTCCTCACATTATAGAAACTGCACACTTATACCTTCGGAGAGTACATCTACTATCAATGTATTTGCTGTCAGACTTATCCACTCTGAAACACGACTTCTGGTCAAACAGAGTGATAAAAGCTCAGGCATCGTTGAAAAAGATATATTAATATAAATTACCTCTATTCTGAAGATTACACATGTTAGGAAACACTATAATCTGCCCGACTTGGCGGTGTGGAGTAACTGTCGATCGATTCAGCCCCTGAGGCCTTCAGTTAGTCGAACACCTCAATGAGAATATAGAGAACCACTTAGCAGGCTCAGTTGGTTGAGATGATGCGATTCCTGGTGTTTCCACTGAATAACATCTACTTCTACTTCCTAGTTAGGCTAGTTGGCCTGTAGCTAATAGAATAGCTCCCTGCGCATCATTTACCTTGAATTCCACAACAACTCAAAAAGTATACTTACAAGGGAATTTTTTAAGGTATTGAATAAGACCGTTCATTTCTCTAGGTTTGGATATTAGCCGCATCTGTGATATGGTGGTCCGTCTGTGTGTTATTTCAGGGCCTTAGTCAGTTATACTGGCAGCTGGTCTGCGCCAGAGTCGGCATCGGAATCAGCCAAAGTGCAGTTGAAGCACTCAGTGTTAGCATAATCTCTGATATCATGGGGCCCAGACGCTACGTTACGGTGGGTGAAGGCATTCTTTATATCGGAATTTATGTCGGGGAAGCCGTCAGTGGTCAGATTTCTACGGCCTTCCGGACGACAGGAACCAGCTGGCGGTGGGCGCTGAAAGGCGTGGGCATCTTCGAAATTGGGGTTGGTGTTGTTCTGCGCCTTATTCTATGGCACGAGACGCCCAGAGGAAAGGCGCTAGTCCAGGAGGACTTGCCCACATGCCGCATTCTTTATAGGTATTTGCAACACATCTCTCTCATGCGCTCCTTCTGGCTGTTTACTACTTCGGCCGGAGTGCGTACCCTGGCGGGCTCGGTGTTTGGATACTGGTTGTACCCCAGCTCGCTGAATATCATGTCCAACTACGGGAACGTTGTCGGGATTGTAGGCTCGGTGGCGGCCCTGGCGGGAGGGGCCATTACGTCCTTATTTTGGCCTCGAACCAAGCTTACTCCTTTGTATCTCGTCTCCGTCGGAGGGATCTTCAGCTCTGTCTTCGTTTTACTCATGGTTTTTTCCCGAGATGTGGCAGGCGGGGCTGAGTCGACGGGTATAAATATCCTTTACGGCCATGGTAGCAGCGTATATTACTGCGGAGCTTTGGTTAGACATGGTCAATGGGCTTCTGGTGTTAATGATGCCATCTGAGTTGAAAACGTTCGCTTTTGCAATTTACTCCAGCCTTGTGGTCTTAATCTACTCATCTGGTCCTGAAATCGTTGGACTTGCACTACGTAGGGTGGATCCAAGAAGTGAAGATTATAGAAAGACTGCAAAGCTAGTCCTAGCTATTATAATACCAGGAGGATACATACTTAGCTCTGTTGGGTGTTTGGCCTGCATTCCTTTAGTTCGGCGGGATCTTCAGACGCAGCCCCATCAACCCTGTCCCAGTGCAGGCATGGGTATACCGAGAAACAGGAAAATGGGATTTATGGTTGGATTTCTGGCCGTTGTGACGATGGTAATTACTCTTTTTATTCTGAGCATAGTATGCAAGTAATAATAAGGCATACTAAGTATTAAGTTAAATATACACTATGCAGAAATACCTCCTACACCCTTGGCGAAGTACTACTACTCCAGATAATGTGGATTAGCAGGTGATATGTAGAGAAGCTAACACTTCCTTGCGGCTCATTACCAAGTCGACCGGTCGAACCCATGCCATGGCCAACTCCATCCGGGTTTAGCTGGTATCAGAGTGCGATAAAGTGGATGGGCTATTTTATAGCGAGACACAGAGGATAATAGAATATATCGAGGGGCGGTACTATTGCCCTTATTTTACACTAGATCTAATTGCTTGGTTGCTGTCTGGCATCCAAAGTATAGTATTCAGCAACAGCTAGACTTTACATCCTCCAAGGCCATTCCGGTCAACTCCGGTGCCTTGGGGCACGAAAATAAGCCATGGTGAGTGCTCTTGTCACTAATAACTTTAAAGTGCGGTGCGAACCATGTGCCCGTTAACTTATCTGCTGTATTACCGCAAACTGGAAGCCATTTCCCCCGTAGGAATTCGTGATGTTCGTCCAGCCGGAAGCTAAGTGGATGATTTGAGATTGTTCCCTGATATATTGCAACTTGTCCATAGTCTTCAGACCGATCTTCAAGCTCGTTCAGTTTGAATGCATGAACCGTGCATGCCATAAATATAGCAAACGCTAATTTTCTCTACTACACCTGGATCGCGGATAGTAATTGGCCGCTGAGACTCAACGCGAATATCTGTGCAGCCGACTGAGGCCGGCAGGCGGCGAAATTCCTCGCGATACCAGGCGTCGGCCAAGCACTCTCCATGGAGAACGGGATCCTGCATCAGCGACTGGGGAATACACCGGTCGGCAAAATATCGGACGTATAGAACACTAGAATATCACAGAATATAATCAATGCAATGCTAGAATCTTATGCATTTGGAAGCTATAATTTTAAAACAAAAAAAAAAAAAAAAAAAAAAAAAAATAGGCTAGATTTTAGTGGCAAAATAAGTGGAGGATCTACAATTAACCTGTTGGGAAGGTGTGGGGGTTATGGTACGCACGTATGAGGCATTTTCCTCTCTGCGTTAGCTATATTAGATCTAGTATCGGCTGCCCCTCACCACATCTATAAGAGAAGTCTTCACCTTCTATTGACTACACTCTCTCTATTATACAATAGAATGAAGAGTTTCATCATATCACACAAACAGGTCGCTTAAATTATGTCTTGTGTAGTAAGAGTATTTCTGACAGCTTGCATCCGTACGATGCTAACACTGCAATAGCCACAGCCAGATCACAAAGACAGAGAGGCATCGCAGTTCAGGCCGTCCCTCAAACACTCACCATCGCTCCAAGGCTTCTTCGACCTTGCTAGTGATGGAGTGTACCGCAGTTATAGCTCGGGTGGCGAGGTGGTAGATTATCAGCAATTGAGCCCGGCGGAAATTACATTAGTGATGAGAATAAATTTGAAGGACATGTCGATTCAGAGTCTTTCGAGAAGGCTAAGAAGAAAATGCACGGTGTGGATGACAGAAATGTGACTGATTTGGACCAACTGCTTCACCCAGGACCAGAACTCCGTCCATCGAGATTGAAGAAGTAAAGATAACACAATTTTGCTACTTCCTTCTATCTGTCCGTCTCGCCCTTGTTTCTATGTCCATTTAGTAGCCGACTCAGCCGGCTGCCTTATTTCGGCTGAAGACGATCCTCCCTGCTAGTACATGATTTAAAAGCAATAAAGCTTGTATTGCTAATTTGATCCTTCGCTGCAATGTAATGGGGCTAAGTCAATTGTGTGCTGCCATGTGTCAGATAACGTCTGTCAATCCTGCCTAAGATGGAGATCTTAGGGTACTCTTCATTTTTCTTTCATTATTATTAAACCAGGGTTAAAAATTATTTCTCCAGCTCCAACACCTGGAAACCCCAAGTCTAGACTCCCAACATTTTCTCCCCTTCTGGGTTTGGATCAGACCGGATCATATCGGGCCACCCCGGTCCGGCCGACAAAAATACGCTTCAGGGATGACCCACGGGTCCTGAGAGCTCCCTTCTCCGGGCTTTAAGACGCGGAAAGTCTCTTCCATCGCACGGCCCTTATCAACAGAGAGGTTCAGCACACAATTGGAAACGAGATCAATCGAAGCGTCGGCGATCCCAAGGATGCGAGGTCCTCTACCTGACCTAGCTGGATTCGACGTTGGCATATACAAACTGCGCATGCCAGTCAACGACACTCCAGGCAACAAACATCTGTTCCTCGCTGGCATCCACCCCGGCCAGCCGACCTCGGGGCCCTACCACTTAAGAGAATACGTAGCAGTTCCGCCCGCTTCTACATCCCAGGTCTAAGACGGCTAGACCTTCCACCAGCGCTGGAATCGGCGAGCCACAACCGTAGAAACGCTCCTGGACGTTTGGATGGACGCCCGCTAGCGCATCGCGTAATTGGCTACCCGAATGGCTCTGCGTTGGCATATCGGTCAAGCAGCAGGCTGAAGTGCGTAGATCGTCCCTAGACTGGATAGCTAAGCCATAGCAATGCCGTACATTCTCGAGAACCCTTGATTTGGATGTAGAATCCATGATACCTAGAGCAGAATGGGCTGATCCAACTAGTCTGGCAAGGTTGTCCGTAGCCACTCGTAGGTAATAGGCTCGTAGTGATTTTCATTTATATTCTATTTGATTTTCTTTCGCAGGACAGCAGGACACGATTAGACAGAAGAGTAGTTAATTAGGGTCAAAACTGATATGAAGAGGGATACATGTTCTCACTGATGCCTAAAATTCTCAGTTGAGAAATTATGGCATATATAAGGACTGCTGGAACTATTCCATCTAACAAGCCCGTCTTAGATATGAGCTTACATACAGACACGTGTCCCCTCTCCCTCCTTACCTCGTACCTTGACAAGTTCTCTTAGCCAGCGATATAAATGGTATGAAAGACAAACTAAAACCAAACACAGAAAAACACTAGAGCAAGTGTATCGCACTTCTAGATGATAATTTTCACTATCATACTGCGCCTTCATTGTTCAAGATTTTCTGTAGATCTATCTGGTTTGATCCGCTCGAGATCCGAATAGCCACCGATGTGCTTTCTGTCGATGAAGATGTTGGGCACTGTTCGCTGATGTGTCCACGTCTGAGCGCGCGAGCGAGAGTTCGTCGACCAGTAATAATTCGTACCATGGTTTGACAGCCATTGGCCAGGGATGACTGATGAGTCGAATAGAGATGGGTATTCATTACCAGATTAGGCAGTTAGTTTAGCTTCATCATCTTCCCGTCTAGTGGGGGTGTGTTGGGACTGAGCGGCGGCCAGATGTCGATTAGGAATCATGTGGCCCACTTCAGGGTTTTCTCATGTAGCTAGGCTCGATACTTCTGAATACCAGAGAGTTCATCGGCATCAATTAGGGCCAGTCCTGCCATTAAGTCTTTCTAGCAAATTAGAAAAAGGCTTCATTCTTATAATTGTAGCTTCAATATAGTTACTCCTTATTGAGAGGATATGATGCATGAGGGCTTGCTAACGTGAAGACAAGAGATATTAGAATGCCCGACACCTCTGACCCAGACCACCTCATTTAATCAAGATCGAAAAACCACAAGCTTATAGAGGGCAGAATCTTGACAACAGCAATGCATTCAGTAACGCAGTAGTGGCTTCATTCCAGTCAGACTTGTTTTAATTCGAAGGTAACCGATAATGAGGGCGATTTAATAAGATATTCTTGTTAGACAGCGCCATCCTCCCTCGGCAAAAATGCTTTCCAATTCTTCCATCGTCGGTAGATAGATGCCCATCAAAGCGTGGCCAAATTCAAACCCTAGCGTAAAGATGGGGACATTGTCTTCTGTGATGCTATACTAGGAGCTAGCGCTGTGCAGAAGAATCCGAGTTGTGTCTCCCAAGAGGAAGCGGCGGGCATTAGGAAAGGCGTTCCGCAGCTGCTGTAGCGTGGCAACACAGTTCTCTCGAGGCCAGAAATAATGGCCCATCATAAAGCACGTCAATAGATCAATTTGGGAAAACTCCTCGCGGTAGGTCATCTGACGCGCATCGCCCTCTGTGAACGAGAGCCACTCTTCGAGACCACGGAGTATTACCTCGGCGGTGGCAAAGTTGATCACAGGGCCAGCGAGATCGACGCCAACTGAATGGGACTTAAAATCCAGTCCATTCATGGCCTCCTAGAAGACGGGGTCAAAATGATGGCGGTTGATATCACGACAGGCATATGTGATCGCCCTTGCGTCGCGGCTATAGAAGTCCCCCGTGCGATTCTTATTCCGCAACACGTACTGCAGGCGAGAAAAGAGCCCGCCTGAACCGAGGCTGAGCCAGTGGAAGAGTGACTTTGTGCGGTAGGCTTCATCCTGCAGCCTACCCGCGGTGAGAGTGTCCTGATCACGCTTGACCACGTCAACCACGGCTAGCGAGACGACCAGGCCCTGTACAGAGCGGCTGTCCAGGTTACGCTGTGCAGCAGTTCGCTGCACATCGACCTTCTTCTGGTCGCGCAATTCGTCAAGCAAGTCCACTTCCCAGGCAGTGCCGATGGCTGCGGCTGCGATGGCTGAGTTGAAGATATTGGCGACGTCACGCTTTGAATCAACAAGTGGTGAAATTATTTCTGTGACGTTTTAACGAAAGAGTGGGAACAAAAGAGAAGCCGAATCAATTACTTTTGCTCTAGAAGTTTACGATATAATAATATATATAAGTAGGGGTAAAACACCAGCTTTTTAAAGCTGCAAGAGTACCATGCATACATCTATATGCCTGAGTAATCTTTTCCTGTGGAGACCGCTAAATAGCGATAAGAACTACTATGTTTAGTGCATATCTTAGCAATATTTAATTTCGAGGGCCATTACAACGTAACGGTGAATTGTTATCGCCGCAGTGCAAAAGTACTAACTTGTTCCACTTACAATAACCCCACTATAATCTATAATGGTGAATGTAACCCGATTCCACTGCCTTAAACCCTTACAAATCCAGGTGAGTCAGGCCTTTATCATCAATACCAACATAGTGCCTTGTACCTAACCCCCGCTCTATTTCCTTCCTAATTCAAGATACCCCTCTTTACTCCGTACGCCTTTCCTAATCCTTAATATGGAAGACAAATCAGACTCTGCTGCCAATGGAGCCGAGCTTGTCTCCTGGACTTCCGCCGAGGATCCTGAAATCCCCAAGAACTGGACTAAGATACGCAAATGGAGAACGACAGTGTCAATCTCGGGATTTGTGCTGATAAATACCCTCTCGTCAACCATCATCGCCCCAGCACTCCCCTATATCGCCGACACACTCCAGGTGACAAATGCGGCCGAGGAGACACTCCTTCTCTCTATTTTTGTCCTCGGTTTTGCATTCGGTCCCCTCCTCGCCTGCCCCTTATCAGAAATACACGGGCGTCGTATCATCATCCTGTTATGGAACCTGTTGTACCTCATCTTCAACACGATATGCGGCCCTGTTAATTCCGCCAGTGGCATGCTAATTCTTCGCTTCCTGGCTGGATTTTTCTGCAGCGCGTCTCAGGGTGTAAGTCACTAGGACAATGTTATAACAGGAAATAAGCACTTTCTCACTTACTCAGATCGGAACCGGCATAATATCGGACCTCTTTACCAGGGAAGAGAGAGGAAGAGCAGTAGCGATATATAGCATCATGCCCCTTATCGGCCCCGTGATTGGACCTGTGGTCGGAGGGGTGATTGCTCAGTATACAACCTGGCGCTGGGCCTTCTATTCGGCTTCACTTATGGATGTTCTAATTTTAGTGCCCAGTTTTTTTACTTTGGAAGAAACATACGAACCCGTGCTCTTGCGGACAAAGAAGCGGCATCTAAATAAACAGACGGGTGGCCAATACTACACCGTGCATGACCACCTGGGCCAGGCTCGTTCACAGGTGTACTCGGCAGCGCTGATTCGACCGTTGAAGCTGCTCGGGACACAGCCGATTGTCCAAGCGATGGCCATCTACAATGCATTCCTCTACGGCCTTATCTATATCCTCTACGCCAACTTCCCGGCCCTTTGGATGAATGTCTACCACCAGCGCCCCAGCATTTCCGGCCTTAACTACCTTTCCTTATTTGTGGGCTCCGTCTTTGCCGCTGAATTATGTACCCGCGCGATCGATCACATCCAAAAAAGTCTCTCCGTGAAACATGGCGGCCTTCACCTGCCCGAGTTTCGCATGCCTGTGATGCCCCCTGCGACTATTATACTAGCCGCAGGCATGTTCATATACGGATGGAGCGCTGAATTCCACACCCACTGGATTATACCAAATATCGGCGCCGCTATTTTTATGGGTGCTGCCATGACATGTGCTATTGCTGTGAATACATACATGATTGACACATACGGTAAGTATGCGGCGAGCGCATTGGCGGCGATCTCTATACTCCGTCAGATCTTTGGATGTGTCTTTCCCGTTTTCGCGCCCTATATATATAGCGATCTGGGATACGGATGGGGCAGCAGCATTCTGGGGTTTATTGCCTTAGGTATCGGGCTGCCGACGGTGGTTCTGTTGTGGAGGTTTGGGAAGGCATTGAGAAAGCGTAGTCCCTATGCCGTTGATAGTACGACATAATTCTAGCATCAGACTGGACATTCTTTTACATCTATATCAGTCTCCTGTGAGGTCCTGGAACTTCGGCGCAGCCAGCGAGCCAGAACTCTTATCCGATCTTCAAGTATAGACAGTTCAGCTTCACCTCAAGATTATTAAGCTTACCCCAATTATAAACAGATCCGCTAGAAGTCACTCATCCGTCCACTTAGCGACCTTGGTCCTACAATCCTTACCCACCTCATGCAATATAGGTCATCCCAGGTGGTGACTGATAATATGCAGTCAATATCCTGCCTGACTGTTCTTCCACCTCTTTCTCCTGTTGTATCAGAACACAAAGTGGACAGTAGAATGAAGCCAAGCAGTTCCCAAAACGAGAGCCTGAGATATGGAACCTATCTCGCATCTCGCCTCTCTTGAGCATTATAAGGACCCAGTGAAGCCCAATGGAGCTCATAAATGAAAGCAAAAAACACTAATACTGTCAGTAGGTAGTTATGACACGTTACAGGACGATTACTCTAAACATACGTTGCTGTTACAGTAATCATACTCCCGAAGTTCCTGGTCAGAGAGACGCGACTGCGTTTTGCCGAAAAGGAAGCAGGGCAACGTAGACCCTAATAGACCTTTCATTTTGCGTCGTTACCGTACCAGCCACCGAGTAGGTCTCCAGGTATTGCAGCATACATGTCTTCCAAGGCGAGGACCAGCTACAAAATGGATGCTTCCATGATTCAGATTTCGACTGCCACGAAGCCATCTGGCGTTCTTGAACCAGTTAATAGATAAGGCCTTTTTGGTAGGATACAGTACAATAAAAGCTAATGCTGCAGTAAGTAGTCGAATGATTACGTTGCGATGCCCAAATCATTAAACGTAACCAGTACTGTAAGCACAACAATGGTTTTGCTTCTGGCGATTTAATGGTAGCTCGATCTGAGCATTAATTGAAATATGATCAAATGGTCTCCAGAAAACTTAAAATTCTGTAGGCACGTTTTCTTTTAAGGAGAGGTAAACAGCATAAAATGTCGGGCATAAATATTTGGCGGATCCTGCAGCACATAGTGGCCATCCTTAGAGGACTTCTACTGTATTGCTTTATTTGGGTACTTTTGTTGCGGATACCGGCCAACTAATTGGGGCATAACCAATCATGGCCCAATACTGTAAGTGGCCTTCCAAAATCAACGCAACATGCCGAATCAAACTAACTACCTATTTTTTTTTTTTTTTTTGGTTCCTTCCTGCGATGACACGGCCTTGTAGGCTTTGACTTGCTCTAGTTAACTTGCTGTGTTATGGTCATTTTGTAAGTCATTCCCAGTCATGCCCCGTCTCATACCCCAGTTCATTGTAATGGAGCAAGGATTTAGGGCTATTTAGGTGCTCAACTGTTCATGGTTCACAGTTGAGTGTTGCACGAAAGTCTGCGAAAGCAGACTGGATAATCAAACACATTGAAATAAAAAAATCTGGTGAGGAAGTGGGCGTAAGGCCTGCAGTACCGAAGGTGGGAAAGTTGGATTTCTTAATATATACAGAGTAATGTCTGGTCTGATTATGAAGCGTGTTGATATGATATCTTAATAACGTTTTTTTTTTCCGTGTCTATCAGCTCATTCACCTTCATCTCACCGGTGTCGTCGAGTATGATAGTGCCTGCGCTGCATGAACTGGGCACAGGTCTCAACATGCAGAGCGAGATTGAGGTTGAGCTCTCTATGTCAATCTTTATCCTGGCTTACACCGTCGGTCCGCTATTCTTCGGTCGTGCCTCTGAGGTTTACTGTCGCGTACGCTTGTTGCAGATTAGCAATCTATGGTATCTGGCGTGGAACCTTGGATGTGGCTTCGCCCAGAGCCTGGCGGGGCTGTTTGTGCTCCTGTTTCTGGCTGGAATTGGAGGAAGTGCCCCCGCGGTGTTGGGAGGAGGAGCTATTAGGTACGATACAGAGTTGATTCATAAACTTCCTCCGCTCACTGACAATGTCCAGTGATATTTGGGACGCAGAGGAACGTGGAAATTCTACACCCTTGCACCGGTTCTTGGCCCCATAGTTGGGCCCATTGCTGGAGGCTTCATTGCCGAGTACTCGACATGGTGCTGGGTGTTCTGGTCATCTAGTGCCGCCGCTGCAGTTATCCAGATCTCGGCTTGTTTTGGCTGCGCGAGTCGCATCCCGGTACCCTCCTGCAGAGGAAGAGAGACCATCTTGCCAAGGAGACAGGCAATATTAAGCTTCACACAGGAAACAAGCCTGGGGATGGGAACCTCCTCAGCAAACTCGGCCACGCCCTGGTGCGACCGTTCCGTATATTCACGACCCAGCCGATCATCACAGTCATTGCGCTATACATGGGCTATCTCTTCGGGACGACATATTTCATGTTGGCCACATTCCCAGTGATTTGGTCGAAGTTGTACAGTGAGACCCCAGGTATTGGCGGGCTCAATTACGTTTCCATCGCTATCGGTTCGTTCAGGGGCATCGCCCTTAACTTCTTCGTTATCGATCGCATCTACCACAATTTAAAAGGGAAAAACGGTGACGTTGGACGGCCGGAGTTCCGCATGCCGACGATGTTTATTGGATCGATCTTGATCACCATTGGACTTTTCTGGTACGGCTGGAGCGTGCAGGTCCGATGTTTACAGGGGATGCAGACCTACACGGTAGACAGTTACCCGACATACGCAGCAAGTGCCATGGCAACCTGTGCACTTCTGCGCAGTTTGGCCGGCTTTCCCTTTCCGCTCTTCGCTCCATATCTGTGTAAGAATCTGGGCTCTTATGCTCTGTGTCGCAGATAACAACCGTACATCACCGTATATAAAGCTTGGGACGTCGGAGCACGACACTTAAATCAAAGCATTTGCAACATATACCTTGTGTTATTTGAACTATCACATGGCTGGGTACCTGCAAGATGCAAGACTTGAAACTATACTTAGTTAACTTCACGTTGGCTAACTACATTTAACGGACTTCGAGTCGAGACTTACTTTCCAACGATGGCGCTGCTGCGATTTTGCATATGAATTATCTGAGCGAAGATATGTCAAGCCAGTGATTTATTTATTTATTTTTTTTTTTTTAATTGGACCTTTAATGAAAGAGAAGAGACTATGGCTCTTAAAGGTCTTAAGTAAGAGAGTAGTTCCTGTATTCTCGCGTTATTGTTGGTCGGTATGTAGTAAATAAATATGGTTTATGTTGCTATTCCGATTGAGTGTGGTCACTCAATTCTAGCTGATTAAATATATATCATGATTATTATATAGTCGACAGTTGTCATAACAGTCAATCGCAAATCGCACGATAATTATGCTGTCAGGTGGATTTTTGACCTATTCTTATTGCATTATTGTGCGACACTACCCACGAACACCACCTCAACCGCTGCAAACCTTAACTAAACGTCAGCCGTGCACAGCCTAAGTTATGCAATGAGAGGACGTACGAGGCAGTGGCTGCAAAAATCTCTATTCTTCTTGCTGAGGTGAAAATTGCAAGTGACGCCGCAAACAACGTTGTAAATCCAATCATCACTAGAATGCGATGAACTGTGTCCTTGACATACCATAGAACTAGCACCGCTAACAATGGTAAAATAGAAGATGCAGTAGTAGCCACCACGGTGCTTATTCTAATTAGTGATAAATCATGGTATTGAGACATCCCACTTTCTAGATTCACAGTCTGCCCATCTGTCAGTGTCGAATATAAGGGGAGGCGAGGTTTATGTGCGTACTTTCCTGCGGTGTCCCCAAAGTGCGTGATACCATTGCAAAACATTAGACGTAAGCCACTTGGAGAATGGATCGTCAAGACGTTCACCTGGAGGATTAAACACCTTGGCTAAGTCTTTCTCGTCATCCCACATGAACACCTCGCTGCCTTTCAAAAAATAATTACCGCCCTCCGAGCTGGCAAGCCAATTGTGTAAGGTCCGTAGGTCATTCTTATTCGGTTCTCGTAGGGTTGACAGTCCCGCAACTTGTAATAGCTTCGTCTAAATTATAATTAGAATTGAATCGGCGCAAGCTGTATGGCATTGATATTTGCGTCCACTCACTATCTTCCCGCAGTTTTTGGCGAATTCTAAGCAACATCTCCAGCTGCTCATTATTAGGTGTATTTCGTGAACCTCTTAGGGAGTGAAAGTAGCTCGAATACACTTGATCAGAGGGATCGCTTGAAGTATCATCCTCGTGGCAAATATCCTGAAACTGAATATGCAGCTCCGTCAGCTCAGCCTGAAGACTGAGCAAGTTAAGCATGTTCAGTTCCCTGAATGTGCGGAAAATCGCCATATCTCCAAAGGTCGCCATTGCCACTGACAGTTTGGGATACCCTCGCGGGATATAGCCATTCCGTTCTGTTGGTGGGACGTGCTGACCCGAAGGCAATGATGAATGTAGTGACATAGCAGCCATTCGCGTTGCAAGAAGTGCGTAGGGGAGGATGCAATGTCTGAGATTTGTTGTTGTTTATCCCTTAGATTGACTGCTTCATCCTCGTCTCACGCCCCGATCAGTCACGGGATTATTGTGAGCACTTTTCTTTTTCTTTACCCCACTTTAAGCGACTCCTCAATTTCCATAGTACAATTTCTTTTCGTGAATGTTGCTCTGGCCTTGAAATCTGAATTTCGAAACGATGTTCTCCAGGACAGGTATTTCTAACTGTGCCACTTGGGGTTCTGATGTGCTGACTTATTGACTGATCAAGGGTCGGATAGTATACTCCAGGGAAATTACGTTGCGGTACCGAAATACATAAATATTTGTCCTGGACAAAACACTCGATGGGAAACAATCTCAGAAGCTTTATATCAGCAAAATGAGCAACGCGCAGCAGCTGCGACGGCACGGAGACAGCGCCGTGAGGAACGATACCGAAGTCTAAGCCAAGTATCCCCAAACAACTTAAATATCCCTCCTCAACTTAAATATCCCTCCAGCGAAGGAACAACCCAAACCAGTGCTGTCAGGCCCAAATTATGATAGCCCCTCGGAACACTTTACCGCCAAAGACGCTCTGTTGTCTACCAAGTGTCTTGTGCCTCCGGGAGAACCGGGTGGAGAGAGTGGGATAACCAGCCCTTTAACTGACTCGGAAGAAGAGGCTACTAAACACGCTAACAACGGGGACATCCGAGCGGTGGGTAGTGATAGCGGTGTATCACGTCAGGCGATTGATTCTGTGGTCCCAGACCATATTCATGGCAGCGATAACGGAAAGAAGGGAAAGCACAGAGGATGTAAGTCAGATTGGCGAATATTTCGGATGAAGTGTCAAAAATTATTGGGTTAAGCCCAATAAACTAAAGATACCAAAGTAGAAACGCTACTGAGAAATGCCTCCTTCAGGTTGCCTGGGAACCTCGCTTTTTTATGGTATAACGGGCCAATGAGACATCGTTTTTTGATACTTGGCAGGGCCAACTACTGTGCTGGGGGTTCATTTGCACACCGAAAACTTAGTAAGAGCTTCTTAAGCTGAGCCACATATTCCTAAATCAGACCTAGGAGGGCGTTCACATTCTCTTGAGTGCCATGATGACGTTTGAGAGACCCTGAACGTAGATGCCGATGGCGCAGTATATGAATAGCTCGGGCTCTGCACCGATTGGAAATGGTTTTAGCAAGTCCGGCTTCGATACTCAGTTGCTGGCTGCCCCGTATGTTGCATTGTTCAGTCCTCCCGATACTAATTTTACGGCCGTGCCACAGCCCACCGCGGTACCAGCAGTTGACCTTAGATGTTGACTATTGCTTGAGTGGTCCTCTGCAGTCCACAACGCGGTCTTCCGGATGATCGGACCCGGGTTCTAGTGCCAATGAAAGCCCATTTTTGACCACAGTGACGCTTGGTAGCGACGGCTACGGAGCTAAGCTTTCGCCTGAGCTTCGGAGAAAGAACTCTGTGGGCAAGCTTGCGGCGCTAGTCTAGGTGGCAAAGCACCTGCCTCCTCTTGTCTTACTCTGAGTGGGAGTAATGGTGGCGTTTATTCCGAAGCTCTCGACAACTCTTTTGTCGGGCCAGGGCGGGTTTTTTGGATAGTGCCAACCCCTCTAGTTACTCCACTGCAATAGCCTTGCCTATTATTCTACTCGGCCTGTCAGGAATATCTGCACTCGTAGGACGGATAAGAGTTCAGCCCCCACCCCTATAAAGTACAACAACAATGAATAACTACAAAAATAAATGCTTATAACCACTAAAACCGAACAAGGTACAAGAGTTTCTGAACTTAAGGCCGAATTCTCAAACTGTCCAATTCTTGTTGGTTGGCCCACTTGCGTATCTCATTAACGATGCAACGGGCAACGCCGACTTTCACTCCGTGTTTAATAAATATGTCCGGGTCCTGATCCCCAGCGATCTGCTTAAGATCAAGACCATTTTCTAGGGCAATGTCATGCACTTTGTCAATACCTTCCTTATATCTCTAAGAAACCACTTGCGATTTTTGCCGGCTGCTGTACTCTTCCACTGCTACTTCCAGGGGGAGATCTGGAAAAATGATGGGATCTATGGGCTCTGGACCTGAGTGTGGCAATAAGGCTGGACAAACACTTAGTGTAGCAAGCATAGACAACTGAGGAGATTGTGACTATAGAAAGTTGAATTGATTGGAGGACATGCCGACTCAATGGAAGGATACTTTGTCGGCTTTTGTTGCCTTCAAGCCACTGGCGTTCTTTCTCGTAGAGTTGTTCTCGAATATTACTAGGGACATTATCGTGACTTTCAAGATCACGGCCGTCTTCTACGAACTTGACAAGGCGTTTTTAATGGTGTGTTCTGAGTATGTAATGCTTCTTTCCGTGAGGACCTTGCCAGCAGTATCCATCTTTATTTTAACATGGGGCCCAGGACAGTGCGTCTTTTTATACACATCTCACCAGGCTAAGCGCTGCCCTGAGATGTTTTCAACATTAATCCGAGAGTCTCGCTCAGACAGCATCTGCTTTGTTGTAGATGTACTGTCTCTAGAAAGGAGATGGTTTGTTGTCATCACTTATATAGCTAATGGAAATGTCAATTCTGAGCTTCTTGCCCTTGTAAATTATATTGCTCCACTTGAGGAGCTGTTTTTCTATGACTGTCAATCAATATCAGTATTCTCAAATTGCTGATGAAGATCAGTTTGTGATCGGTATTGTAATACTGATGCCATAATAGAAATGTCATCTGGCCGAACACGTTTGTTGCTAAAAGCTCGCCCAGCTAACTTTTTTAATTTTATATTTTAAATATTCTTGCTAGTACTCACTTGGTTTTATCGCCAAGTCAGGCTCTGTGATTCTTGTTACAGATCGGCCGTTCAGGGCAACCTTCCAGTCAACCAGGTAATGGATACAGACTGGTGGTTGTTCATTATAAGACCGTTCCTTATCCCATACAGCCAGCAGAATAAACTCTAGTTGAACTGTTTCAGGTGACTGCGAGACGTTCGTACCGTTGTGGGGTCGTCGGTCTTGGGAAGAACTACACACAGATGACGTGGCGAACGACCAAAGCCACCAGTGGTGGGAGCATATTCCGGAGTTGTATCCCATGGATGAGGGGTTTGAAATCCTTTTTCCCGTGAAAGGGGATTCTAAAAAGTGTGCATCTTGTCTGGGCCCACTGCCTCCTTGGCCAGGCGGTCGGCTGCATCATTCCTAATGTCACCACAATGCCCCAGGATCAATTAGAGGCGGAGGGTATCACCCCTCTGGAAAAAAAAAAAAAAAGAAAAAGAAAAAAAGAAAAAAAAAAAAAATATGGCATGGCATCGTACATGGTTGGATTCAGAAACAGCGCCGAACAGTGAGCTAAGTGGAATTCCAACACACTAAAGCACCAGCGTTGAACGAGGTAGGTCAAGTGGTTAACACACACCAGCGCACACATGTCCATCGATGCTTTATTGTCCGAGGTGTTTGACGCTCTTGGTTGTACGGGTGGTCAAACTCTGGTACTCAATTTGTTAGCAGCCTGTTGGACATTTGCAATGAGCTGAGCAAACCCACTTATTTTTAATACTTATGCCCTATTTAAATGTTGTGAGAATTTCATGTCGCTCAATGTAGACAGTGTCTACCGAACACCAGAATATAACAATACAGTGCCCTGTCTTTTTTTCTTTCATTTTTTTCTTCACAGTGTTCAATGTTTAATAAATGAGAACTGGTACAGAGTGTTGCAACATGCCCTGCCTGGCAAAAGTCTTTTAGATGTTTAAAGTCCAGCAGTGGGACAAATCTATGCTATTAATCAATTTTCCATTAAAATAGCTATCTACATAATCCCTATAAGACAGCTTTCGGAATAAGACATTAGTATCCATTCTCCATCATTTGATTGAGATCCATATCGGAATTCTTACACCCACAAATGTTGTGCTAGTAGCCTGTTGGGCATTTGCAATTGTTGTGAATCGAGGCTCGACCAGGTAAACTATAGAGCATTATATAAGGAATAAATTAATACAGGCCTGTCAGGGGCTGAACCCGCAGAACCTATAATATATGCTATGTACAAAAGGAATTGTTGAAGGAATGAAAGAGGGAAAGGATATGTGATTGGGTCTTAGAGGGCCAATATGGGCAACGGGGACAACGGGGACAACGGGGACAACAGGGACAACAGGGACCATAAGGCCGAGAAGTCAAACGGGCCTCCAGTGCCAAGACAGCAAGAACGGCATGGACAATGTGGTTGTGAACTGCCGTGTTATGGACGAACATGTGGAATTCTTTCTGCTTCTTATCCAGGAGCCGGTTGCATTCTACAAGTAAGTCGCTGCCTATGTTGACAAAGCTGAGGATGCCAATGTCAGAAGGAATAAGCTGGACGGGAGTTAGGTCGGCCATGGAGAAGGACTTGGTATCGAGACTTTCTTTAGGGTTTAAGGAACTAGTTCATGGAAGCTTCATTGACGTCCCAGCATCTTCTGTTCGCAGGAGGTTGTCGATGAGCGCGGTGCTGCAGTTGCCCGTGGCGCCTAGCACCGCATAAGTCGCCATGGTCTAGAATAAATACGCGAAAATAAGTATGATCTTCGCTAAAACCGTCGGGAGTTATATTTATGGTTTCTTTCCGTGCTCGCTGTTTCTCTAGCGTCGGGACATAAGCAAAATTAGCCCGACCAACGTCAATCAATTCCTTCCAATTCCTATAATCGATTATATAACTTGATTTATCTTGTCAGTTCCTTGAACAAATACGCTCAGCTGGCATAGCTAATACCAAATAAGCGAATATGCCACAGACCGGGGGACCGGATGCTATAGAACCATAGTAAAGCCATTGAAAGTACGAAATCCAGACCAAATCTGCGGCAGATTTGGGTTATCCCAAAAAATGAACAGGAAAAAAAAAAAAAAAAAAAAAAAAAATTGAATCTAGACTACTTCCTATATATTTAGAAGTTCTCTTTCGTATATATGTATTTCAAGGTCAAATTCAAGCTGGTTTTACTGCAAAGGTGGGCGAAAATCTCAAGTACAAGACAGACGGAGATGTGTGATCCTGTAGAAGTTACAACATATCTCAGGCAAGTGGTACAACTGGGAATATGCAAGCAGGAAAATGCTCAAATAGTGGCCTGTCTCAAAGCAAATTCTGGAGACGCTCCTTTTCGGCAAGTTTACAATTCATAATATAAATCACTAACCAATTCTAACATTGCGTAAAGGAGATTTGGCCAGTTTAGTAGCGTGCTTGCCAAAGGTCTATTTCATCTGCTCTATTATATAGTTTTTGCAATCTTCTATCATTAGTCATACCAGATAGCGTTCATACCAAATCCCTTTTCAGGAATATCCACCCTGGCCACTCGGGCCAGCGTCTCGTCACGGAAGCGATAGATCTCGACGAATCCCAGCTGATCGTCACACAGGGCCAGCCACTCATCACTAAAATCACTTGGGCTAACTGCATTGGAATGACCGCCACTCGTTGAGGTAGGGTGAATGAAGAGCTGTCGCTCAACGTTGCCATGAGGGCCAAGTTTGAATGCCGTGATGTATCCCGTGATGTCGAACGAATTGCCGCGCGTAGTGGCAAAGAGATACTCACCACTACGGGTGGTGAACGTGACATCGCCACGGTACTTATTGCGTGGGGGAAGGCCTGGTCCATTAGAACAAAATTTACTAAGGTTGCAGGAAGTGAACATACCGACGGGGAGGAGTGGGTATGTAATGTGAGTAAACACCGGTACATGGCGTTTCTCATCGATCACATAGACAGCCAGTCGATTGCCCGCCTCCATCAGTACATAGAGATACTTTCCACTAGGATGTATCTCAACCCAACGGGGGTGGTCACCTGGTGAAGGGGCTTCAATACAATCCACCAGAGTCAACTCACCCGTTGTAGCATCCTTAACATGTGTCCAAATCTTGTTCGCCTGTAGGTCGGCCGAATAGAGGTAAGTCTCGGTAGGGTCAAACACCATTCCGTGGATCCCAGTGTTGGGCTCGTACTCGTAGTTCTGAATATTCTTGGCCAACCGGCCGTCGGTTTCCACAGAGAAGACGTTCCCGTAACCAGCATATTTATAGAAGGGATTGCCATATACATTGTATGGCGGTTTATGGGCGGCAAGGACGAAGATGGCGCGGGTATTGGTTTCGCTGCTAGGTGCAAGAGCTACCATAGATTAGAGAGTCACATGTTACAAATATTCGAGGACACATACCATGGCCGGCAACGGGATGGGAGGCCTGGTGAACAATATCTGTGGGGCTGTTGACGGCAAAACTGTTCCACTTCTTCATAGCAGCGCCATAGATAGCTTTTTTGTCATGCTATCTGAATAAGTAATGGTCTAGGAAAATCGGAGAGAATCGCGACAGAGCTTACCGAGAAGGTCATCCAGGAGATTGGCTCCGCCTCGGGAATGTCAGTTTTCTTAACTAGTTCCAAAGTGAGGGCCTCATCGTCAAATGCGACAGTATAGATGCGACCTGGAGGGGTCCAGGTGCCGACCATAAGATGATGCTTCATACTGGTACGAATTGAATAGGAGAAGGATCGTTTGGTGCGGAGAGAGATGGAGATGGGGCGTAGCAGAGGGAGCGCAGCCGAGTGAGAGATAACAAAGGAGAAGAGCATGGCCAGGTCCCCTGGAGGGGAACCAACATGAGGGCGATAAAGCTCTCGGTTACCACCAACTTCACAGGGAAGAACAAATAGCCAGTCTCGAGATCGGAACGCGGGGACGGCATCAGAATACGGCAGTCCTTTGTGGCCTGAGGAACAAATCTGCTTCTCCAGTAGGTAGCATGTGATTGGCTGATGCGGGGACTCATCTGGTCGGCTCTGCACAGCTAAACTGCAGTTCTACCTTAAGTTATGACTCAGTCTCTACACCCATAACCTCGAAACGATGGGCCAAATGGTGGAGTTACCAAAGCAGGATATCATGGTCGCAATTTTTGAAGTTAGTTTCTTGATACTCGGTGTGACCTCGATCCTGCCTTCAAGATAATTACTATATATTGGAGCAAGCGACGAGGTATCATCTACTGACTTGGATGTAGCATTAACAGTCCGAAATAATTGCGACTTATGTATTTTATAGTAATACTATTCATTCCGGAGTCCCAGTAGATACACAATGAATGACTCTTGAAGTCGTTCATCGGATATATATTGTTCCCGTCCGCATACAAACGCGCTCCGATTGCGGCTTTGTTGAACGGACGTTTCTCCTGCAGACACATCATTGTCCACCAAATTATCAGCTATGGCTGCTGCTCGGACTCTTCGCATAGGTCAATTGATATTTTTCTCTTTATAGTCTTTTGAGTTATGCCTCTGTGAGCATCAACTGACCGTCTCTCCTTTAGGCCTCATCCCTGGTGACGGGATCGGACGGGAGGTCATTCCGGTATAGCAGCCAGACGTTCCGAGAGGATGAATCTCCTATTCTAATGTGAATCCATTGTTATAGGCTGGTAGACGGGTACTGGAATCCCTTCCCCCGTCCCTAAACCTGAAATTCAGCTTTGTCGATCTGGATGCGGGCTTCGATACTTTCAAGCGAACTGGGACTGCATTGCCCGACAAGACCGTGGAGACTTTGAAGAAGGAATGTGATGGAGCCCTGTTTGGGGCTGTTAGGTGGGCTCAAAAGAATAATAAAAATAAAAGTACTTGTGTATGTCGCTGACCAATGTCCGTTTGTTGAATATGACAGCTCCCCGAGCACCAAAGTCGCCGGTTACTCATCTCCGATTGTCGCTCTGCGGAAGAAGCTCGATCTCTATGCCAACGTCCGACCAGTCAAGTCCACCACTGGCGGCAGTGCCGGTAAACCCATTGATATGGTGATTGTTCGGGAGAACACTGAGGACCTGTACGTGAAGGAGGAGCAGACCAAGGAAACCCCCAATGGCAAGGTGGCTGAGGCTATCAAGCGCATTTCCGAGGGGGCTTCCTTTCGCATCTCCACCATCGCGGGAGAGATCGCTCTGCGCCGCCAGAAGATCCGGGACGCGGCTTCTACACCAGCCGGTCGCTCCCAACCTATGGTGACCATCACCCACAAATCCAATGTTCTGTCGCAGACAGACGGCTTGTTCCGCGAGACGGCCCGAAAGGCTCTCGCGGCGGACCGCTTCTCTTCCGTGCTCGTGGAGGAGCAGATTGTTGACTCAATGGTTTACAAGCTTTTTCGCCAACCCGAGTACTACGATGTGATCGTTGCGCCCAACTTGTATGGTGACATCTTGTCCGATGGTGCCGCCGCTCTTGTCGGTAGCTTGGGTCTGGTGCCAAGTGCCAACGTCGGAGATGGATTCGCGATCGGCGAGCCCTGCCATGGAAGTGCACCGGATATTGAGGGCAAGGGCATTGCTAACCCGATTGCTACCCTGCGCAGCGTGGGGCTGATGCTGGAGTTTTTGGGTGAGGAGAGCGCTGCCACCAAGATCTACACCGCTGTTGATGCCAATCTGGATGAGGGCAGGTATCTTTCCCCTGATATGGGTGGTAAGGCCACCACCGAGGAAGTCCTGGCCGATGTGCTAAAGAGACTGTAATTGGGATTGATGTATGTATAGGGTAGATAAAAGAATGTTCGCCCACTAGAATATAATTCTATGTATGAGCCTTGCTATGACAATCGATGCGACATGCCTCCAAGCGTAGACTATATGTCAGGCAGTGTATTATGTCCAAGGCTAACTGCCCATTGTATACAGCATTTAATGCCAGGCCTTCCACAGGTATAATCAACATCATCGGCTGACTGCTCAGGCTTCCACGCAACCCGCCCTCCCTCTGCACGTTGCTCATGCGTTCCCTACTCCTTTGTCCCTCCTGCTACACTCAATCTCGTGTTTGTTCCTCCAGTTCCTCCCAATATAAGAGTCAACAGAACCACCAAATACACATGGTCGGTGCGCGTGTTCGCATTCTTCAGCACATATCTTAGGAAACGATTGTTTCTCATCTATATACTTAAGAACGTGCAGATTGAACCAGACAGTCGAAGGGAAAAGTCTAGACTCCATCACTCACTCGCTTGCTCAAACACGGCCAAAAAGGACGAGGAACAGCGAAGAGGATAACCAAATCATTGAAGCCTAGGTATGATCTCCAAAATCCATCCAATAAACCCGGCCCTCCTCGAAAACAAAGTTTTTCCTGGCCTCTAACGACTGGAAATACTTCTTCAATTCCTCAACGCCCCGGGCAATGCCTTGACTCAAGCGAGTATTCTCTCCTGAACCGTCAGCGCCTCCGTCAACGACTTGTCCATGTATACTTGGCACTCGTCATCCATTTTGACCTTATCGAAGACGCGGAACTGGTTCCGTATGGCGAGGGCCGGACTGAAGAGGTACGGTTTACTGGCCTAGGCATCGCCGTCGAGCGACGATCAATTGTCCAGCATACGAGACGAAGAGCAATTTTGAAGCCTGTGTGGAGATGGTCCCGGATGGGATAGTCGAAATTATTGCCGAAGAGAAGGTCTTTGCCATTGACAGCGTGCTTTAATATGATAGCCAAACAACTGGAGCACTGGTCTGACTCATGGAGAGAGTGGGTAAAGTAGGGGTTTGACTTGGGAGAGCTGTCGTGGTAGCCTGTGGTCGTTTATTGACAAGTTAGCAACAGTGCTTCATGACAATACAATGAGGTGAATATCGGTGTAGTCCCGGGTCCGGAGACAGAATAATTGTGACAAGTTCGCTTTCAATGCGCACAGTTCGATCCTCCTTGATGGGGACAATCAGATGCATGTCCAGGTTGTATTCAGACCCCGCAATGACTTTTCATCCATCTTTAAGGACGGACATGGTAATGAGAGTGTAGCTCAGTTGGGGATGATCGAGACGTTGACAATATCTTGGATGCTCTCGGCCCTGGGAGAGTAAGGTGAGCTAATGCCATGAGATTGGTAGAACTGAGGCTGAAGTGGACTCGAATTGAGTGAACCCATATACCTACAACTTGTGTATTTCGTGGCATAGATCGACACGGCGTTATCGAGGGGTCAGCGATGGATAGAACCCAGAACGTTAGACCAACAGTCGCACCAAGATCCCTCTGAACTATGGGATTATTAAGTCTGTTCAAAAACATTGTGTATTATTGTACAGAGTACCCAAGAACATTTGAAATGAACGACCCGGAAGACATCCCTCGCTACAAAGGGTGACACGAGGAGTCCAGCACTTGGCCGCTAGCCAATATTATACATAAGAAACATCAAAGGTCGGGTGGATCAGAAAGGGAGTAATCCCCTATCGCCATGCTCACCATTATCCTCGAGAAGGTTGTCATCAGTGAGGATGTCAATTCCATTGTCAAGCCCCATGCGTTGTTTTCCTAGCCCCATCTCCACATCGACGAATCGTGTCATGCTGACCGGAGTGATAGGCTCACTGCCAGTATTCGTGCCATCGGAATTCAGCTCATCCGACTGAAGCTCGAAATTGGCAGTACGAACCTTTGTTCTCCGTCGTTCCGCAATGACAGTTTCTTTCATGTAGGCGAACGACCGTGCTTGGTCTACGGCCCATTTATCCAGCAAGTTGTCCCTGGCCTCAACTTCCAGGCGTAACTGCTCCTCTAACACTGCATTACTGCGACGGAGCTTCTCCACCTCCGACTTCATCCCTTCCAGTGACGTTGTGAGCTCGGAAATACGAACGTTCATCGACCCAACCTCCTGCTGGTGCCGATGAAGTTGGTCCGTCGCTTCTTGTTTGAGATTTCCAACCGTTATTTGGAGTTCCCGCTCAGTTGATTCGACCTTGGCAGTTAGGTCGCATGCACGGATTCGATTATACTCGACGGTCGTTTCCAGCTCGTGGATTCGGGACTCTCGCTCCGCAACTGTCGAGTCGGCTGCATGACGGGCTTCTACTTCGTCTGCTACCCTATTTTCGAGACGTGAGACCTGTACACAGTACTTTTTATCAGAAGTGGCCCTCTCTTCCTCTAGTGTTGTTACCAGCTGCTCAAGACCCTTGACCTCGTCGCGATATTTGTCGAGTGCTGCGTTCAGTCGGTCAATTCCGAGGGTTTGTTCCTGGCCCTCACGTTCGAGCTCTTGCATTCGAATTCTCGTGTGGAGCATGTCACCTGCTGACGAAGCGATAGAAGCTTCAAGATCACCAATCTTCTTCGATGAGACCTCATATCGGGTTAACAGGTCGTCGAACTGTCCACGTAATGCCTTTTCCCTCCTAACGGCCCCTTCATGACGCGCTTCTTCTTCGCCTAGGCTGTGGACGAGCAGCTCAACTCGCTTTACCAATGCGCCTAACGTGGCATTCCCGTCATCCAAACCAGCACTCGCTGTTTCTCCGGGAACCGCGCGCTCTAATTGAAGACGGGCTGAGCGAAAGCGACTGCGCATTTCGGAAACGATCTCTCCCACGCTGTTACCAGGGAATCCTAGATCTAAAAGTTCATTTTTGATCGAATCTAAGGTGCCAACAGCACCGGATGCTCGAGAGAGGGCTTCTGTTAGTGTGTGAACGAGCTGGTCGAAGAAATCTGGTGGCGGCGAGGATTGACGAAGGGATGGCTTCAGAACAATTTCCCCTAACGAGGCAAGACGAGCTCGACATGCATTGAACAACTCCTTTTTCTCCTTTCTAGCAGCTTCCAGATCACGCGAGATGGTAAGAAACTCGGCGTCTCGATGATGTCCGGACCAAGACACCTGGGTGGAAGCGTCAACGGAACACCCATGGTCAAGGAGCGACAGGTCATTTGGAACAAAGGGCTGATTCTCGCCCATCCCGCGAATATCCGGGGAATCAGACATAAGTATCGTATCATCTTCAAACCTACTGTCATTGATGAGAATGGTATCCCCTTCCGGTGCGGCACTATCATGAGAGGATTGGAAAGAGGAAATTTCCTCTCGCAAACGATTGTTTTCGAATTCCAGATGTCCGACGCTGGCCGGAGTCAAGCACTCTGTTGTTTCGCTAGACGGGCAACTTTCAGGAAAGTCTGGAGTTTTCTTCACCGACTCCAACTTTTGTTTTAATACATCCCTCTCATGCAGCAAGGCCTGTAGAGTCTTTTCATATTGAGCAATGTCCCGCTTCTCGCGCTCTAGGTTGTTGACCTCGTTACTGAGGCCTACCCGTCGGATTCGACGCTGGGTGCGAGAATCGAGAATTTGGCGAAGCGGTGCAAATTGCACGATTCTCTCCGTCACAGCAGTACTGGAAGGCATCAAAGGATCCAGTGAGTGACGGGTGCGCAAAAGAGGGGTTGAGCGTCGCCGTAGCCGCCGACTCGGAGTACGAGCCACGTCGTCGGAATCCGCAGATTCCTCAAATGAAGTGCGAATTATTGCGGGAGTGAGGCCCGTCGAATAATCCGGGCCATTCTGCGTCTGAGGGCCGGGATCCGAAAAACGGACCTTTTTGGATGGCTGACTAGGAGTCTCGCAGGGTGAAGCTAAGGCAGTACCCGCAGACCGACGAGTGCTCTTCCTGCAAGAGGCAGGAGAACAGGCCCCTAATTCAGAGATCGAACTGTTTCGTCTTTTTCGACGTTCAGACTGCCGGGTCTCTATCACCATGGCTGCAGGTATCAATGCCCAGTCGAAAATGAAAACAGTAGGGCTTTGTGGCCCACCAGAAAGACGTATATGTATGTTTTGTGCTCCGAAGATAGAATCTATGGAAGAAGACAAGAGTCACAACAAACAAATTTCCCAAAGCATAGTTTAATATCCCGGCGGAGACAGCCTTAAGTAGTAGCGGGCCCCTTACGCGTGATGGATCCATTGCCGTTGCCTAATTAGGCCGAAGTAAACAAATCCCATCCAGGTGACGGGCTTGCTGCCTGATAATCCAGGTAACCACGGCCTCCTTGACCATATCCATGTCAATTATTATCCACAATCCGGCTCTTTCAATGTTTTATTAGAACCGTACTAGTAGTGGTGAAATAGTATCCTTTTAACTAATGTAGTTAGCCCTAGTTTGATTTGCTGTGATGTTCGCCAGACATCCTTGTGAAGCATTTTTGCACCAGATATTTCGCTCACACAGAAGTCATGGTATTTGCCCTTGTATGCCATTTTCGCACGTCTTTGGTGATGTTGTATGTTCAATCCTATATACATCTTGTCTCTAAACTGGACTACTGTGATGTCATAAAATTGAACAGTATGTACAGCACGCAAGATCTAATCTAATGTAGTGCTATGGAATCTAAGTTAATCTATCGCAATGTAACCAACTCCTCTGCACTTGTTGGATGGATTGCAACGCAGCTATCAAAGTCTCGTTTGGTAGCTCCCATCTTAATGGCAACACCGAATCCCTGCAGCATCTCTCCCACTCCAAGACCAAGAATGTGCAATCCAACTACCTTCTCCTCTGGGCCGGCGCAGATGAGCTTGAACTCAGTTGGGTTCTTCTTCTTCTCCTCAGCTGGCATCACATCGTAGTACATGGCTGTGAACTTAGTCTTGTAGATCTTGATCTGGTCGTCACCGTAGAGCTCGCGGGCTTGGGGCTCAGTGAGCCCGACTGTGCCGACTTCTGGATGGGAGAAAACAACCGTGGGTATGTTCTCGTACGACAATTTAGATGAATTGAGCTCGGGGGGTCCGAAAACACGGTTGCCAAGTTGACGGCCGGCAGCGATGGCGACTAAATTTGTCAGTATTAATGCAGGCTTGATTTGTGGACTAGGAATAAGACATGTAACATACCCGGTGTCAGTTCAGCGCGGCCGGTGACATCTCCAAGAGCATAAATGCCATCCACGGAGGTATTCTGGTATTCATCTACCGTGATATGTCCATGGTCATTTAGTTTCACACCTGGGACATCCAAATTCAAGTCCTCAACCTCCGGCTGGCGGCCAATGGCCCATAGGACCTCATTGACTTCAATGGAGGATCCGTCGTGGTTGACAAGTTTAAGAAGTTTATCCTTGCCCTTTCCATCGCGGAGCAACTGCACTTCCTTAAAGCCAGAGTGGCGCTTGTGAATTTGTATACCAGATGCTTCATACCGTTCTGTCATCGTCTTCTGGATCATCGGGTCGAACTTCCGCAGGAACTCATCACCACGGACGAACATGTGCGTCTCAACGCCAACGGCGCCCATAACGCCCGCCAGTTCAACCGCGATGTACCCAGCTCCCACGACAGCAAGCTTGGGAGGCAATTCTTCGATCTCAAAGAAGCCATCACTAGTGATACCGTGCTTGGCGCCCTTGATGTCGGGAAGGATGGGTCGTCCACCGGTGGCAATCAAGATATGTGGTGCAGTGTACCGTGCCTTCTTGTTACCATCGAGGGTAATCTCAATGACCTTAGGTTCAACAAAGCTGGCTCTACCCTTCACCAGGTCGATGCCCTCCCGACCCCAATTTCGTTCATAAACACCATTCAATCGCTCAATCGTGGAGTCACGGATATTCTTGAAATGACGGTAGTTGATATTAACGTCAGGTGGGATGTCATATCCATAGTGCTGGCCAATGTGGAGAGCCTCGTTGATGGTTGCGAAGTTCCATGTCATTTTCTTCGGGACGCAGCTATTAATTACTCCGTCAGTGAGCTCGAAGCTGGAAGGAAAGATAAGGGGAAACTCCTACCCGACATTAACACAGGTACCTCCAGAACGGCCACTTTCCACGATCAAGGTCTTTGCACCGTACCAGCCGGCTGCTCTCCGAGCACTACCACTACCACCACTACCACCGCCTAGAACAATATAGTCATACTGATGGGTCTCGATGGGAGCCATTTTGCTTGCGTCTGCCGTAACAGAGGTCGATGAGAAGTGTCGGGAGAGAGATGTGAGGCGTGAGGATGAAGAATCCAGGATGACTTGCCTCGAGGGGTTGCTGATTGCTTTTCGGTGCGCAACAGTCGTAATGCCTTTTCCACCAACTAACTGGAGAGACAGAACAATGGGCGAACGAGCAGACAGGCGTTGCGAAAGCCGATTTCTGGAGGCGTGAGCAGAAAGAGGGCGGAGGGAAAGGCGAGGGAGCATCGAGATGGGTCAAATGGAGAGGGGCGAAGTAAGAAACTGAAATGACTCGATTGAATAAGCCGGCGGGGCGAAACTTCGGATGACGGTTCGACGAGGGGCTCGACTGCCAATTGTTGGGTGCGAGACCAGACTGAATCCCTGCTCAATATGCCCCGAAAAATAACGACTTAATTGGCATGACATAAATAGTCCATCAATGCACCGCACAAAAGACTCCATGTCATCATACCTGGACGGGATGGCCTAAGGTGAGTGGCACGTGTTTTAAGTGATTGATAAGCATGCTTACCAATCTCGACTTTCGCTTATTGGCCTTAAACAAATTGGGATGACGAGAATGGCATAATGGCATTTATTGTAACAATATTGTTTATCTAGCCTCACACCTTATTCATTTTAAATATACAGTTATTTGTGAATGTGGAAGTCCCAATCATGTATGGTGTGATCCAATGCACGTTCTTTCCGACCGTTCAGCCGTACCAGAAGAAGCTCACCGGCAGCAGACAGGAGAAAAAGATCATCATGGGAAGGCGCATCTCAGGCTCAAACTTGCCCCCTTCCTCCGCAGTGAGCTTCAAGACCACCTTATCACTGGTTGTCGCAACTATAGCTAGGCCAAGTGCTAGACCGATGCCAATATCCAGATAGACCAAGCCCGTAATTCCGCTGGAGAAATTGTATTGGCTTCTGAATACGCTCGGGATGGTCGTAAAATTGAGGAACAGCGGGCCATAAAGCACTATAATCCAATTAACAACTGGACCACAAGGGCAATGTCTTCAATGCGGATAGGAGTCTTGGTAAGTAACAATGTATATAGCGAGACAAGGGCCACGATAAGCGACTTAAAGAACATTAACATAGGCCGTCTGAGACCCTGCACGAAGAGTTTCCAGGCTGATACGTTGTCACGGTTTAACTCGTACGCACAACGTAGGCCCTTTCGACCAATCCATTTGATAACCGGGCGGTTTTCCATCGCATAAAGACAGACGCACATGTTGCTTGGTAGATGCACTCTATGGAGAGTGATATGGTGCAGACTGCGATTAACAAGACCCAGAATACCCAACACCAGTCGATGGCTTTGCCGATGAATCTACCAGCTATAGGGCCGACTATAGGTCCAATAAGGCGACCTATGGTCCAAATAGAGGTCGCCTTGCCACGCTGGGCAGCTGGGAAGAGATCCACAATGACACCTGCCCCAAAGTGAGACATCCTGAGCCGCCAATTCTAGCAAGTACTCGGAACACAATGAGGGTAGCGATATTTGGGGCGAGGGCGCATCTAATTTGCCAAACAACAAAGAACCAGTTGGCGAAGCTGAGCACGATGCGACGACCATAGAGCGCACTCATGGGAGCCAGTATTAGAGGACCGAACTAGAATGTCTATGTTAGCCGGCTCATTTGGCCTACTCTCCTGGCGATGGTTTGTGCGAAGAACAAGCCCGGTGTAACTCTCAGTGTATCCTACAGGAAAGATGCAAACACTGAAGGATAGCAGAGTGCTATCGTTGCCGTGCAAATCTTCCCCACGTAGCCCACCGCGGGAGCGAACATGCTCGACGCGAGGGGAGATACGAGAGTCAATGAGGCTTATGAGAGCCAGCAGGCCCCATTGTCTAGCGGACGAAAAGTTCTGCAGATTTGCAGGATCATCTAGTCCGTCCCTTCCTACGATTCCCTGGGAAAGATCCGTTTCAGGGAAGAACTGCGCGTTTGAAATAGGTGGATTGTTAACTTCGGCAAAGGAGAAATGGCCGGACTTGACATCACAGGACCCTGGCTTCTCTGACTCTTGAGTATTGGGTGGATGAGAAGCTTGCTGGTTCTCTACGTCGGCTATTGTTGTGCTGTCAACAAGGAATGTGGAGGGGTATCGAGAAATAAGAAGAGTTAACATTAGGACGAGGGGGCGTGCTATTATTATAGCTAAAGAAGACAAAGACTGCTAGAGGAAGCAGGCGTTTTCGGAAATGTCAGAGCCGATGTGTACATGTCGACGTACATACTTTTTTCTATTCAGGAACGGCTATTACATGCAAAAAAAAAAAAAAAAAAAAAAAAAAAAAAAAAAAAAAAAACCTACGGCAGCTAATCTACCAGAGGTCCGCTTGAAGATCGATCATCAGGCGGTCAAAAGAGCTGTGAATGGTGGGTCTCTCCGTAGTCATGAAGGGATCAACATCAATATGTGGAGGGAAAGATAAGGGGAAACAGTAAAGAGGTTAGGGCGGGGAGACAAAGATTAGACAAATAGTGGATAAGCGTGCGCAACAAGTTAAGTAGCATGTAGTTGTTATTTGTTCGACTATCCCCTTTCACTCTGTTACTCAATATATTGGGTCTTCAAGAAGGTCATAGAAACCACAGGCATGGTTGGATTATGCGTAGACAAGTCTAATGCTTTGACAGGCTACTTTCGAGCGATGCACTGATGTGGTTAAAGGTTTTCAGTAATAGTAGCATTTGTCACCAAGCACATATCCCAATAGCAAGCTAGTACTAGGTAAGGGTCTTGGCCAACGCATGCCTGTCTTTTCCACTCGAATCAAAACATTTCACCGTAACATCCTCCTCACAAGCAATACTCTGTATGGATCTGTATGGATATAAATACATCATAAATCTTTGCCCGCTAGGCTACATTAGGGTAGTAAAACTTTGATTGCCACCACAATTACACATAGGGGGTGGGGGTGACCTCCAGCCTAAATTGACATTAAGTTAATTAAAACCTTGTAAACCATAACTTTGTAATTTTCCATGAAAGATTAATACCATATACGCGCCATCCCTGAAATTTTTTCGGAACTCGGACGCACAGAACTTCCCCCCCTCCGAAATGGGGCCCATCACTTCCGAGAGAAAGAGAACAGAAGCAGAGCAAGGCGATCTAAACGAGACTAAAGACAGTCGAAGCGGACTAGGGCGCGGACTAAGATGCGGTCTCGGGGACGGAACGTAGGGAATACAGCGAATACAGCGGATACGGCGAATTCCAAGACTCCCCGTGATCCTGACAAAAGCCACAACCAGACATATCCAGATTCACTTGATCATTACTGCACTGGGCATTCGTAACCTAATGACACAATTCTAGGTTTCCAACCCATGTGGGGCAGGTTAAATATCCGTCGCCCCTCCACGTTACTACTTCTCAGGCACAACGTTCTCAAATAACCATGTCCACGATGACGGTAACAACGGAATCCACCCTCGAACCCAGCAGAGTGGTTCTCGCGTATGCGCCCCCTGCAACCCCCATCACATCACATCGCACTAATACCACACCCTGGTCGATGAATAAGTAAAAATGAAAATAAGCATGGCCACTGACTCGAAATAGATTTAACGGCGCGGTGGCTACAAGGGTGATCCCGCATGCCCATAGAGCTTTCGCATTCGAAGTTACGTTTAATCCAGCATTATGGCCAGAGTCTTTGAAGGGCCAGAAACCGCCCAAGCATTTTCATCCCCACCAAGAAGAGTACATTGAGGTCTTGGAGGGTCAGCTCTACGTGGAGGATGATAAACAGGAATATGGGTTGACTCCTAGCGACGGCGAGATTTGTATCCAACCTTGGGTGAACCACCGATTATACCCTTCTGCGTCGTACAATGGAACAATCAAGTTTTTGCTATCCGGCGAGGATACACCAGAACTGTTCCGGCTCGACACAATATTCTTCGAGAATTGGTATGGATATCAGGATGAGACGGTAGTGCTAGGGAAAGGCGTAGATTTGATCCAGGTGATGTCGGTATGTCTTTATCCTTCATCTTCTACCACCTCTTGACGTGGAGTTCTGAAGAGCTGACATGAGTTGGCAGATGTTTGATGCAGGTGGCTCCTATTTGTCCTTCCCTGAATGGGTGCCGTTTGGACGCACCTTGGCGATGACACTGGGCATTGTGGTTGGGAGATGGATCGGTGGACTATTGGGGTATCAACCGTATCATCGGAAATGGACATTCGATTGGGATCTAGCCTGCGAGAAAATGGGCAGATCGTGTTTCCAACGACGGTTTGTGGACAGGGGGAAGATGGACTAGTCTGATGGCAATCATTTCAGTATCTTGCATTCGAGCCACTGTACTTATAATTCATACGGACTTTATTAATCTGATATTCATGATTAGACGCCAACCGAAAGAGCAGTGTCATCAGCCGTAATTCCCGCCCACTCCAGGGTCTTCTTCCACAATCTCTGCTGTTTTTCCCAATCCAAACTCTCGGGTGAACTCGTACTCTTCTCCAAAAGAGTGAAGTATCCCGATTCGCCCGCATATGTTTCACTGACCGCCAACTCGGCCACATCCATACCGGCCTCCGACGCAGTACGCATTATCGGATCCACAAAACGCAACAGTGGCCGGAAAGGCCGGATGACGAATCTTGATAAGATCTGCAGTATGAATGGCGTGTTGACTTGTAGTGCGCGGGAGTCGCTCAGATTGCCAGGATTGATAGCGACCGCTGTGAGGTGTTTCAAATTCGGGTCCTAGCAGACACAGACATATAAGCAAACTATCTTGGTGAAACACACGGAGCATAATCTCCCCAAACAAGATAAAAAAACAACTTACCTTTTGAAGATACTCATTAAATGCATACATCCACATAACAATCACAAGTTTCGACACTGCATATCTCTGAAACCCATACCCCATATGATCACCCCCCTTATCAACTGGTGGTTTCACCAATACATCCAAGTCATCCGGGATAGTAGGCGTATACTTTTCCAGCCCATTTTTCCCAGGCCAGTGGGCATCACTAGCGAAAAACACCACTCGGCCTAAGCCAAGCCCACAATCATCGGCGGGGCCGAAAGAACCCACCAGTCGCAAAACCAGCGCCGCGTGGGCGACATGATTCACCTGTATGGTTTTTTCAAGGTCATCGGTGGTTTGCTCGGGCGCACTGACCAAATCCCAGCAATACGCGTTGCAGATGATGCTGACCAGAGGGGGTAAATGGCCTGTGGCGATTTCGGTTTCGAGAGAGCGAGCGAATTCATGCACGGGGGAGAGGTTGGCAAGGTCAAGGGCGCGAACCGAAGTTCGGTGCTGGAAGGGCGCGACTGCCTCACGCAAGGCATGTGTGTTTGGGTTGTCGTCGGAGGCGTCCCGGACCGTCAAGACGATCGTGTAGCTGGTTCTGCTTAACAAGTGCAGGACAGCAGGAAGGGCCAAGGAACCGTTGGCTCCTGTGATGAGGATTGTCCCAATTCTTTGTTCCTGTCCTTCCATGGCATGAAGAGAGAATGCTTAATGTAGGCTCAATCGATCGATCAAGGCAGTTAGCCTCCCGAAATAGGAATCGTTAGTTCGGGCCCACAATCCACCCAATCTTAAGTAACTAATGCGCACAATTCGAAAGTGGCCCTGCATGCAGGACACTATCAACACACAGATGGAACTAATGTTATATATTTAAATCCCTAGCGTCTGGCGGCAAATCTGCTACGTATGGAAAGTATTCGCATTCTCTGTACTGTACTGTACTGTACTTTAATTTCAACGGGATACACAGGTCACACTGTGGGGCACAGAAGCGCCAACCAAACACAACAAAAACATATCTTCTCCAAACAACCTAATAAGTACAATTATTGCACTCCCTTCTTTTCGTCCCATACGCGTATGGGTGCAGCTTGATATGGAAATATATGGATCCGAGCGCCTAGCGCCTGGGCACCTTGCGGGGTTGTTTCCCCTGACCGAGGCCGCCAGAGATTGCTGCGGGTTTGTCGTCGGATCCTGGACGAATCACTGTCCATTCATTTGCAGTTTATCCGTTCCTTCGAGTCTCACCAGGATTTGGCACGCTGGGGATCCCGAGGATATTCCCGTTTTCACGAACTGGTTAGTATCGTGGACACTAATTGTCTGAGGAGCTCCTTGACACCATTTCGAGACTGGCATCGATGCCTCGCCCGGAACAGAGATCCCTCCTGGTAGGGAAGCAATGTATCTCAAGCGTATCGGAAGAGTCCTGGGAAGGAAAGCCGACGATAATGCACAAGCTCAAGCATGCCGTGTCTCACAGCAGGGAACCCCGGGGGGAGTAGCTCAACTGAGCTCTTTCCAGGAGAGTTCTCGGACCTTGTGGATCACGCTCTGTGAAAACTATGAGGGCGAAGAGGAGGATCCAGTGCTAGACGAACAACTTCTTGTGCTGGAGATGATCTCCCGCATGCTACCCCAGTTACACTAATTATCATTCGAGGGAGGTCCTGTCCCTCTCAGCTTTCTAGGCCACGCTGCGCAGTTGCGTCGGTTCGAATTCACTGCTGCTATGTATGGGGCAGCCGGCCCCTCCGAGAGGACATCCTTCTTAGTCCGCCCCATTGGACACACTGATCCTACATCGGCCACCTGTCTCAACAGACTTCTTTAATGGGATGAATTGCGACGCTCTTCCTAATCACGTTGCCATAATGCCAGCCGTAATGGCTTGATTGAATCCACTGTGTGAGATCCATCTCTTGCATTATGCTGATGGAGTCGCACCGGAATTTGTGACGGCGTCAATGCTGCGTGCAATCCAGTCCTACGCGGCTACACTGGAGACGTTTCGTATGGATTTACGATGACGTTGTGGATGAGAAGGCAGCGAAGGAACTCAAAGACCTTTTGTCTGAGCTAGTGCAACTGAAAAGCCTTGATTTGGATCTCATGTTGCCCGAACAGATGGAAGGTCACTACGACTTGGGGAAAGTGGTAACAAGCACAGTGCATAAATCCAATATAAGAATTGTTTATTAGCCCTAGGAGAGTACAGTCAGAGAACAATATTTATGTGACATCATCCAGCTAAATGGCTATGCCACTTTGAATAAACAAGCACAGAAACTGAGGGCCGCATAAACAGGAGCCATTTAGACATTGCACTGGTTACTCTTAGAGGCTTGCCAACATGCAGCTGTCTTGAGAGACCTTCCTGATGTTTTTCATTCTCGGTTTTCTCCCTTGTCTTGTCCATGCTAGCCATGCATATTGGGAAACTGCACAGAAGCCTCATCTCTATGCCGTTCCTTTTGGCCTCCAAAACAACATCTTGACAACCTGGCCTGCCATGGCCGTCGAATATTGCTGCAAGACGGAAGAGACAGGGCGGAAAATCGAACCCTATATCTAGGCCGCCATAAACCTGTGGTATGCACCATCTCTGCCCGAGGCCTTTCGCTTCAAACACATCCGTGACCGCTCCGAGTGCCGGAGGAAACACAAGGATGCGCTTCTGGTTGAGTACAACCCAACTGCGGCCAATTTTCAAAAGTACGTTGGAAAGGTCGTACATCCGGAAACGGACGGGACAACTGCCGTCTTGAGGGATCATGGCGACATAGTCGCCCATGAGATCGGTCATGTCTTCGGCCTCTACCATGAACATCAAAGTCACGTTTTCTGGAGCAGCACACTGGGAGAGCCCATCTCAACTGCCATAATCTTAAGGGCTTTCAGCAGGGTATTCACTATCTGATGGATGAAGAGGTTTGTGGCCCGAATGGTGTCTGTGTCAACCAAGCAGTTACCAGCGCGTATGGGTTCACTGCTTCTGAATTTCTTCTAGTGCATCTAACCACGCGTTTTATGAGACGAGAACCAGCGCGGGCTCCCATCGAGGCGGATGTGGACTGGAAGTCCCTCATGCTGTACGCCAGAAGCTCTGGATTGAAAATATCAATACCCCCAGCATGGTTGACGTCTAGGCCCTGATTCAGCTGTATAAGGCTGCGGACGAAAGACGTCTAACGATGTTGTACCATGGTCCCCTGTGATGGTTTGGTTGTCACTGCGCTAGTAGAGATAAAATCACTAGACCACATAAAAAGGTACAAGATGACTGACCTTCGATCTGTCGTATTTAGCGCCCTATATAACAGCGAAGGTCTTAGTCTGAGCACCATACTGGGTTCAACCCGTGATGCCCCCCAAGTGAATACCATAGACGATTCCAGATACTGGCCAACTATGCACACTGCCATATGGATTAGTACTTATGAACTATGTGTTGTTGTTGTTGTTGCTGTTGCTGTTGGTGGCAATTATTGTTAGCAGATAGTGAACCCATATTGCTAGTCCAACGCTATAAATAAGTCATTCAGTCAATCATATTCTCATAAATTTCTTGTCCTATAAAAATTTACGGCTCTTCCGTAGTAGTCTTTATGGTCTAATACCATAGTGATCAAATTAGTGGCTTATCTGTTGTGCCATGCTCCCGTAGAAAAACTGGCAAATTAAGTAAAGTTGAACACGAAGATGTGACATACGCCTATAGCAGAAACAGAAAAAGCCTTTCAAATCCCAAAATCCAACATACGGTGTATATTATGGTATCCACTACCCTCACCCTGGGCGTCTTCAACAAGAGCAGAGGCCTTACTTGAAGAATTCCTCAACTCCTCCTCGTTCAGCACAACAACATCATATCCACCCGCCGCCTCCGGCCTGCTGGATCATGCTCCTGCTGAACCGCTTTACCCTTGTCTCCATTTACCCTAGCGGAGAGATCAGTTCACTCTTTCCCCTGTGCCTGACTCCTCCACGCCTGGCGTCTGGACTTCTCCTTCTCTGTCCTTGTCTTTTGCCCGTGCGCTCTGCGGATCAACCAGTTGTGATACTCCCTACCGTCTACTTCCAACTCCTTCTGCAACACTCTTCTTGCCGCTTCACATCCAACCACGGGCAGTCGATCCAACGACGATGGGACTCCTTGCCGTAAGAGTTTCGAATCCAACAGTCCTACTTGCACCAACACACTGAGTACAGCTTCCCCACGCGCAGAGTCACTATGCTCGCGAGGACCATCTCAGCCGGTTTGTTTGTTGGTGGAACACCGAGCAACATCCAGGGGATCTTATGGGTATGTTCGAAGGTAGTGTACTACCCACCCACGACATGGTCCGCTCCCTCAGTCCTCGAAATCAGACGCAGACGCATTGATGGGGGCAGCTTCGCAGGAAAAGATTGTCGTAGAATCGTTGCAGTCATGAGTATCGACGCCCCCGCTAACTGTGGTATGTCAGGGTGGGATTGAGATGGTTTACGTACAATATCATTGTACCAGACAAATTCATTGAAAAGAATATGAGCTGGACATGGATATCGAAGGGCTGCTCCGAAGATGGCCAGCCAAGACATGTAATGGCTTCCATGGAACCTAAACCCTACTGCATGAGGACACTCAGCACGACCAACCTCCGTCAACTTTGAGCCCTCAAACATATCAAGTAGCTGGTCCCTTTCTCTCCGTCCAGTACCACACTTAATATGCTTCCTTCCTCCTCAGCCCCATCAGACCCGTCAGGCACGAAGATCGCCTCACCAGGAGTGTGCGGCTGTGGCTCGTGGCCCCAATATACGACCTTTTTGTTCTCTATGTCGACTTTGACCAGTCCATCCATGAAAAATTGTAGCCCCGGTTGGTAACCCCATATTCATACCTTTGTCTCTTGGTATGGTACCTCGGGTTTATTGTAGGCGGCTCCCCACTAAGGAGTTTAGTCATGGTCTTTGCGGTCAGTACGTCCTTATTCTTCCCTTGCTTCGCAACTCCGGGGAGCTTATGCCTGGCCAAGCTATGGGTATCGTTTGCATCTTTTTTTAGCCTGGAACCGGGGCTGCTGATATGTCGTAGTAAAATAGTCGAATGTTGCTGTTATCCTTATTCTGAACTTTTGTCACAAAATATATTTACAGTATTGGAGACGCCGCTATTTTCCTGTGAGGCATTCACTGTGTGAAAGCTCAAGAAGGCAGGACAGTGAAAAGTAGCCACATGTCCCCGACCTCCCTTTCGGTCAACGACATACCATTTTGCCTTTGCCTGAGGATTGAAGCTGATGGCATTCTCCAGATTTCTCTCCCAGAGAATGGAGGTAGGCCGGCAAAATAAGCGAGCCAGCGGCAAAGAATTATATAGTCATCCGTTCCCGGACCTGAGATAGCTGCCAGAATATCTGTCTTGGATGCCTTGGTTGATGTTCTGAAGAGGGGTATGTAGGCCATGGCCCGAGTCCAAGTTGTAGTTGAACAAGTCTCTGGTAATGGGATCGTACTGTGCGCAAGTCAGTGGTCCCTAATCCGAGACATTAGCAATACTTTTAGAGAAAGAGAGCCACCTAAATTTAGCATAATCCACTGACCTTGAGATTAGGATGTAGCACACTCTGGTCCGTGACTCCCACTGGCTCCAGAGTCTCCATAACGGCACACTAAGCTTGATTGACATCTAAAAGAGATATTAAGACCCCCTTAGGCATACCTGGCATTTGTTCGTCACCGTGACTCCGATATTCTACAACTGTGCGTGGCTGCGATCTGGAGTCACAGGGCGAATGACGTATTTAACTTTTTCGAAAACCGACATGCATGGATCTCTCTTCTGTCCAGAAGTGGCCAAGTCATCGATAGTACCGGCTTTGCGCGCGCCTTCTTCAGCATTTCGTCGACTTGTATTCGAGAGTTGTAGTACACTCGACAGCCAGTATCACCTTTAGCAACCAGCTGGAAATGGTGCAGTGGGTGAATCAGTCGAACCAGTGATTGCGAGAATATTCCCCCTTTTCGGTATCTACTTTATACTGGTCTGGTCCTGTGCGGTACAGAGTCCCTGCCACGTGTGGTAGAAATGTTCCTATGATCTGAAGTTCGACCAGAGAGCGCGTTTCCTCACTTGCCTGAAACTAGACTAAAATTAGGGGTCTTGCTTGTAACGAACTGGTGCGTTGGGCGGGGTCGAACGGGTCACAGCACCTACTCCGGCCTCATTTGGCCAATGTTTGAGCTGCATCTCGGAGTGGGCTGACATTTGGGCTTGGCTCATATTGAAATAATATTCTGCGTGGTAAGTTCGGTTTGTAGCAGTGTAGATAAATCTGAGAAAAGAAACATAGAACAATGAACAGATATATAGGGTCGCGAATATACTGATTACCTAAATTATTGATTCTGGTATACTCTCCTGCTTGATGTGGCTATATACTATAAGCGCCGGGGCGTATATAATTATCGAACCATCCGTTAATCATGAGTCCGGATCGAATGGCTTGACTAAAATCTTAGGTGGCTTAGGTCTGTGTGCATTAATGGATATCCAAAAATCTGCGAGGAAATGATAGAAACAAAATACATTCATTTTGAAGAGTTTCATGTGAGATTTGACGAATTGGTTGGTCCATAAGGAGAATTTTACTGATACAGAATACACCGAAGACCACGTTGGAACATGCCGAGCTGGGATGGTCTAAAAATGTATCTGTCTAAGCTCTTTTCCAAGACTATGGAACTCCTGAAGAAGTTGATAGGACGGAAATTGAATGCCTCACAGAGGCGCAGCGTTGGAAGAATATTGCCTTTCCCTTTGTGATTCATCTTGTAGAGAGAAGAGACCACCTACAAAGGACCTGGTAGGCATCAACAATTCTAACTAAGTAGTTGAATTGATATCTGCATCTAGTATGTCAATGGCATGACTCCTTGGGTATAACTGGCTGTGCTGAATTTAATTACTATGTAACCTGATATGAAAAAGTACTTCATTGCGTGAGAAGAATGATAGTCTAAATCGACACACATGCCTGAACAGGGTACACCACAGAGCAGAGTCCCTATGCGGCGTCCGTTTGGGGCCAGGGCTAATATTTTGAACTATTCGTTACTACTCTCGTAAGCCCATCGCAAGAAAACTTCAATTGGAGTTAAAAGTCTTCTGGTGCCTTTCTTTCACTTCAGCTGGCCCCGCCCCGCTAATCAATGTACAACGTTCCATACACATTTTGTTGATGTACAGAAATGATCAAATTCTGAAAATTGGGTATATGTAGTAACATGGTGAAATTGTCGTAGGCTAAGCCTACAAATATAAGCATAAACAAAATGACACAGAACGAACGGTAAGCTAATATATTACAATCTACTGAAGCATTCAACCGCATCTCAGATCTACCCAGGGTACGCAGAGGCATAGTCCAAGTAACTTTCCTCCCAAGCATGAGCTGCAAACTTCTGGACGAATATGAACTCAGACCTGAACGAAGACCGCAGCCGCCACAATACCAGTCCACAACAGCGAATTCATTCCAGAGCGCACTGCAGCGTCGGTCTGGGTAGGGCTGCTAGCACTGGTGGTGCTGCTGCCAGAGGCACTGCTCTTGTCACTGGTCGCACTTGCAGTCGTACTGCTGGTCACCTTAGCATCTGTCGATTGAGCCGTAATAATGTGGGTGGAATTGGAGGCGGTCCAGGTGAAAGTGGCGCTGACGGGAGAGGTGATGGAACCACCAGTGGCGGACAGGCTCTCAGTGCCATTCTTGATCGGCTGGCCGGGCTTATAGTAGGTATCTAGCTTGGCGTATCCAAACTCCTTCGCACAGTCAATCTTCTCCATGGTCTTGGCGCAAGTATTCCATGTGTCATCTTGAAGATCGCTCATATCAAGGCCAAGTTGAGCGGGGTTAGTATTAGGGCAAATGTCAGGCAAGCTACCAAAAAACAAAGTCAGCATCAGGTCAGAGTAGGTCAGAGCAAAAGAGGGGGAGGAAAGAAGTATAAAATGAAAAATAAAATGATTAAAAGACAGCCTTCAGGGGTGGGCAACGCAACTGACCTGGAGAGCGTGACACTATAGCCACAGCAAACACAAGCGTGTGACTTATCCTGATCGGTCTCATCCCTGCATTTCGACATGACGATTTGAGAGGCTCCATACATGGCCTGCTCGACCTTGGCAATATTGCACGAGCATCCACCGGGGGCCTTATCTGGGGGAGGCCAAAAAGGGATACCATCCAACTTGGCTGTGGGACAGCCTTCCAAATATTTTCCGACGGTGAGTTGATACTCGCAGCTGTAGACCTTTTGACATGACGGTCAGTACTCAACTCAACCCAAGCCAGTGTATGAAGTGGCTGGCACACGTACTTGGTTCCAGCAAGAGCTAGCGGCACAGTCAATTTGAGCCTGACCCCTGACACAGGCGCATTGATTCAGACAATCGGGGTTGTCCACGGTTTTACCATTCTCGTGCTTGTCGCATTTCGTCTTGACGCAATCGTTGTAGGCGGATTTGGCTTTGTCATAGCAAGTCTGGAGGCCGGAGGCATCCGCGCATTTGTCCGCATCGAACTCACCGACCTTGGCGGCCAGCGCATTGGCGGCCAGAAGACCGAGAAGATAGGTTTGAAGATGCATGATGGTTCAGACCAGGCGTGGTGTGACGCAATATGATTGTCGCTACAGAAGGATTGGAAGAGAGGAGAGGAAAGATATTATGCCGATGAGACAGCGGCGGATATTATAAGAAGGGAAACCCTTGGGATTAACCATGAGCAGGCATGCTGGGCTTTTGTCTGAGGCTGAGATCCCTGTTGGCCAATTGAGCGCCCATAATGTTGAACCGTTCCGGGGCCAAAAGGACTAGAGGAGGCTTGGCCCCCTGCGCTAAGCCCGTGTTGGATGCCGGATGGGGCCCTGGCCCCTGTTTGAGCAGCCACCTCGGCCAACAGTACGCCCAGTGTTGGGCTTGCCATGCTCCAATTGGACCGCCCTAGTGGCCTTGGCTCAGCCCTCAACGGTGACTGTTTGGCTCCGGACCTCCGGGTGATGGGCTGTCCATCACAAATTACAGGAAGGACTTGGGGGCCATTCCGTGTGGTTTCGCCCCCAAAACCACACCAGGAGACGCAGCATATCGAAGCATTAGATTACTAAACTTCCCCCTAATGCAGCAGTCATCCCAGTGTCTCAGAACTCCATTTCATACATAAACCTGTCAAACCTATCACTGCCCTGAGAGCTCGACCAATCCCGACTAGATAAAGTCTCATTGCATGCCTCTCTCTTTTGCTCGCAGAATGCGTCATCAGCTGCATTGGAAGGAGTGATGAATGAACAACCATTTCACTTTGTTTTTCTTGGGCAGAACAAAGAACATAACAACTTATGCGACCCATCTGACCCACAACCCTGTAACAGCCCCACGGGTAAGCGCATAACGGTACTCCGTAAGTGGAATATACCAAGGTTCCCTACTTGGTACTCCGTAGATATATCACTCGGTGATTTAGTGTGACAAGTATGTAGACCCCGTAAGCCAGCGAACCCGCCTCTACTACCTCTTGCAGGCGCTTCCAAAATCGCATGCTAATGGATTACACAGTAGAGACAATTTCGTCCGTCTTAGTTTAATTTTAAGGCATACTCGGTGGCACAGGCCTCCGAGTCTGTAGTGTCTTGAAGGTATTCAGAGTTTCCTAGGATCAAAACGTGTGGGCAATCTGCTTGTAATTAAAATTGAAGCATGCCTAGAGAGTCTGAGGGCCAGATGTGATCTATACACAGTGCCCTGCCAGAGAAACCCGGCTCGGGTGCAATGTCCAGTTAGGAGTGGCATTGATTCTGATATCCCTGTCAGTAGCCAAACAGGGGACTCAGCCATCGATGTCATCGAATCAAAGAGTTTGTACGCGGCACATGTTCGAAACGCTTGCTGCCAGCAACCCAACAGGGCTATCTAATCACTAATCCATTGAGGCGGATTTAAGGGGACGCTGAAGTGACGTGGCAACAAGCATTTCCTGGCCATTTCCATATATACCGTGAAGATTAAACGAGCATACAGAGCAACACAAGTGGCGCATTCCTTCAATAGTATATAGTCGTATAATAATGGTTAATGATCCTTATCTACCGTTCTAGTTCCGGGCTTGTTCAGCCAGAGCAAATTTTTCGCCCGCCAAGAAGTTCTGCCATGAACCCCCGGCTTGGAGAGCGCTCTAGTGGGTTTGGAGGCTATGTATAGCGTCTAAGTGCCTAAAATACTATGTAATTGGTCTTTCTGGCCCACAAGGACTCCCTAGAGCCGTCGGGTGATTGCCATAGCTTATCGTGGAAGGCTGCTCCGCCCAGTCCCCTAATGAGCACAGCTAGATCATAGTTTGTGGCTTCTACATCTCTATCCCATGGACCTACTGATTGAACTCACGAATGGTCTAAATTTAGACCGCCTGTCTCCGACTGCATCACAGAACTGAGCCCTCTTTCTCTAAGCGAGGTATTGGCTAGCAAACCCATGAACTTTGTTAAGGTTGGGACTCAGCCTGGTTTGAGCTTGAACCGCTAGGAAATAAATCCCCAGTAAATAAATCATGACTCACATTTACTATTCTTGGTGGGAATCATGTGCAATTTGCAAGGTGACAAAGAGAGGAGATAAACAACCAAGTACACTAGGGACATAGAAGTAGATAATTAGGAGGCAAAAGTAACAGGAAATAGAGACCGCTATTTTAGTTCTCATTCACACTATGCTTAATATTTACCAGGTCAATCTAGACTATTGCTTACCCCCTTTCAAGAGATGGCATACGACCCCGGGGATAAAGGGCTTGGTCCTGTTTGACTTCTCTGGCCTATCGTCCCAGTTGTCCCCGGTGTCCCTGTTAGCCCTATTCGCCCTCGAAGGCCCACATCATATGTCCCTTCCCTCTTTCTTTTCGTTCTTCAACGATTTCTTTCTATTATATGTGGCCTATTCTATAGGTTTATGTTCAGCCCTTGACACCGGGTTCTATATTTTAGTTTAGTTACTTATACTGTGATGTGACTCACGGCGGGAAGAAGGCAGTAAGCTCATCGAACAGCTTCACGCAACCAGTTGCCTAATATAGGGAACGATATATAATTGATATCCTAGACCACAATAACTACCATACTTCCTTGGATGGTTGACTCGCTTGCTAGAATACAGGGAAGGGGTTAAGTACTTGGGCGTGTGAACCCCACACATTAGGTAACTACCTAGGATGCAGATCATTATCATACTTCATTTTTTCTGCACCAATAATGCAGAAGGGATAGGATCTGTTCGACATCAAGATACTTTATAGTACGGTGTAGAGCGGAGCCATTCGAGGAATTGTAAATTACAATGATTCTATGACTAGCCACAAATATCTAGAATAAGAAGTAAAGTCGGCCTTAAATAGCAATAGTCCCGGTTTTATCTAACATACAAAGCCAGTAAACATGAGAACCGAAACTTGTAAAAATACAATAATATAAAACAAATAAAGATCTAAAATATGAGGGCATACCTTCGGTTTGCTGATTTCCAAAAATGATCAAACTCCCAATATGTAGAACTCAATATCCGTCCTCGGCAGAGCAAAATTATGTAAGGTACTCGAGATCAGAAAACCAGCCTCTCACTCGTCACTCTTCCCTTTGCCTTCGCCTCTCACATCTATGAGTAAAAAGTGTTAGTGACTGACATTATCTCCCTGCCCCAATTCTCAATTTAGCTTCGCATCCATCGACCCTATACACTCCTTCTCTAAGGAGTCCACTGTGTTAGTGGGTTTAGGAGCTGACGGACTGGGGTTGGGGTAGTCTGGGTGCTGCTTTCCCAGACACATCCAGGTTGGGCACTAGGTTTTTCAGGAGCCTATCACCCATGGATCGTAACGTGTCAAAATCAGTGATGTAGTTCTCGCCCAGAGCACTGCTCGGGAGAACTGCATCCTCGCCCGTGAAAAGGGTGTCTTAAATAATTAGCCTCTTTACGGAATCAAAATTATGCACAGGACCAGCTTGCTTATAGGTGACATCTGCGGCTGCGTGGCCTTTGTTGCCATCTGGATCGCTGTCTGGGAAACTTGCCGCAGCCACAAACCAGGATGCTTCCCGGTCACCTGGGGAACGTCACAATTTGAGTCTCCCAGGATTTCGTAGAATACCTTTCCGCCACTATATTCAACAGTTAGCAGTCACTGCATTATCTATTATAGATGTAAAGTATTGTGACGTACCAAATAACGGCGGGGGTATTGTTTTCCCGGATGTCATCTTTATTTGCCAACATAAAATCGTCGGGGATGCCAATAAAGGGACTTTGTAAGCAGATAAAGCATCCAAGTTAGTATTGGCTGGCCATCCGAATGCTCTTAGATAGAGACTATTAGAGGCAGAGAATAAGTTACAATGTAGAGTGACAGACACCTTGCAGCCGTGATCGAGTCCATCACAATCAATGTCCACATCATCGACCCACATAATAGCGGTAACCTATTTAATAAAAGGTCGCTAACGACTCATTTAAACCACTATCTGGAACTTGCATATCACCTTGCCAAATGATGCCTAATTATTGTGTATAATTGCCTCTGTTGAACATCATCACTGCTGACTGGATTGTAGCAACAGCGTTTGTTGTCGCAACAGCAAAATGACTGGACTGAGGGCCAACGTAGACAGCAGCGGCGGCTGCTTTGCCCTGAAATAGACTCAAAATTGCCAACGAGGAAGATATATGAAAAGAAAATGACTTATTGTGGATTGCTCTTCCAAGGTGTAATATTCAAATGGCCGCATGGCAAAGCACAGGATCTAGTAAAAGTGAAAGTAAAAGTCAGAGTTGAAATTCCAACTCGCGAGTTGGGCAGCCTTATTTAAAGGAGGCAGGATTATGGAATGATGACCAGTGTCAGTAGTCAAGGTATGGTCATAAGCTTCATAAGTGCATCTCCATTATTTGACAACTACATGGTGAGTGGTCCAACATTAGGTCATATTTAGAGCGGATTTAAAGGCGTTGAAGTAGAAATGATGGCGGAATTACAATGTCGGCCTGAACTCTACTTAACATATCTTGTAGTAATTTGGAGTAGTCGTTGGATCTCAGCCCTACTGGGCAGCGTCGGCCGAGACTGCCGATCTTGGCCAAACGCCGAGCGAAAGCTTGGCATCTTGTTCCAGCCGATCCCACCCTCAGTCTTTTCCTCTCTGTCATTCCATCCATCTATCTGTCCGCCACAGCAGTAGTAGCCATTAATTCTACGGGAGCTTCATCAAGGATCCGTACTACCCGCTGTAATCCAGGCCTCATATCTATTATCAGTCCCTTCTCCAGCGACCATGCCATCGGACTCCAATTCCGCATTTCAGTCTCGGTTGCCCAGCAAAGTTCTGGAGGAACTGGGGCTGCTATCGGTATGGCAATCTTCACGCGATGTAAAATTGCTTTGCCTGCAGCGTTTTGTACGACTTTTTGCATACGGAGGATCCACACTTATTCTCGCCTCTTACTTGTCAGAACTGGGCATTTCGGATGCTCGAATCGGTCTGTTTATGACTCTGACGCTGGTCGGAGACGTGATCATCAGCTTTTTCCTCACTCTTTTTGCTGATACAATGGGTCGAAAGGCTGTACTGGCACTGGGGTCACTCTTGATGGCCGGCAGTGGGATAATCTTTGGGCTCTGGGAAAATTTCTGGATCCTTCTCGCCGCTGCGGTGTTAGGAGTCATCAGTCCTAGGTATGTAATTCTCCTATCCCCCTCTAGTGTACAAATGTGTCTCCGTACTGATCTTTTTTGCAGCGGGAATGAAATTGGACCCTTTAGAGCTGTTGAGGAATCCACATTGGCTCACCTCACTCCTCATGAACTGCTAGGAGACATCTTTGCCTGGTATTCTCTGATCGGCACTGCTGGCACAGCTCTAGGAATGATGGCATGCGGGTGGGCAATCAACCTATTGCAAACTACCAAAGGGTGGCAGTTCGTCCCCGCATGTCGGGTGATTTTCTTTGCATATGGGGCCATTGGCGCGATAAAATTTCTTTTGACCGTCGCCTTGAGTAAAAACATTGAAGTGGAGGACAAAACAAAGCCGCAAGAACAGTCCCGCGAAGGCGACGAAACGCAGCCTCTTTTGGGTGACAGGAGAATCCAGGGGAACTCTCCACGGAAATCTTTTTTGGCCTTCCTCGGAGGCAGGGAGCTTGTATCGTTGGTTATCCGGCTCTTCATTCTGTTCGGTCTCGACTCTTTTGCCTCAGGGCTGGCCTCCTTGTATGCCTCCCCTTCACTTGATGACTCTGTATCCCGGGATAGAGATATAGGTGTTGACAGCTTCTAGGTCGTGGATGACTTATTTCTTCAAGCGTAAATTTTCTCTCGCCGAGGGAACACTTGGGTCCATCTTCTTTACTACTAGCATCATCTCTGCCGCCTCGATGTTAGTCGCTTCATCAATCGCCAAACGCTTTGGCAATGTTAAGGTGAGACTAGGAACTTTTTATTCTTCATTTTTCGTCTGTCAACCCTAACTAATCGACCCTCCCAACAGACAATGGTCTTCACTCACCTTCCCTCCGCCCTCTGTCTCGCTTTCATCCCAGTTCCCTCGCTATTGCCTCTCGCGCTGACGTTCTTGGTCCTTCGTGCATGCTCCCAGAGCATGGATGTGGCACCTCGCGCGGCTTTCCTCGCCATGGCCCTGCCATCTGATAAGCGCACCGCAATCATGGGCTCCATCAACGTCGTGAAAACCTTCAGTCAGAGCTTGGGTCCACTACTCACTGGCATTCTCGCCAATTACGGTCTGTTCGGGCTCTCGTTTACCATCGCGGGTATCCTCAAGTGTATCTACGATATCGGTATTCTTCTCAGTTTTGCGGAGACGGAGCCTGCACGTCGAGCGGTATCTACCCAGCATGAGGAAGATGCCTAGAGTCTTACAAACATAGTGGAATAAAACAACTAGTGCAGTGCGATAAATATGAAGATAGATGCTTATTTGCATAGATATTATTGTTGCAGGTTAGTGTTATATTCTAGTATATAGATCTCTATGGCATCGATAGAATGATTAGAACTATTAGTATTAGAATAACAAGCTACGTATAAAGTTGAACCAAGCAAGGTGAAAATGATATTTAAATTATTTCAAGTGCTGGCCCTCAAAAGATCCGAGAATAAACTATCCGGTTACTTATTGCGCCTCAAAATCTTACCAAGAGCCATGTGAGGGACCTCCTTCGTCAGCCCATTTCGCTTACCAACACTATCAATTTTGCTTTCGAGTTATTGAATCCTGGCCTCATCACATTTTTTGTAGAGTCTTTCCAGATCCAGAAGATGGAATGCCTTTCTATTTATTGGATCGGCCAATAAATCATGTGTTGTAGATTGTCGACTCCAGTGACTTTCCTTTCGAATATGAACACCCACTGGAGATCACAACCAAAGGCCATCACCTTTACACTTTCGCCGGCCCAGGTGGAAGGAAAGTTCAGCAGGTTCCAAGAGGCCAAGTTAGCAATTTTGATATGCGATATTTTAACGGCTCCCACCGAGCTTTTTGACCATGTTAAAAGAACAACTGTTCCAATTTCATGTATTGTTTCTTGGAAATTCAGAGCACCTACTTATGACCACTTTAGGGGCTGAGAAGTGTGTGAGCTCTCTGGTTAATTCTTTACAAACTTCAACCTTGGAGCAAATCTTGCTGTGGATCAGTTCCGTATCCTGGAGTATTTGTCTGACTGTTTGAGTGCGTAACGAGCACGCGTTGAAAGACTCAACCAGTCCATTAACAATTTTGGGAAGATGTAAGGCGGCGAATTGAGGAAAGACGCCGCAGAGGCGACAATAGAGATTGAATTGCTGATTATTTTTTTCGCCGCACGTCAGGTGCCAACGCTTCTTTTATGGACCAAAAATCCAACGATTTCCTAGGCGTCCTAGCTGCAGCAGGATCGGGACCCACTGCAGCATCTGTATTAACATTGATCATGTGCTTGAGAGCCCCATGTAAAAAAAAAAAGCTCAGGTTGAAATTGACAGTAGTTGCGGGCCCGACAGGTTAGGTGTTGGATGAAAATTTATAAACTCATAGCTAACCGTGTCACAATGCCCATTTCTAGATGGCAAGTTAGTTGTATTTATTCCCTTAGTCTTTCCACGCCGTGTCAGGCAAGACGATTGGTACGAAAACATGCCGGTCCCAAAGGATTCTATGATTGCTATTCCGACTTGAGCCCTACAATACAGTGAATTCTGAGGCTGTAAGGAACCCGAATGCTACAACCCAGACCACTTTGTCAACCATCCCCTCCTAGCCCCAGGCTATGCAGGAACAACAGACTACATGAACAGAGGTATGTTTTATTTTTATTTTATACTTGTGTAGTACGCTTTAACTAACGTCGCAGAAGATCATTATGTCTACGGAGCTGGCCGCCGTATCTGCGCTGTGGCGCATAACGGGAGCTCTATTATCGGCCTCTGAAATTGCGCCGGCAAGGAGCCACAAGAATAGAGAGGAAGAACAGCCAAATTTAGACGCGTTTCATGAAAGCCATATAACATACTCAGTGCTGTACAAAGTTGACTTTAATGTCGGAAGCAAGATGCATGCGGAAACTAAAATACGGGCTGTTGAGAACGCTGATTATTTCTGCTACTGTTTGGAGAAGGATAACGATATATTTCTGAGCAGATAGCACTACTAGGCTGGCTACTACTATTTTTGGGATCTGTCCATTAGCTCGACCAATTGAATAACCTGGAGCAGTTCTTTGATATGAGCAAGTATCACCGAACTCATGTGTCCATCAGTTCCCAGCACCAAGTTCTGCTAATACGGAGTTGCTACTATTTCCGGTACTTCTGGCTGCGAAATAGGACAATACCTTATCTATCCACACCGCGGCCAGGGCGAAACTGCAATCCATCGGCATAATTGTGCATTATATATCTGCTAATGATGCAATAGTATACCTATTCTCTTGGCAAGGTCAGAACCTTAGCTCTGAAATTGGCCTAGGCCAAACTGAGGACAGGGCCGTCTGGTATCATTTGTCTGTCGCAGTATTGCCATCCGATATCTAAGGCTAGGTAAGGCTAAATCGATCATGTAAAGTAGGCCTTATGGGGAACACGAACTGGCTCGTTTCCGCGCTGATTAAATTCTTTAGCACTCTGTACCGGATGTATCATTTAGAGTACTCTGTAGACTTCCCTTTACAAATGTGACGACAGCAGCGCTCGGACGGACTGAGTCAAGGAACATGCGGAGTGATTGTAACTAAATAGTCAACTATCATATCATTGATTGGAATTATGTACTTTAATGGAGCAATCTAGACTATATGTTCGTAGGTGCTGGTAGCTTCCTTTGGACGCCATGGATGGTATGCAAGATGACGAATCGGGCTATTCGCATGCACACTTCCATCTCTTCAAGGAAATAATAGAATCTTCGAGAATGTTTCTAGAACCTGACCACACACTAACCCAACCTTCTCTGGTCGCTGCCCCTCATCTCTCGGTCTCCGGCGGGGGTATACTGCTGCTGGGTTGGGGGCCATTTCTTCCTCCCATCCCACCTATCTTGGCCTATATTGTAACCCACAAGGTAGCCCCCGGTCCGCGGAGGGCCGGTTGCGTGATCAGAGCTTTATATTCATCATTATTCGATTTCAGCGACTGTAAGCCGTTCATTTCTCGTACTCCAAGAAAACTAATGTACCGAGTAGCGCCACACGCGATAGCAATACGTATCACATTACCTATACTATTCCCTGTCCGGTTTTGGTATAGATAATGACTTGGAGATCTTATGCTAGCTCCACTACTCCCTACCCTGTTAGAGCTTGCTAGTTCAGGCAATATTAAGCCAAGTCTTATGCTGAAAAAAAGGAACAAGAAGGGAAGGTTTATGCAGGCAGGTACGTACATGACAGTGGAAAGACAGGTTTCAGACTCGATCCAACCCAAAGAATGCAGTAACATGCTGATACATGACTTATTTGGAGCCAATACCTTGGGTCGGCCAGGTTTAGCATATTCAGCAATCAGATTCCGTACCTCTTTGTCTCTGATGTACTTCGGATCTTTTCGTATGTCCTAGAAACCAGTTTAGATGTCTTGCCATTGCGTAGAGTAATAGTAAAAGAAGATGCTTAATATACAGCAGATATGACCTATCCAGTAGAGCCACAGGGTGTATATTGATTGGGGAAATTGCGTGGAACAAGAAGGTGGACAACAAGGTGGACTGATGCGAGGGGGGAAACGATAATCATAATAGTGTGGAGAGAGTAGACATGAAAACAAGGGAACTAACATATTCCACATGTATTTCCTCGGAGTTGCGTCGTCCCATATCGTCACATCCCAAAAATATGGGAGCCAGCACACCTCAGCCTACTCCACCGATGATCTCCATTACAAGATCGGATGTGGGGATTACTCAAACGGGGGTGGACATGGATTGACAGAGAGGGCACTTGTACTGATGACAGACCCACCATGACGCAAGACAGGATGTGTGAAACGTATGATTGCAGCGCAGGAGGACGAGGAGATTACCGGGGTGGCAGGTGGAGCTAGAGGATGATCTGGAAAGGGGTGATAGATTTCGACCGTATTCGATGGAGTTTGAGGAGGGAATGTGAGCGGGCTCTGGAGAAGGAAGAGTGTCGTGCGAGGGCGACGCTAACAAGTTCGAGAGGCAGATGCAACTAGGAACCAATAATGCGGATTAGCTGGGTCAATGATAAACAGCAAATCCCTCTTGGAGAGTCCCCGCATTTCCAAGGCCAAGTCTTGGCACGAAATTGGAGACGATCAGCAGCCCTACCAATATTCCTCTGTGTATGGTGCCCCATGGCCCAAGCGGGTCTGTTCTTCCAGCCATCTGTCCACACTTATTTGTCGTATTGTCCCAATCGCCGCTTGCTGATGGAGCTCACTGGCCCTGCGGGCTGCTGCGGTTCGACGATGATGGCGCATAATGATACTGTTATCGAATTTCAGTTCAGGTCATATCATCAGCTCATATCGTGTTTCATTTTCCGGGTTCAAGAAAACACGGAGTAGGGCTCGTGGCTGGCGGGGGGGATGCTTGTCTATTTCCCTCCGTCCTACCTGACCTGGGCCATAGAAACAATCTCTCACACAACAGGGATGATCCAAGAGACGAGAGTAGGGCACACAAAGAAGAAAGGGGAGCTCGGTTGGAAGGATCGAATAATCACACTCACATCGGGACAAGGCTAATAGCTCCAAACAATACCAGGGCGCCGACAACAACTCCGACCAGGTCGGTGCTCGGTAGGCCCCCTGCCATCACAGCGACTTGTCAGACCGTCAAGTTTTCGTTTCTTATTCGGAACGAAATGCGACACGAGAAAGAGAAGAAGTAATCAAAAAATAGATAGATCTAGTGAGATAGGGTCGCCGTAGGGTCGGGTAGGTCGGCAAGACCGGACAGCACCATGATAACCAGCACCGGGATTAGTGGAGAGAGCTGTCCACTTACGACCAAAACGCTGGCAACTCGAAGGAGCGATGGGTTGCATATAGGATTGTTAATGGCTCTCAGACCCCTCTCTCCTCCTGCGTGCCAAGAGCCACCAAGCGCCCAGAGAGACCGAGGCGGGAAAGATCCCAAGAGGTGCCAAGGCTCCCGCGCCCGGAAGAGCCTTGGCGCTCCCGCTGGGACAGCAGGGTGCTGTAGCCAATCACAATTCGCCGCGACCCCTCGTTTCGCGCAGAAGTCACACTACCGAGCACTAGCCGAGCCTCACGTGGAGGGCCAATGGTTGGTTGCGTCATAATTCCCAAGGAGGCGACAAGACAGTTTTTTTGGTCTCCGGTCCAAGGTTCGGAACCAAGAGAGGAGGGTCTCCTTCCCCATGATTGGTGTGCCCTGCGGGATAGGTCCATAGGAACGCCCATGCCAAGAAGTGGTTTTGCCTTCTTATCGCTGTATGAGTTGAAAGTTAAATACGCCATGGATGCCCCCTTCCAGACCGTCCAAGAAAGAAGTTTAAAATATCAAACTAAGATTTAGACCCAATCGGTGTATACTAGTTTGTGTATGGACTCGCACCCTCGAGATAACACGACCTATATGAAGCCACCTTAAGGAAAGTCTTGTTAGTAGACCAGACCCAAGACACATCCCATTCGAGATGTCTCCGGAGAGGAAGAACGAGCCCCTGGGTGGGACTGAGCAGCCGCTGTCCCAACCCGCGCACTCTCTCCATTTTGAAACTGTCATTCATGAACTTTCAGTCAGTTCCGATGAAGGCCTCACATCCGCAGAAGTGAAGAAGCGCCTGGACCAATATGGTCCTAATGAACTGGAAGGAGGCGAAGGTGTTTCGATGATTAAAATTGTGATCAGACAGATTGCTAATGCAATGATGCTGGTGAGTGTCTCTTTTGCCCCCAAATGAACAATAATGAAAGAACTGGGGAACTAATGCCTCCCATTTCCCACTAGGTACTTATTATTGCCATGGCTGTCAGCTTCGGTATCGAATCCTGGATTGAAGGAGGTGTGATCGCTGCCGTCATTGGCCTCAATATTGTGGTTGGTGTATACCAAGACTATGCGGCAGAGAAAACGATGGATTCTTTGCGATCTCTAAGCTCCCCAACTGGAGTTGCAACTCGAGATGGTAAAACAACCACTGTTCCCGCAACCGAGATTGTCCCTGGAGACATGGTCGAACTTAAAGTGGGCGACACAGTCCCCGCCGATGTGAGGTAATGTTTCTCCCCGTTATATATGTCAAAGTGGCTCGAGGCTAACCTCGCCATTGATAGACTCGTTGATGCCATGAATTTTGAGACCGACGAAGCCCTCTTGACGGGAGAGTCTCTACCTGTCCAGAAGGAAGTTGATTCAGTATTTGACCCTGACACTGGCCCCGGGGACCGTCTGAATATCGCCTACAGCTCATCTACAGTCACACGGGGTCGTGCCCGTGGTGTCGTCGTTGGCACTGGAATGCGAACTGAGATCGGCGCTATTGCAGCCGCTCTCCGCGCAGGCGATTCAAAACGACGGCCAGTCAAGCGTGGTCCCCAGGGTGAGACAAAAAAGCGCTGGTATGTGCAGGCCTGGACTTTGACTTGCACCGATGCGGTTGGAAGGTTCCTGGGGATCAATGTTGGAACCCCATTGCAACGCAAATTATCAAAGCTAGCACTTTTGCTTTTTGCTATCGCAGTAGTTTTTGCTATCATTGTCGAAGGCGCCAACGGCATGCGGAATGACAAGGAGGTCATTATCTATGCAGTGGCAACCGGCTTAGCAATGATTCCTGCTTGTCTAGTTGTGGTCTTGACTATTACTATGGCTGTAGGAACCAAACAAATGGTTGAAAGAAATGTCATTGTCCGAAAGCTTGACTCCTTGGAAGCTCTCGGCGCTGTGACTAACATTTGCTCAGACAAGACTGGAACACTTACCCAGGGGCGAATGGTGGCCAAGAGAGCATGGATCCCATCCCTGGGTACCTACTCCGTAGGAGAGTCGAGTGATCCCCTGAACCCCTATGAGGGCGACCTGAGTTTGTTGCCTGTTCCTCCCGTGGAACTCGAGCGTAAGGCACTTAGAGAGCCGACAAAACCCGAAGAGCTTCTGAAAGACAACAAAATTCTGGAAGAATATCTCAATGTTGCCTCGATGGCGAATCTTGCCCATGTTCACAAGTCTGAAGCTGATGAGTGGCACGCTCGTGGAGAGCCCACGGACATTGCAATTCAAGTCTTTGCTTCTCGCTTTGATTGGGGTCGTGAACGCTGGACTAAAGGCGAGAAGCCTGTTTGGCGCCAGAGAGCTGAGTATCCCTTTGATTCCACTGTTAAGAAGATGTCAGTTATTTTCGCTAGCGCCGATCGGGAGATGATTTTCACCAAAGGCGCTGTGGAACGAGTGATCGAGTCGTGCTCGTCCATTGTCTGGAAGCCTGGTTCTTCTCCTATTGCCATGGATGAGAACATCAAGAACGACATCTTGCAGAATATGGAGGCACTTGCGAAAGAAGGCCTGCGCGTCCTTTGTCTTGCTTGCCGGGAGAATACAGTGCCTGTTAAAGGGGAAGAAGTTCCTCCTCGCGAGGAAGTGGAAAAAGATCTTACTTTCTGCGGGTTGATCGGTCTTTATGACCCACCTCGCCCGGAAACGGCCGGGGCAATTGAGGAGTGCTATCGTGCTGGTATCTCCGTTCACATGGTCACTGGCGATCACCCTGGTACTGCACGCGCCATCGCAGCCCAGGTGGGCATCATTCCGACTGACATGGACCGACTCTCGAAGGACGTAGCAGATGCGATGGTCATGACTGCGAGTCAGTTCGACAAGCTGACCGACGGAGAGATTGACAATCTGCCTACTCTTCCGCTGGTCATTGCTCGCTGTGCTCCTAACACGAAGGTCCGGATGATTGATGCTTTGCACCGTCGTGGAAAGTACGCGGCCATGACGGGTGATGGCGTAAACGACTCCCCCTCTTTGAAACGAGCTAATGTCGGTATTGCCATGGGCCAGGCTGGCTCTGATGTCGCCAAAGATGCTTCCGAATTGGTTTTGACAGATGATAACTTTGCCTCTATTATTAATGGGATCGAGGAAGGCCGCCGGATCTTCGACAATATCCAGAAATTCGTCTTACATCTGCTGGCGGAAAATGTTGGACTAGCACTCACCCTTCTTATTGGTCTAGCTTTCAAGGATGAAAACGGACAGTCGGTCTTCCCCATTGCGCCTGTAGAAATCCTGTGGATTATTATGATCACTTCTGGTCTTCCTGATATGGGTTTGGGAATGGAAATCTCCGCCTCAGATATTATGGACCGCCCACCTCAAAGTGTAAGCCATCTTTGGGCTTTCCCATGTCGTACTTTACATGATATGATTTAGCCGCTAATATATTAATAGAAACAAGGTATTTTCACCTGGGAGGTCATTGTGGACACACTTGTCTACGGTGTCTGGATGGCGGCCCTCTGTCTGTCCTCTTTCTCCCTAGTCATGTTCGGATGGGGCCATGGCGACTTAGCATATGGCTGTAACAGCGATGCCACTGATGCATGTCGCACTGTTTACCGTGCTCGTGGGACCACTTTCGTCTGCATGACATGGTTCGCGCTTTTCCTGGCTTGGGAGCTAATCGACATGCGCCGGAGTTTCTTCCGTATGCAGCCAAACTCGAAGCGCTACTTCACCCAATGGATGTTTGACGTTTGGCGCAACAAGTTCCTTTTCTTCGGTATTATGATTGGATTTGTTACCACCTTTCCCATCCTTTATATCCCTGTCATAAATACCGTGGTCTTCAAACATAGGCCTATCTCATGGGAATGGGGCGTTGTGATTGTGGAAGCCATTCTATTTTTTCTTGGAGTTGAGTCTTGGAAATGGGCTAAACGAATTTATTTCCGGCGCCAGGCATACCAGGACAAGAACAAACACGAGAGGGTGTTCCCGGGGGGACTGGAGCCGGTATACCACAATGAGCCGGTCTGAGACACAAGCGACTGATATCAAGGGCGAGTCCATGGTTTAGGGTAATACCAGTGGGGTTCTGGCAGCATCATGAGAAACGATGGACCAATCGAGAAGTCTTATTCAAAGATCCTTCTGGTCTCGGTGAGCTTGCTAGCTTTTCGAGTGGCTGCAATTCCCGTGAAGCCCCCACGATACACGGCGCGCGGAATCGCGTCAGTGGCTGACAATAGCTGAACTGGGACTTCTTCGGAGGCAGTAGATGATCATCGCACGTATTTTGAAACGATTCACTGGAAATGTTCGACATTGCAGGTAATGAGTTCATAGAATATAGAGTCATGAATACCATTATGATTTATTCCAGTTGAGTCAGTCGTAAGATTCTTGTGCCCTTTCGCCTGGGGCTTAGAGGCCTTATAGAGTCGCCAAAACTGAAGGGTATCAGTGACCAATACCGGACCAGATCATAATTTCCGGTTTCTGGTAACATCTTGGTATTGTATCTGCCTGATTCTTCGCCACCAAAATAGTATAACCGAGGATAGCGCGGGGTTCATACAGCCAGTTCCCCATTTCGATAGGCCAAACAAGACTTGTCTACGCTGCTTTCGTCTTGGAATAGATTCGGTGACATGGCTGTCTGAACCTCAAGCTATCCATCCAATCCCACCGCCATCAAACTAAACAAGAAAAGTAGTAGACCAGGGGAGGTATAACGGGGCATTGACGATGACCCAGTGAGGGACAACTCTGGGGACAGAGAACAGGACGGCAGCGAGGGAAAAGAGAAAGATCCAGTGATGCCTCAGATGACGTCCATTAGGTAACAGCGGTGAGTCGAAGAGTGGAGATCTAATCAGCGCAGAGAAAGGTGAACATATGGTGAGATCTGTTTTCAACGCCAAGAGGCGGCGGGTTGAATTGGTCTACTGAGTCTTGCCAATTGCATTGTTCTTATTGGGCCATAATAATGCCTCGTACAGCTGACTCCTCTATGGGCCAAGAGAACCGCCAATCTTGTGACACAAAGAAAAGAAAAGAATAGAAGTGGGTAGAATAGAATGCCAGGGGAAGCTATCTACGAGCTCGCTGCGGCCGGCGCAGTAGTCACATTTTCCCGAGTAGGCGAATCGCTTCCCGCGGCCTCCTTTTCAAAACTGCGCATGGGGTAGAAACCCCAGCGCTCAAACATCTCCCGATCCTCATCCCAGCCATTGCAGTCAGTCGTGAGCATCTTCTCACCCGTAAAGACGGCGTTAGCTCCGGCCATGAAGCAGGCAACCTGCTGCTCTTCGGTGAGGGAGATACGACCGGCAGCCAGGCGAACGATGGTGGCAGGAAGCACAATTCGGGCGGTGGCAACCGTTCGGAGAAGCTTATCGAAGGAGATCATTTTGCGGTCTCCCAGTGGGGTACCCTTAATGGGCACCAGGGCGTTCACGGGGAAAGACTCGGGGTGCGAAGGTAAGGATGAGACTGTGTGGATGAGACCAATACGGTCCGAGTCTGCCTCGCCCAGACCCAGAATCCCGCCAGAGCATACATTAATGCCAGCGTCTCGCACATGTGATAGGGTTTTAAGCCGCTCGTCGTATGACCGGGTCGTGATGATGGACGGGTAGAACTCGCGCGAGGTATCCAGGTTGTGGTTGTAGGCGGTTAGGCCGGCGTCCTTCAATTCCTTGGCCTGGTTCTCATCAATCATACCAAGCGTTACACAAACCTCCATTCCCATCTCTCGCACACCCGACACCATCTGCTTAACATTTTTCAGACTAGTTTTGCGGCCGCGCATGTCGCGCCAGGCGGCACCCATGCAGAAACGGGTGCTTCCGTTCGCCTTGGCGATACGAGCCGCGTTTAGGACGTCGTCAACAGGGCTCATCTTCGTCGCTTTGAGCCCCGTATTGTACCGGGAGGATTGTGCACAATACGAGCAGTCCTCACTGCAGCCGCCTGTCTTGATGTTCATCAGGGTACACATCTGGATGGCTGCAGGGTCATGAAAGCGACGGTGAACAGCAGCCTGAATATGAGTCAGTAAGTCGCCCGTCATCCAAGGAAAAAACATGGTCGGAACCGGGCATGGGACATACAGCAGCATAGGTGAGCTGATTCAACGGCGTCTCATAGATCTGCTGGACCTCTTCCCGGGTCCAATTGGTTCGGGGGGCGGTAGCCCCCGTTGCCTCCTGCAATGCAATTGGGATTCGGCTGGCGAGGGAGGCGGCGCTGGGGGCTTGCTGGACGGTGCCATAGGATCTCTTCAGGATGACCCTGGGGAGGGTCCGAGGGAGAGGCAAAGACATGGTGTACTGGCAGCAATAAATCGCAGAGAAAGGCGCGAACGGGGAGACAGAAGGAGTGACGGTAGTGCTGCGGTGATGATGATGGTGGTAGGATTGTTAGTCACCCAAGACGATCGGGTCGCAGAAAGTAAACAACCTCGGGGGATCGGACGGAGGGGCAGCAGGACACAGGACCGGCTACTCACGGTGGGGGGAAGGTAGCCCCCGAAGTTTAAACGGGCAGAACACCACTCATAGACGAGATGATCCAAATAGCACACGGAGAGGGGAACACCCGTTTTGGGTACTGGGGAGGAATGTTCCTGGAAGGAATGCCGTCATCGTGGGGATACTCGTTGACCCCAACGCAGGTGGTTCAACACAAGTGTCCCCAGTCACCGTTCACTGGCAGAAAGGATTATGATTATGAATGGGGAGGAAACCAAAGCGCTGAGAGACGGAGATCGGGTACATAATTGGAAATTGACTGTTGGGCTTGTGCCTGGCCTGCCAAGCCGGCCAAGAGAGAAGATCCGTCGGGAAAGTTACGTAGTGGTACAGGGAATGTGGGCGACAGCTGACACAATCTCACGGTGATTGGCTGTGGGGTCGGAGTCTTCAGCTCGCTTCCGATCGGGCCACCGGTGAATTGAGATGACTAAGACACCTCATAACATGGGACGAGAAGACGTGACTCAAGACGTGATAGCGAGCCATTCCCACTTTTCATGATATTGTAAATACCTTGTATCTGGCTCTCGCGTCCGCAAAGATCAGTTCTTATGCGTATGCCTTAGGAGATGAACACAATCAATGACTTTGACACCGCTTAGTGGGGCCTAGAAAAATATTCACAGTAGTGGCCATGTCCAGGCTACCTCAAGAGTATCCAAGCCGATCCAAAAATACCCCATAAATACAAGACATACGACATGTTCGACCCGCCCTATTACGGCCCTTTTTTTTTTTTATTTCTTTCATTTTGGAGGCGTCTGAAGCTGCCGTTTAAGCTCGTTCTTTTAGATGGATGCTACAGGATTGACAACGGAGAGAGATCCTGGTATCTGGCAGCAAACTCCCTCCTGTCTTTTGGGCTGTAACTATTATGCTATCCGCTACTATACTGAGCAATTCCTGGCACGATATGGCCAACTCCGGACTCTACGTTGCCATCCATTTACGATAAAAAATGAAATTATTGGATGCCTTTGCAGCTGAAACTGGTACATCCAGATTCTTTGACCTCAGAGCATAATATGATATGGTTGTGAATGATGCATAAAGATGTAGACCCTGATATTATTGCAGGACGGATTCATACATACAGATGGGACTCTAGAAGGGAAGGTCACCTATATCAGACACCCGCCTTATATGCTCGGTACAGTAGGTCCCCTCTGACAGGCCTCCATAGCAACTTCGCTGCTGACGACAGCTTTGTGGAGTTTTCCTATGACCAGCGGCCAGCAAAACATTTTCCATATTATGACTATGTGGTTATCTCTTCCCTTGATCTGAGCATCTTGCCGGTCTCAAGTCAAATGCTTTGTAAAACAAATAGTGGATAGTGCTGTGGCCCTTCTGAACGAGTCGGCCGACAGAATCTTGCTTACAGGACATATTTTATATACGCTTTCGGGCTAAAACTGGCTCCTACTATTAAGTGAATGATCCGGCACAGGGAACGGGCGTATTGACGTGTCTCTAAGGCAGGCTGAGGTTTGAACTTCTGCGAGACAGGGATCAGCTTCAAGAACATTGCGATTTACAGATCTGGCACAGAAAAAGCTCTGGACAATCGTATTCATGGACGCTTATTCCTATATTCATACTCTAGACTCAGAAATTCAAGATGTGCCTCCAAGGTTCTCCTTGTTGAACCACTGATTTCTATAATGGTTATAGTTGCTCGGCTAGTAACTGGATTTAGTAAGCCGCAGACGCAATGTCGCGAAAGAGAAAAATAGGCTGTTAACTCTCAAGACAAACTATTCGACTACTAAAAATTCGGGCTCTCATTGTGATTAATTTAGTGGTCTTATGGAAAGGCTGGAAGAATTCCATCTCAACATCACGCAGTCTTATTTCCTCCGGATAGTCGCTTGAGAATGAGATATCTATTTCCATCCCAACAAGAGCGCCTGTAGTTTAAAATAAGACTGGGGACAAGGATTAACTTATGCATTAATTTGTCTCATTTTTTGTGCTTCTCCCCAGATACGAATAATGAATGGGTTCGAAATCTAACAGACTAGGCCGCAAAATCCAACGGCCGTCCGGTGAATTAAAAAGATATAGGACATACGATGTGCTAGGGATTTGGACACAAATGGCCTGCCAGAAATTGTGTCTGAAGACAACAGAGATCGGGAGAGCCAGTCCAGCCAAAAAGGTGATGGTTACAGAATCAGTACTTCTTACCCAGGGACCGAACCCCAGGAACGCTTAAAGTATTGTACTCTAGGGAATAGCCCCAACATATTCGAGCAGAATAATGTGTCAGATTCAGGAGCCAGTTAGGCATCTGAAGGCAACTGTCAATGGTGGGCGGTAATCTCACGTAACGAGGCAGCTGTTCCCGGTTCTCGAGCCGTGTGACGCGGGGAGCGATTTCTACACAGAAATACAGATTGTGAACCTTGCAGTGACAGCTACTGAGCCTTTTACTGGGTAATGAAAATCAATAGGGGAAAAGTGCCGGAGTACCTGGATACCAGACCAGGAAAGCGGAAACAATTTCGCTGCCCAGCAGTTTTAGACTCTGCGAGTTCAGACGATTCAACAATGCCACGTAAGTCTATAGGCACCATCCATTGAAAAAATAAGATTCTATAACTATATACATTTGTGTATGTGTGTATACATCTATACTATAAGGAATACCATTCATAGACTTCCTCATCGGAAAGCGACCTCTCTGAACTATCCTTCCCTTCTCTCGACGTGCGGTGAGCAAACTTCTCAAATGTTGACGGCGGGGACCATGCTAGATCCCATACAGCCTCGCGATTCATGGAGCTATGTTCTCCCAGAACGCCAAAGCGGAAATCCAACGGTTCCGGGCCATCGCTACGCTCGGACGGAAGGCGCATGTAGTGGCGAACGCTGTCAGGAATCTCTTCCCGATTGTGGCTGATCATTATGAGCGCCTGTTCCTCCGACAGACCGTGATGTCGGATGGTGGAGCCGGAGGCATTGAAGCCTTTGAGCCATGTGTCCTTAGCGGACGTGCGGCGCAAAATGGTCGAAGACTGATCACCCATGTGTTCGCCGGCCTCGAGAAAGTGAATACATTTGTCACGCATGGAGGCCGACATTCCCGATAAGGCCTCGTCGAGGATGACGATTTCCGGCCGGTGAACAATGGCGCGAATAAATAACACCACACGCTGTTGTGCCATACTGAGTTCACCAAACTTTACCGAATCGGCGTATTCCACATCATAGTCGGTCGGAACATATGGGTCAGTCACCTTGTGTGCAAGTTTGGGAAAGAAAGCCCTCGATGTTACCGGCACTCTCGGTGCCTTCTCCCGGGTGGTCACAGCTGCATTGGGGTCGAGTTCGGCTTTGAAGAATCGTAGAGCTGCGCTCACATCGAGATCTCGATCGTGATCCAGCTTCGGCTTACCCAGGAAAGTCTCCGCAAAGGCAGACTCAACTGCCTGTCGGACGGTGAGTTGGCGCGGGAAGAAAGCGTGAATTTCTGGCGAGGAGTGGCCCAGACGCGACTGTAGCTCGAATATCGAGATGCCCGGCTTTCCCGGCTCGGGTAGGCGAGATCGGCCGAAGAGTTTGATGGGCAATGCATATGTTTGAGGATGGTCCGAGGTAATAAGCGATAGCAGTGTGGTTTTGCCCGAGCCGTTGGCTCCCAGAACGACCCAGCGTTGGCCACGACGGACGGTCCAATGCAAACCATCCTTTTCTTCATTGTTCACATTTTGTTTCCAGTCGCCAAGGACGGCTTTATCACCATACTGCACGCGAACTCCGTCCATCTCGATGAGCGCCTCTCCTCCCCCGCGGGAAGGCAGAGATATTCTAGATGATGTTGGTGCGCATATTTGCAAGTCCCATAAAAGTTGTCGATCAAGGTAGCCTGCTTCTACGGCCTTCCTACTTTTGCGGTATATCGCCAGTGTATCATCGTTAAATCTGCGGTCCTCCCTCTTGAAAGAAGTTGCGTACCGCCAGACATCGAAGACCTCGTAGGTCTCCGATCGGGAGCCTTGAAACAAAATCTGGTTGCAGTGCCCAAGAATTATTAAGTGTGTAATCCAATCCGGGACGGAATCTTGCGGCCGCAGGGCGAGAACAAAGCGAGGGTCAGATTTCGCCGCAAGACGCTGGAGCAGGCCGGATATGCCTCGTACGGTGGCGGGGTCGAGGCCCACTAGTAGATGGTCAATGGTCAGTCGAAAAACACGATGCAAAGAACATATATGGACTTACTGAAGGGGTCATCTAGTAAGAGCAGCTCTGGTTTGCTGAGAAGGGCCTTCGCAATGCGGGTACGCCTTGTCTGACCATTGCTCAAATTTGCAACCGGCATATCAAGCAGCTCGCTCAGGCGCAGGTCGGATACAACCTGGTCAAATAACTCACCACCATGCAATTTCTCGTCCTCCTCCCCTTCCAACGGATTGAGGGATGTCTGACCCTTCAAGTACTGGCTAACTGTCCAGTCAGTCTCTTCCCGGAGACTCTCATAACGAGCACTCAAATACGCGCCGCGCGTGCCACCAATAGCCCCAGATCCCTCCCCACTGAATCCAATATACTGAATAGCATTCCCAACTAACCGTAAGCGAGGATCCTTGTTGGCGATCTCATCTGTCAGAAGGTAAGGGTAGGAGCGAGCGGTGGGCGGAAGGCAGACGTGCTGGCCGCGGAGGATTTCAAGAAGCTGTGTCCGACCCGTGGAGCCGATCACTGCCCAATGCTGCAGGGACTTATCGTCATTGCCCTCGGGAGCATCCGTCTTGGTGGATGGTAGGACAAAATTGAAGTTTGGGAAGAGGGGAGGGTTTTGGCCGCTGGCATCATCGGGAGTTGGATAGTGTTGATAGAATGTACCGTCATGAATGCGAATAAGCGGCGGTGTCAAGGAGGAGATTAGCCGAATGGTGCGCAACACATTTGAGGGCCTCAGAAGCCGCTTACACAGCAGAGGTGGCCTTAGCATCATGGTCATGCGAAATATCTCTCCCGGCCAGCAGGATGATTTTCCACCTGCTTTTAAGCACAACCGCCATGGACGTCCACCGGAGTTGGACTCAGGCTCCGCGACAGTGGTGTTAAGTGCAGATGACTAGTTTCGGATCATGGATTTTCCGTCCCGAGATTACTTGAAGTTTGCTGTCGACTACGGACGATGTAGTCTTTCCTTTGTTGAACTCGTGTTCGTGTTGAAGATACTCCCGTTCAAAAGAATAATATCCGGAAGCGTCACCCATTCATACCTGACTTCTCGCCTACAATGACCTGAACTGACGGACTGACGGATTGATTATTTAGCTACGGACCTTTTCACTGGGCCGAAAAACATCGCGACCTGGCGGCTGGGCTGTACACCGGTTTGATCATAACAGAGACAATTCGATGGCTGGAGAATACACTATAGGAGATGGAAGGGTCAAAGACAAGAGGCTCGCCAGATAGTAGGCAGTCTTTTGGAGGATTGGCAGAATATCTACTCCATAAGACTACTTAGATGGGAAAGACAGCAACACAATGATACAGCCCCTCAGTATCACCATCTCGAAAGATACTCCGTAAACTGAAGATATGCCGTACTATGTAGAACCTAGACACTATTGGTTTTGAGATTTCTCTCCAGGGTAGCGCTTCGGAGACTTCTCCGTCTCCGAAGCAAGGCAAGTGTGGATTGTGGAGAGGAAAGAGCCAGCCTTGTTTCAGAGAGTGGGGAAGAGGATACCAATGTCTTGTACGGAGTAGATGTAAGGTTCTCCGCAGACCTTTCTTTCAACTGAAAGACACCTTGCCAGAGTCCAACTGATTCCCAAGTGCAAGGGAAACATGTGCCTTGGCTTTAACCCGATTTAGCACGGCCGCCCGTCCGCACAGACATAGCCGAATCAGGTAGGGAACCGGCACATAACATACGGAGAATGCTCCGTATATCTCCCTGATTACCGGCTTCATATGTCGGCCATGTCGGCAGACATGCTAACATCCAAATGCACGGGGTTCCCGTTATTTAAATGTCTCCGGCTCTCTAAGCTTTCTTGAGGCTACCAGGACATCTACCATACATCTGCTGGCTCTTTTGAATGCGATTTACCCCTCCAACCTGTCATGGCAGGTTTCACTCAACAATCTCTTTCCACTGGATGGAGTTTCAAGGACTATGAGGACACTTCGGCAGAGGCATGGATGGCAGTGCCTAGTGTTCCCTCCGTGGTTCATCAGGATCTAAAAGCGAACAACAAGTATGGATCCTCTGTACTTTGTCGCTCTAAATGCCGGATACTAAGCATTCTAGTTCAGATTAAAGGATCCGTATGTTGGTTTTAACGAACTGGATGCCCGTTGGGTCAACGAAAAATCATGGACTTACCGCAACGTTTTCAGAAAGCCTACCATCCCTAGAGGATCGTCAGTTGATTTGGTCTTTGAAGGTCTAGATACCTTTGCCAGTGTCAGGCTGGATGGAAGGGTCATTCTAGAAAGTGATAACATGTTTCTTGCCCACAGGGTGAACGTGACCAAGGCTCTAGAAACCGAAGGAGAGCATGAGCTGGAAATTGATTTTGACTGTGCCATGCTCCGTGCTCGGAAACTTCGAGAGCAGGATCCCAACCATAACTGGGCTTCCTTTAATGGAGACCCGTCAAGGATGAGCGTGAGGAAAGCACAGTACCACTGGGGCTGGGATTGGGGCCCGGTTTTGATGACTGCAGGCATCTGGCGCGATGTGCGACTTGAGGTATATTCTGCCAGGGTTGATGATCTTTGGACTGAGATGGAGCTATCTCCAGATCAACAGACGGCCCAAGTCACTGTTTTCTCGCAAGTAAATGGCGGGGACCCCGATTCGTCATACCAGGTCCGTTTTAAACTGAGCCTTGTCGGAAAGGAGATCGACTGTTATGTTACAGAGCCAAAGGACAAGGTTGCAAAGGTGACATTTGATGTGAAACAACCATCGTTGTGGTGGCCTAATGGATATGGAAATCCCACTCTCTATGAGATATCAGTGTCACTGGAAAAAGAACAGGATATCCTTCATCAAGTCACTAAGAAATTTGGGATTCGGACAGCGGAAGTTATACAACAGCCGGATAAGCATGGCAAATCCTTCTTCTTCAGGATTAATGGAGTGGATGTCTTCTGCGGGGGCTCTTGCTGGATCCCCGCTGATAGTCTTCTCCCCAGCATCACTGCCGAGCGGTATCGCAAATGGATTGAATTGATGGTCGCTGGGCGACAAGTGATGATCAGGTTTGCTCTTTGCCGGTCCTGATCCAAAGAAAGCCGTACTGACAGATGACAGGGTATGGGGTGGCGGGTGCTACGAAGACGACAATTTCTATCAAGCCTGTGATGAACTGGGGGTCATGGTATGGCAAGACTTTATGTTTGGCTGTGGTAACTACCCAACCTGGCCGAAGCTACTTGAGTCAATCGAGCAGGAGGCAGCCTATAACGTTCGCCGACTTCGTCATCATCCCTGCATTGTGATATTCGTTGGAAACAATGAAGATTACCAAGTACAGGAGCAGGCAGGCCTGGTCTACGACTATGAAGACAAGAACCCAGAAAACTGGCTTAAGACCGACTTTCCCGCTCGCTATATTTACGAGAAACTCCTTCCCTCGATAGTTCATAAGCTTTGCCCGACTACATTTTATCACCCAGGTAGCCCGTGGGGCGATGGCAAGATCACATCCGACCCAACCGTTGGAGATTTGCATCAGTGGAATGGTAACGTAGATTCCAATTGTGCAGCAATTCCCGTGCTAACCACTGAACTAGTTTGGCATGGTACACAAGAAAAGTACCAGATCTTTGATACCCTCGGCGGCCGGTTTAACAGCGAATTTGGCATGGAAGCATTCCCACACCTATCAACCATCGAGTACTTCGTCAAAAATGAGGCAGATAAATACCCCCAGTCTCATGTCATTGATTTCCACAATAAGGCCGATGGTCATGAAAGAAGGATCGCTACCTATCTTGTTGAGAACTTGAGGACAGCTACAGACCTAGAGGTATTGACATTCAACTCCATTGTCCCGACATCACGTATAGCTAACGCGCTGTAGACATACATTTACCTTACACAAGTTGTGCAAGCTGAAACCATGATGTTTGGATACCGGGGATGGCGCCGCCAATGGGGCGATGAAAGACGCTGCGGGGGCGCTCTCCTTTGGCAGCTCAACGACTGCTGGCCCACGATATCCTGGGCCATTGTGGACTACTTTCTACGGCCGAAGCCTGCATTCTATGCGGTAGCACGTGTTTTGAGTCCCATTGCTGTTGGGGTCCGCAGAGAGCATCATGACTGGAGCGTAACCCATGCACAACCGCCAAAAACGAGCAAATTCGAGCTGTGGGTCGCCAGCAGCCTTCAGACGGCGGTTTCTGGTAGAGTAGAACTAAGGTTTCTTTCTGTCAATACAGGACTTGAGGTCCGCAGTGCTATTATGCACGATAATGTTACAATCACGCCCAATGGCACATCCAACATCGACGATGGAGTCATCGACCATGCCGTATACCCTGAACCACATGTACTTGCTGCGCGATTATGGGTGGGCGGAGCCATCATCGCGCGTGATATCGATTGGCCCCAACCATTTAAGTATCTTGATCTGTCCAACCGAGGTCTTGAAGTGAAGCCAGTACCAGGGTCTACTGAGGGACAGACACTTCAGATCAGCTCGCGGAAGCCAGTGAAATGCTTGGTGTTCGAGGAGCGTGATGGTGTGCGGGTCAGCGACAGTGCAATGGACATTGTGCCTGGGGATGAACAGATCGTCACCGTTAAGGGACTCCAGCCGGGCGATACCCCTCTGAAGTATAAATACCTTGGCCAATAGAACTCTCGGTGACTCGGTTATCTCGGTCGCATAGTTTTTGACCCATTGAGCTGTTGTCGGCTGCCGCTTGTCCCGAGGCATAATTTTAAGGCATCTACTCAAATTACCACGATCACATAATGGTTAAATAGTGGTAAGGCTGTTTCTATGGAGCAAAGAATAAGATACGAAATAGATACACGACAGTATCCGCTCTATCGTTCGCTTTCCAGGAGGGGTTCTACCCAATGCATAAAGTCTTGTTATTCAGTCTCTGCGGCTCCTATTTGGCACCATGTTGAAGAAGTAGATCAGGTAACGTGATGTGTCCGAGCGTACTTGGCAGCGAAAGCACAAAAGTAGACTCCAGTACGTATTTGGATCTGCATTATGTTCCAGGAACAATGACCGATTCTTTCTGCCTTGGAGATGGGTGTGTCCCCCATCAGTCGCTAGATTGACATCAAGTCTTTTGAATCAGCACACAATCCATGGACTGGGAGGCCGCCACCAAGCCTGTGGGCTGCGCTCACATGGGTGCAAGAGGATCGGCACTCGAGTCGAGTATTGGCCCTGCCGCGTCGTAGAACTTCAATTTCATTGCACAGGCTAGCGGGGAGATGGTAAGTATCTCGGGGGTGGAAGTAGAAGAGAGCTGAAATCTACCTCGCGTCAAAATCCAGGCAGGTTCGTTCGGGTCCACGCCAAGGTCCAGAGGCAGTCGCATCATGTCCTTGCCTGCAGCTGGACGGCACATACTAGCAGGTGAATTCGCCATTTCTCGCAAGTGCTGGGTCTGCCCCTTTCGAGAGCATCAGCTGCAAGGGCGCCATATTGCGCTCTTATACCGCGGGAAGAGTGAGCGGAAACGCTTTCGGTTGCTGAGAAGGTTAGGATTCACCCCTTGCTGCAGTAGCAGTTCGGCCATGTCCCAACGGCGACGGGATACCGCTATCCATAGCGGTGTTTTAGACTTCCCCTACGTCGGGTTCGGCGGTCCACGTTCGACCCTCGGTCCAGCCGGAGTTCCACGGTGTTGAGATGGTGTCTACTGACACCCGCTAACAGGGGGTCTCCTTTCTTCTATCCATAATTGAAATGTGGGCACCAGCTTCATCAATCGTTTCACGACTTCAAGATGACCTCCCCGGGCTGCTTTCCGTAGTGCTGTCCGATTGTAGCTCATTTTACGTGTCATTATAATGCCCACAGATACTTCATATTCCAGAACGATCTCCAGGCAGGCTGTATGTCCGCCTCTAGATTATATGTGCAGCAGGTCTACTATCGCTCCAAGGGCAACTCCAAAGCAAGAAAGAGCCGAGCCACTTCGGCGTGCCCATAGGTCATGGCCGTAGAAAATACCCCGCGGCCTGTAGTGCCTTGTAGTTCTCCATTATAATGCAGCGCTGTTCTGCCATGTATTCCGCACGTCAATATCAGCCCCTCGGTCAATAAGGAATGTCACTAATTCGTACGTTCCACATTGCGCCACCACTATGAGCGGTACTTCCCCGCGGCAGATGCAGTGGATGTTGCGTTACAAAAAGTCATATGGTCCACGCCACGCCAGTTCTAGTGCCATTTGGGAATAGACCAATCGTTACCCCACGATTTGACAATGATGGACGCATCTGTCAAGCAGTCACACCGAAGAGATATAGAAGCCCTATTGAGAGTGAGTGTCGAGGAGAGTCGGACTTAGTTAGATAAAGATGTCAACGTCGGGAGTACATATTCCCAAAATGTGATCCGTCCCATCAGCAATCTCCCTACACGATGCTATTGATTTCAGCAATTTGCGATGCTTCAGTAAAATAATTAGACTACCTAGGTTGAATACTAAACAATCCAGAACGAGCCTTTAGCTGCTACCTAAGCCTTCGCGGCTTCCGCTCAGCCGAGAACCTCATATAGTTCATCAACACCACATTTCCTTATCGGTGGGAGATGGTGAGAGATTGAGTCGGAGTATTTGTAAATTTCACGGCAGTTAGTGTCCGAACACGGCCGGCTAGCGGGTTTAGTGGAGTGAATCTGAGTCCTATTCAGTCGGGTTCAGCCCGCCATCCCCAGCTAGGGGCGCCGATCAATAGATCAGAATTCCTGGATGTTGGGGACTGTGCGGATGCGCTCCTCCATCTTAGTCACCCCGATCGTACGGAGTAGACCAGACGTTGTTGTACTGATTGCTGCAGGAGAGGGATCCCTCGTGTCTCTGTCATATCCTCCAGACTTGCCCTCCCCAATATCGCAACGAGACTGGGCAATCGCTTCAAAATTAAATTCCCAGCTGAAGACCACCCCCACTGGTAATGAACTAATCATCGCGCGCGCAGAGAGCCACTTCTCTGCAATGCCATCCTTAGACTGCAGCATCCCGCGATCTCCCACTGGCTATACCGTCGATTTCTAATCCGCGGCGTTGCCCTGGGACGTCATGATTGGTTCTGGATGGGACTCGAGCAGGACCCCGGGATGCATGTCTTCCCCTTCTTTGGTGTGCCTCGCGCCAGACAGGTTCGCCTGGGGCATGGCGATCGGCAAGTTGATATATCAAGGTTACACTGCATAGTCCAATGGCGTCCGCTGCTATCAGGACCATGTCATTTACAGAAGGCCGTGGCTCGCGCACCCTCATCAATTCCCTTTATATTCCCCGATGTCCCTTGTGCCAGTTCATTTCCGCCTGTGGTGCCTCCTTTCTCATCCCCCAACACATGATGGCCAGCCAACCCACGCCCCGAGGAGGCCTCCTTCGTCGTCTCTTTCTCGCTGCGTTCGATCGGGAAGAGCAGGGCTTCCCCCCGATGCCAGCCCATGCTGCGATGACACCAGTGAATGGTCACCCCCCCGATACCCCCATGGACGCCGCAGCGCTCTCGGTCCGCCCCCATCTACCCAAGCGTCTCACCGTGTCGACCACCGACACGAGCTGTCTGATCCCGCCGGGCGACAAGCTACTCGTTTTCCGAGCGCTGACGGGCATCGACAGTGTCCCGACCCTGACTACGCTGCATCATTTCGCCCGTACAGCCCCCAATGTCGGCATCTACACACGCGTCGTGCGCGCGGAACAATCCGCGGCACAGCGCTACCGCTTCTTCAGCATCTTGATCAACACATGTCTGAGCATTCAGATCGTAGTGGCAGCCGCCTTGACAGCTCTGGGGGCCGCTTCCGGTCCCCATGCCGCTGTCACGGCGTTCGGCGCCATCAATACCATCATGGCCGGCGTCCTAACCTACCTCAAAGGGTCGGGACTACCCGATCGTCTCAAACAATACCAGCACGAGTGGCGCAATATTCGCGAGTATATCGAGCAGCGCGAGCGTGAAATGTGCCTTGACGGATGCGGTCTCGACGTCCAGGAGGAGATCCAGATCATCGAGCATATGTATGAGGGGGTGAAGCGAAAGATCGAGGCCACCAAGAGCAGCGGTGACAACCGTGCCTCACAGCAGAGCAGGAACCATCGTCGGTCATTCCTCCCTATGGATCAACCTCCCTCGTCACAGCCACCGCCGTCACAATCTCGATTCTCACAGCCCCCGCCGATGCAGCATCAGTCGGCGCATTACTCGTCGACGCAGCCTACGTCGTCACAGTATCCTCCATCTCAGTTCTTTCCAGCGCCGGCCCGGGAGGTGCTGAGGTCCAGTCCGGTGGCAGTGCCGGAACCGTCTATGTCGACGGAAAAGCTCTGATTATTCGTTACGAGCATTGGGTTGGATATATGTCTATATAATGTCAGTCCGTTCACTGGATGGATGGTCGCAAATCGCTAGTGTTATGTTGGAGTCTACTTTGTGTGTTGATACTCTAAGCACGCAACATTGTCCACGATATTGTCTAATGTGTCTAATGTTGATAGCTATGCTACGTCTGGTCTAATTATACCGCACCTTCTTCGACTATTCCTTTTAGTCTTCAAAGCTATTTTCATTAATAGACTATTATTGCGCCTATTGGTATTCTAACATTCACTTTCCAAAGAGAGAATCCCAAAAAAAAAAAAAAAAAAAAAAAAAAAAAAAAAAAAAAAAAAACGACTAGCGTTTCTACGCAAGGACGATGATACATTGACAAACAACACGAAGTAGAGCCGGCGTTTTCGATTCAGCGTGATCTTGCCAGCTAAACAACGACGTTGCAAAATGATCAGCCTATTTATCGTGTGCAAGCCTTGCTTCGTCCTCCAAGTGTATTCCATGCCTCAGATGCATCTTTAATTATTTAATAAATGCTCCTTGCGTGGGCAAGTAAAATTGTGGAACTGGGCTTTGGATAACCTTATAATCCACGCGGAAGCCAATCGAATCCTTCCTAAGTGTGATACAGATATGCAGGGTTACTGCCCTTTCTTGTGTTTCGTCCCTTCATGAAACAAGGCACCACTAGCTCCGATGCTACAGTATGACATAGACAATGCAGGTCGCATGTATAGGCCCCTCAATTCATGCAGACAGCATCCAATACAACATAGGACTTGATTGTCCACGCCGCCATGCCGACCTACAATCAGTGCCCCTGGTCAACATAAACAAGCACATCGCCCCCAAACTATAAATTATGTTATGATCATACGCTCAGGGGAAGGAATGGTGGACAGAAGAACACTATACTAGCTACATGCAGTAGCCTAGTTATGACTTTATCACGGTAGTAGTAACAATCAACTGATTGCACTACCGTAGCCAACATGCTTTCAACGATCCAGGGGATAAAGCTGAGTGTTCACCAAGGCACTAGGGGTAACAGGATGTCGAATCCCAATATCTCTGTCTTTCACCCAGGTCGCAGAGACTGCGAAATCGGCCTCCACGTTTCCTTGCGCCTGCGCCGACCAGTGGATGCAGGTTTGCTATGGAATTGGCAGAATCACAGACGGTAGCCTTTGAAATTTGAAGCTTTAGCTTTATATATATATATATATATATTGGTTACTGTGTTGTTAAGACGTCGCGCGAGGCAGCTTTTGGCGACCCTTATTTTTATCGCCGTCCCACATCTTTTTGTGTCCTCCCATACCAGCCTCAATGGCTTTGACAGGACTGTAATATGGCTTACTGGATAACCCGGCACTCAGCCTTTTATGCTCCCCTTCTACTTTTTGTCTGGCTGTTTTTTCTAACTTCTAACCTTGTTTAGATTCTCGCTTGGCAGTCCGCTCTGCTTTCTCCCGTGCATACTACTCCTGTAACATCTAATGCGTTGCAGTCCGCTGTTGTTTCTTCTCAGCTGATTTTAGGTCTTTTATTTATGTGCGATGACCACTTGCAGCTCCTAATCTTAAATAGCTTGCCTGTCCTGCTTTTCCGCCTGTTCCTGGTCTATTTGATGCTGCCACACTAGCTCCATGTTAGCTAGACTAAAAAACACCGGCTGACCACCGTTCTTTTAACTTTATACAGGCTATGGCCTTTCCCGCTTTTTTTACACTTCAGGTTAAGTGCGGCCGCTTGGTCCCGAATTTTGTGTTGTAGAATCTCATGCCGTGAGGCTTCTCCGCTGCGCGACACAGCAAGGTAACTCAGGGATCTAGCAGTCCCTCCTTATGGAACTAGGGGTCAATTCACCGAATGGCACGAAAGGGCCCTAGGGTTTTTAACCTATCTATTAATGCAGTTGGTGGGAAGTAATATTACTCTGTTTGCTAATCTGAGATAATGGTTTATCAGGATTGAGTGGCTAAAGCTCAGTGGGCTGCCAACCGGCATTGATATTTTTAGTAGTAAAAACCCGATCCCATGCGTCCCAGGAAAAAAAAAAAACTTAAATTTCTGGTTTATAAGCTAAATTAACCCCTGGTGGAGAGTGCCGAAAATAGGTCAACGTCTAGCGGATGGAGGCGATAAGTCGAGTGTGGCCTTAATACTATAAAAGAATTGATTTCGATTAGTATAATTAATAAATTTAAGGTTAATATAACTATTATGTCTAAAATTAGGAGCCGGTAGGCATGTCCAGCTTTTTGCTTTATATACTACTTAAATAATGGCGTAAACACTGTGCATCGCAACTCCAGCTATTTTCGGTACTGGCAAAGAATTCTACTTCGCTAGAATGATCAAATCCTTGAAGCCAGAGCTCCTGCAAGTTATTTGACACCTCTTGTAGATAAGGACCGGTGGGGGAAAGGAATAATTAGCACATATAGCAGCCATTAGAGTGATAAACTCCAGAATTCCATATTGACTTGCTCCAAGAATTTTTCCCGCGCCTGAGGGCAATACAATTTGACGCACAGTGACGCAACACTGCGAAAGAGTCTAAAAAAAAAAATATTACTAGATTTAAGAAGTTGTGGTCCGCGACCTTTCGTTGATAATCTATGGTGTGTAGGTACACGCTGGAAAGCCGTGACTGTGGCGCTTGCAGAACTGGGACACGCACTTGCGACTTAACTCGGTTTTTACCAGCTTCTCCACAATATTATTAACCATTCAGAGAGGGAGTGGGGGTAGATGGGATTCTCCAGTCTCTGACCTTATGTAGATGCTCGACGAGAACATCCTCTCGGGTGCTGGTGAGTTCTGAGACCGTTTCTTTTTTATATCCTGAATTATGGCGGTTTTCCTTTTGTAGCGGTGCCACAAGGTGCTTTTGTCTAGGTCATATTTTCTAGTAGTAGCAGGACCTCGCGCCTAAAGATAAGAGAGTTATTCATCAATCCTAAAAAACCGCCATGTTCCTAAATGCATAGAATGCGGATCTCCCACAGTCACTACGCATCACAATGCATACATATGCACAATACTTGTTGGTTCTCACCGCAACTCCTTGCATTAACGAGACTTCTAGAATTACTATATAAAACCATCTCTGCTCTCACCAACACAACTATCTAAATCTAACCATCACAATGGAACAAATTACAACTATAACCCAAATCCCCTCTAACCTTACACGCCTCGACCTCCCTTCTTCCCCCAGAATCACACAGACGATCACCCCAACAGATGGCCTTGTCATCCTCACACGCGTGATTTCCGCCCCTCCTCCGCAGAATCTCATCGAGCATCCCACCGATCTCCTTGGGCCCATCACCGAGTCGGATATCCTCCCGTCATTCTCGGCCGGCACGCCGCCTTCCGTCGCTTCCACAGCGAGATACCCTCCGCACTCTCCACGGGGGATACAATCTCCCTGTTCTGCATAGGCGGCGTAGCAGGGACTCTCATCTGGGCGGACCCTGAATAGGGCCACGCACTGTAGCTGGTCTTGCTAGGCGCTGTTCTCGCGGAGGACGGAATGCCTTTGACGAGGCACGATTCGGCCCGGATCGCGACTGGAGGCGCCCGTGGCACTGCTCGTCTGCGTCGCGGGCACAACAATGATTGTTGGTAAGACTGGCGTGGCATGTCAGCTCATGCGGGGGCTCTGCGTGCAGGGACTGAAAGTGGCGGCGTGCAAGGCGACGGAGATTGCATCTGTGCTAGATACATTCCAACTTGTCGAGGCGGGTGCAAAGCCCGTGTAGGGAATCCATCATAATGGGATATCGTCTACGTGTGCCGGGACGGTGGAGGACGTCTGTGGGATGGGGCTGGGGATGTTGGGTGAGATTAGGAGCTATCAGCTGGACGTGGTTATAGTTGAGTTTGGGGATGGGTTGCTGCGGGATGCGGGAGGAGCTTGGGTGCAAGGAGGTTCACCAGCATACGGCTGCTTTGGTTGTAGGTGCGTCGGATTTACGGCCGCGTAGGGAGAGCAGAAGGGAGGGAATGTAGAAGTTATCACTGGGATGGTGGTCAATAATAAGGCTACTGTGGACTACGTGGAGAGGGTTGGGGCTTCTGGCGGAGGGGAATCGGGGGAAGGAGATTCCCAAGACACTAGGGTTGGTCATGGAGAGGTTGGAAAAGTTTGGAGGAATTAGACAGCTCTGTATATATATCTGGCATTAGTCTTTAGAGATTTGTTCGGTGGCATAGTAGGTGATATAGTTCTGGGCTACCGGCTAATCTACACTTATTTGAAACCCTGGCTGTCCTTGAACCGATTTAAGTACATAAACAGCGGTGATTTAGAACAGGTATCCTCATCACATCAACTTAGTACTTACAGTCAGAATGGTGCAAAGTGCGAAAGTTGAAATAAATTTATAAAAGATATAATGGCCCTTAAGGAGATATTTAAAGGGACAGAAACCTGACAGGAGCCAGCTATTATAGGTGTAACAACCAGAATGAACAGCAGATTGTGCTGCGGCTATAACAATAGTCTTGTCATGGACAGGCGACAGGGATAAAGAAATAAATATAAATGTCTCGCTGGGACTCCTGTATAGCCGTCTTGGACTAGGGGAGTCAGGCACTGACTTACGTCGGCCTGGGTAAAGCGGCAACCACCGCATCGAAGTCGGACCCAGAGGTTACATCCAGCAAAAGTGATTGTGTCCAGGGGAATTGAAACGCTAGAGTATTTGCATTGGATACATTTCGGCAGGCTGGTAACTTTCGCCTGTCTGAGGTTTTAGAACGGATGGACAGGGCGCAGAAGTAATCCTACCCCTGGTGACTTTATTTTTCAGGCTGTGAGTCAAATACTCAATGCAGGCTGGTGAGACAGACCATTCCACTTCTAAGAACTAGACTTTTCTTCTCTGCCATGTTGATGCTCACCACCTAGTGTTATTCACTTTGGAAGTACAGGCAGTAGCGAGATAAGGGGGGGGATAGCTTTGAACATGGACATAAAACAGAGCTTGGCGGGGTGACTTATTCCTTTCAATAGGCACGATTATATAACATCAGCTATGATAATCTTTCCTTGGAATAGATATGTACTGTACAGTTGTACACAGTAGTTTAACACAGTTCCTTTTATTGGCCCCACCTTGCAAGGGGTGGTTTCACATCCGAGTATTGCATCGCTACCCTCCAATCAATCACTGGCCTGTAATCGATCAAATGCATATGTTAGTAGTAATGTCCACGACTGCATGACAAATAAGCAGTTGTTTTTGTCTTTTTTGAAGCCATACAGCAGATCGATGAAAATGTTGAATCCAATAAAATGCAACCTCGTCTATATAGCCTGATTCAGTGATGGCCATATTGCTTCTTTCTCCGTGTAGTCCAACTAACCAGCTAGATGACACTTTGCAATTAGTATAATAAAAGGCGGACAGGGTGTTCCCAAGCGCAAATTGCAAATTTCAATTTGCCTCTACTATAGTACAATATTCCCGATTGGTATTCCTACCAGTATAGAGCTTTTTTAGACGGATCTCGGATCACTATCTATTAGTCCTTTCCAGTTCCTATCTGAAAGCCAATCTCGTCAAAATTCCATGTCTTCATTTGCAATTTCATGGGGTCTTCGATCAAGGCGCTCAAACCACTCAGAAACTACAGGACAATTGTGCGCTCTTCCGCTCAATATCTGTGGCCCGAGTTTTGGTTGTCTGGATTTGAAGTATCATGTTGTGAAGATTTTAGTACTGAATTTGCCCAATTTGCCCAATTTTCAACCATTTTTGGCCGTACGGGTGTATCGAATTCGTTAAAATATTAATAGACTGACGAAGAGCATGCTCTTCAGCTTCGTTTAGCTTCATATTCGTTGGTGGCTTAGTTGAGTGAGAGTTGCATCCCTTCCATTATGCCCTTCGTTGTTGAAGCCAACACCTTAAATTCTCGCAAAATTTTTGCCAAATTGGGTTTCTGTTAGCGTCTGGCCGCATCAAAGGCCTTGTGCATGTTGGCTTCCTTCTCATAATATTTAGTAGACATTTTGGTGTGGAAAAAGATGCATTTTTGATTGAAGACCAAATTACCAAGGCATTTTAAAAAAAATAAAAAAAAAAGGGGGGGCGGAAATAGTGTTAGGAGCGCCCGGAAGCAGGATAACTTAGTCGGATGCTTGGCTTACATGCTTAGGAACATAACTTATGTTATTCGCACCTTTTGACCTGGAAGGGCCAGATCGATCGGGGGAGACGCCTGGACACCCTTGCATGTCCAGAAGACGTCGCAGGGGGTTGGCGTAGGGGGGTTTATTATTATTATTATTATTATTATTATTATTTTATCAAAAATATATTAGTCTATTCTGGAATCAAATGTCAGGCCCCACTGACAGCCAATCTGTGACGCTGAGGCCCAAACAAAAATCCCAGGTAAAATGGAATATTCCGCAATACAGGCGAACCGAGCCTCCCACCGGGGATTGCAACGTCAGCGATTAGCTCTGCAATATACATGGTCCTATCTTCCCTCCTACATATGCATATTCCCATTCGTACCATAGCGCACCATTCAGTTCGTTACCGAGCCAACATTCGTTTACGTGTGTAACCTGTCTCTGGAATCCCTTTCTCTCTTTCCTTCCTTCAACTATTCCTTTTGTACATAGCTATTTTATAGGTCCCACAGGTTCAGCTCCTGACACTTGATAACCAAATACCAACGTATTTGAGACTTATAATTCTGAATAAACAGACATTTTACATATCTTAATAAGTTAAGATACAAGAATGGTTCTCTAAATTTTATAAGGATTAAGGTCGAATGGCTTTATTTTACTGAATCAGCACTTTATCCATCACTTTTAGGAAATTTATGCAAAAATGGGTTCTTTGCGGGCAGCCGACGGGCGGGCTCTTCCCGCCCGTCGGCTGCGGGCTCTACAACCGCGGACGGGTTTTGTCAAGGTCTATCACAAAAGCACATCTAATGAGGCAGTGAAATTAGATGTAGGAACCATGCAGCGGACTGGAAGTCAGTGAACAGTTAGTAGGCTGAATGTTGCGGACGAGCAGGGAACTGCCCGCGCAGGGGATGGATAGTTTGTTAGTAATTAACAGATGGGGCTAACGGAGCCACTGGACTGTGAATCAGAAAAGAGAACACAATAAAATGTCATACCATCAGGTACTTGTCGCACCATCGAAAGGAACAGAACTTAGACGACTTGATTACCAACTACTCCATAGTAGTAATCCTCCACTTAGCCTGTTAAGGTATAGCTATATGCACTGTAAAGGGCACAGTGGTGAAGGCCTTGGATTCGGACTTTTTAAAGACTGGTACGGGTTGTGTTTTGATATTTCCTACTCTGTATACGTTCAATCTTGCTCCAAGAAGATAATACGCGAAACCCTCTTCCCCACAATTTTAGCGCCCTCGGGTGCCCTTTCTTGGCAGCATGTAATTACTTGATCTATGTCAAGGTGATTGAAGGCGTTCATCTAAAAGGACGTATCAATGTCCCTAGATAGCCAGGTGTCTAGGCATATTTTTAGCACAGTGTAAATTCGTTAAAAGAACCAGGCTGCTAGCATTGCTCCTCCACAGTATGACTGTATGCTTATATAGTGAACGTGTACGTATTAAGAAGTTCTGCCGATCAATTCAACTAGTCTTAATCAATTTAAAATGGCATGGCAAATAATTTGGAGATCTAGATATAAACTGTAGTCTATTATATCTTATCTATTGTCTAATAGTCGAAATTAATCTATGACATATTAAGTAGTACAAAAGATCCTGATTGTTACAGCATGGTCCAAAATATTACAGCCCGAAATAATTCATACAGCCAACTTTAATAACTTTTGATCATACCAAAAAATATCAATGAAAGATATATAGAAAGGAAATAACCCCAAAATATCAAAGTACAACTAAAGGTTAGACTCTCAAAAAAAAGGAAAAAAGAGAGAGAGAGAGAGAGAAAGAAAGAAAGAAAGAAAGAACCATAGTATATAGAAATATCAAAAAAGTTGAATCGCCCACTGATGCCAGGTTTCCGCCACAGCAGGGTGACACTTGACAATATGAGTCTTAAGTTTGTCTTTCCTTTTACATATCTGAGCGCAGCCATGGAAGCCACATTTGTATGACTGATGAAAATGAAGGCTCTTAATATGTCTCATCAAATCTTCACTTCTGTTGAACTGCTTGTCATATGAACAGCCGCGGAGGCCACATTTATATGGTTGATGAAAATGAAGGCTCTTGTAATGTCCCATCAGATCGTCATTCCTGCTGAACTGTTCATCACATGTACAGCCGACCCAATCACAGTTCAGTCCTCTGAAGAACGTTAGTCTTGATATCTCGATAGAGTGGTAAGTATATACAACATACTTCTCTTTGGTCTGTTCTTGGCTTGCTGGTTGATTGGTGGCTTTAGAATATGGGATACCCTCTGGTAGGTGATAATTATGGCTATGACTGGGTGGGGCTTGAGATTGGGTGTTTGACTTAAGATGTCCTATCGGAGTATTGGCAGGATAGTTATTGAAAATCACCGTTCTCTGAGAGTGGATATCGGCACGAGAGTCAAAAATAGTAGCGCTTGGTTGCAACTGCGGCTGAATTGCGTGGGGTACAAACACTAGATTAGGATATGGACATAAATTTGCCATACTATACATCGCACTGTTTATGGGTGAAGTCCCTGATGCTGAAGTTGGGAAATGATGTAAAGTATTGGGGTCAAAGTTTATGGCAAAGGGATCAAGGTCGCTTCTGTCCAGAAAATAGGACTTGGGGATATTGTATTCCTCGACTCTGCTCGAGGCTGTTTCATCATTCACCCTGGACTGAGAGGTGGGTGTATTAGACATAGTCTTAGGCATCAACGAAGTAGCGCGAGAAACAAAAGGGAATGTCAGTTTTACTTCTGGGAGGCATGGAAAAGTTCCAAGGGGATACTCCTCAGAGATGGGTCCCAATGCAATTTTTATATCACTATCATACTTGCCCTGAGCGGAGACCTGGGGTGTACAACTACATTTTAAGATAGTGTGGTGTAGGGTTCAAAATCATTTCATGTGCGTACTGTAATAGTCACACTCTTACAGAGCTGGCAAAAGTACTGTAATTCAGTACAGTTTGTATTGTATTTTTAAGTAGTGTGGGTTAGTGAGAGTGTGAAGTATTTCAGCGCGTGTAGTGACCTCTCAAACTACTCCCAGCCTTGGCCCTCCACGGCTAGACAAGTCTTGATTTGATATATTGCCGTGCCTTTTTTACCGGAGCTCAACAATGATAGATGATCGACATTACATGTCCGTTCACCGATTAGCATAATGAATAGCCCCAGTTTGTTGGTAACTAACTTTAGCATCTAAAAACAAAAGTACGTCAATCCACCCGCTTACGGGGTACTGTTGTCCATCAAGTAGTTCTTTTGGTCTGTGCTAGAGGGATTTGGTGGTAGGTGCCGTTCGGCCCTGGGTGGGGTTGCCCCTACACGGACCCTGACGCTAGCTCCTGCTAACAAGCATTAAGGAGTACATGTACGCAAAATTGCCCGAGCCTTACTCTGAGCACTTTCACCGCCTTATCGTGGAAATTTGGCCCAGCACGTACGGCGAAGATATTTCGACGGCTGTCTGAATATCTGGAATTACTTCATAGGACAACTGGAAGGTTTCCGAAGATCTCGATATGACATTGTCCTTTCCAGGCAGTGATCGACGCTTGGAATAGTTACGGTTCGTAAGTGTCCAAGAAAATAAAAATAAAAATAAAAATAAAAATAAAACTGCTGGATAGTATGCACTTTGTGCTCACTTTCTCTACAGAAAAGGAACCGATGCAACAGAATGGGGTAGCAATGGGATGCAATAAAATGGAATGAAGTAAGATGAAATAAAATAAAGTGAGATGAACTGATGAAGTGAGGCGAAATAAGATAAATGGTAGGAATTGGGGAGGAATTGGGAGGAATTGGGAGGAATGGGCAGAATGGGAAACGGAGATCAGGCTCTACATTAGAGGGGATGAAGTAAGGCCAAATAAGAAAACTAACTTATCCAGTGCCCGGTACTCAGATACTATACTAGATGCTAAGGCTCTTGACTTGATCCATGTTATTTTCGTAATTACTTATTTTGTATTGAAGTTTCTTCTCTCGAATAGAGAAAAGAAAAGAAAAAATAATTAATATAACTCTGAATTTCCATTCCTGTCTTTTGCTTCTAAGTTTTAACACCAATTTTTTTTTTTTTTTTGAAGAGAGTAGTGAAAAAAGGTATATAAAACGAATTCCAAAGGGAGTAAGTACCCTTGCGACGAATTATACTCAAGTGCTAACTACTATCTATAGCTTATCTAACTACCCCGTAGCTAAGTCTTCGTGTGAGACTAGAGGATAAAGGTATCCAAAACGCCATGCTAATTCTCGAAAACTTCAACCATATTAATGAGACCGAAATTCTCATCCGGTCGATTCAGATTGAAATCCGCGAGTCAGACGTTGCCGTCCCGTAACTTCAGCTTTTTTTTTTTTTTTTTTTTTTTTTTGGGGGGGGGGGGGGGGGGGGGGGGGGGCGGATCCAACAATGTAAGTGAAAAAGATGTCGTTTGAATTTAGTAAATTTATTACTCTAACGACCTAAGCTGGATTGTTGCCCCGCGAAATTACTGTCATGCACATTGCCAAAAATGGAGAATTTCACTGTCCCCCTCTACAGTAGGGGCAAAAAGGGGGCTGTAACATGAACATTGCTTTTTCTGAACTTTAATTACTTCTGTCGTATTCAAGCTGTAAACTTGAGTCACCAGTATAGACCACTTGGAGTTTACTTAGTTTTACTTGATCAACGCCTTGAACTAACTTTGTCGCCTGAGCCTCAACGATATTCACTTCTCATGGAATTGGAAGATCTTAACTAAAGTACATAAAGTGTGGGACCCCCCCCCACTCGAATTTCTGTTCTTATCATTCGATAAATTAACAGCACTCTGTACAAGCAGGGGGATAGAACGAATTAATTCTGGAATTTTAGTGAAACCAGATCTACACAGACATTCTTTATTCTGCGTATAAGATATTCCATCTATATTTATTACCTCATAGTGCAGTATTTTTGTGCCTCGATTTAATATTCTACACCAAAGATTATTGTGAGCCTGTTTAATAACTTTTCTTCTTCTTTTTTCTAAAGCTCTCTTACAAATGCTGTACTTCAAGGACTGGGATCTTAGTATATAGGGTTATATTAACTATAAGCAGTGTTATACATGGGCCAACTGTAAATAAAGAACTGGAGACTGTTTATGTCAGGTCGTCACTCGATCTTAATCCACCTGAGAATCTATGGGGCCAGGTCAGGAAGTGTATATCTAAACGTCGTCATAGAATCCACTCAAGTGCTGAATTGTGTGGAATATATTCAGAAGCAATGGGATGCAAAAAATTCAGCATTCATTCGAGTCTATGCACAGAAGGTGCTTTGAAGCCATCAAATCTAGGGGTGGCCACACAAAATACTAATAAAAATAAAGCCTAGATACCTAGAAAGCAGTAAATTCAATTAGGAATAAGTGGATTCATTTTTTATGGTGATATTTTTGATTGAAATGGAGTGGCATTTTAGTGGGGTGGCTCATGACTACCGGTAGGCTACTACGGTACATATATTTGTCCTTAAAATGGGAGAATAATACAAGTACTTATAGTTATATCAAAATCACAATACAAGTTCATTTATTATAGCTTTTGAATGTATACACTTGTTTTGTCAGGGCTGAACCCATAGAGCCTATAGGATAGGCTATATACCAAAAGGAATCGTTGAAGAATGAAAGAGAAAGAGGGACAAAGAGGAGTCACATGTGGGTTATCAAGGGCCAATAGGCCTGAGATGTCAAATAGGCTCCAGTCCTTTACATGTTTCTGGTAATTTACTACTTAATAATCATATAATTATCATTAGCTTTCTGCTTGCGTTATTTTCTATAAATATATGAACGGATGTGGGCATTTGGAGATGCTTAATCTGGTACCGTTGTTAAACTACCTGTGCAAAATAAAGAAGGGGTGAGTAGCTCA